TAGAACTGGCAGAAACGACTGAATAGAAATAAAATAGTGAACCTTATTTTACTTCTAGATTTGCATCGGAAAGTGCAACACAACAGGTTTGCAATGATATTCGGTTAGCGAATACGTTTCTGCAAAATAATTGTTCTTTTTCTGGAATATTCCTTAGTTATCTTTTAAGATTATTAAAAAATATAGAAGAAGAATGAGTAACATTCGACTGATCACATCTTCTAAAGTTCTATCTCATTACTTTTGTTACTTTAGCCTACAAGCTCCAAGGAGAGCATTCTATCTCATTACCTAACTATACTATTTTCAGGTATACAGATCACAAAGGCCAGAAACATGCACTCTATAGGATAACAATTTTCACTGACAAGCAATGAAGAAAATCGTTAGGAAATTTCATTAATTAAAGCAAACTCAAAAACTATTTCATACACATTTTGAGTATAGGATACTTTAAAGATCTCGCTCTTGAATAACATCAAAAATACATCATTTTAATGCCCCAGTAAATTTTCCCCTCAAAGTGATTCCCAGCAAATATGGCCCAGTGCTCAACTACGTACTTTGCCTCGCGTGGGCTGTTCAGAAGTGTATTGTGTTTTGGTCCAATTTCAAAAATTTAAGGAGATATTTCCTCTACTTAAAGAGACCTACAGTGGAGAGGTTACTTCCTCATCAAATCACGATTCTAGAACGAAATCATAATTTTTTGGCCTGCGTGAGTGTTTGAAGCAGATTCTCTGACAGTTTCAGTTTTCTGGTCCAACTTCAGATATTCAAGGAGTCATTTCCTCTACTTAATTAGACATAGTTACTTCCTTAAATTCTGTCTGATGACAAGTTTCATAGTTTAAAAGAAAGCTTACAAGCCTTCAAGTGACGACGCTTTTTCTGAAGAAAACCAGAAACACACAATTTCTAACAGTTATTCCTTTTTTTGCTCCCTAGATTGACATATAGTGCCCCAAATTCGAGAAAGAACGAACAAATATCGTCTTTCGTTCGTGAAATTTGCATTTTTGTATATTTTTCAAATTCTAAAATTGAACGAAGTTCGAAGTTTGTTTACAGTTATGGAATGCTCTACCCTTCGAGCTTCGCGAGATTCCGCACTTGCATACTTTTAAGAGCCATCTTAAGACACACCTTGTTAAGTTTGCTTATAGTTAAATGAATTTTAATTGTTACATATCGATATTTTAGATTTTTATTGTAGAAGTGTTTATATTCTTATTGTTTATCGCATTGTATGCTTTTCTTACCAATGCAATGCTCATTTGATCATTTTTATGAATACCTGCGCGATATAAGTTATTAAATTATTTTTGATTATTAATTATAATAATAATAATAATAATTTACCAATTTATATAGCGCGTATTTACATGTGCTGATCAATAGCGCTTTACAATCATATGTTTAAAAGAAAACGAAAATACATTACCGTGAGAATAAAATAAACTAAGTTACAAACTATAAAAATACTTCTTAAAAAGATAGGTTTTAAGTCGAGATTTAAAACTGTTAAGTGATGTTGCCTGACGAAGCTCCACAGGTAGCTCATTCCAGAGTTTCGGAGCTGCTGCTGAGAATGATCTTGCTCCCAATGTTGTAAGCATCTTTCCCTTGGGATGGTCCAATAAGAGCTTACCAGTAGACCTAAGATTATATAATGAATTCGATTTTATACTAATAAGATCGCTAAGATAAGTTGGCGCTAGGCCATAAATACATTTGAAAGTCAAAAGTAAAATCTTATAGTCAATACGCAAAGAATTATTACTGTTTAATGATAAGCGATCTTAGTAGAACACAAGGATTAAAGCTAAGGCTATATCACGCTATTACTATATTTTACAAAGCTAGAACTTATCTTCGCATCAATTGAATTCCAAAAATATTGGTCCAGATTTGTTGTTTGAACTACATTTAAATATTGTCGTCACTGTTGCCACGGATACCAAAGGTAAACATGGATTGAAACTTGAAAAATATTTGGGCCAAGTTTCAATGCTATGCCGGCAAAAAAGCACCAAAAAAAGTATTGTTAGTAAGTGCTTCTTTAAACAATTTGTTTAATATCATCTTCTTCATCTCTCTAACGGAGTATTTTGTGTATGGGTAGAAACACTAAGTAATGACTTCAGCGCAAAATTGACCTAAAACAGCAATATCTTCGCAACATAGCACCTTTAAGCCGGAAAGCCGTGGTGATAGCAGTCATGATGTTCTATGTCAGTCGATCGATTGTCTCCTCTCTTGGTTGGCACATTCCCGAAAAGTCGATACTTTTATGTCAAGTATATGTTTGCTGATTATCCTCTTAAATGCACAGGTTAAACACATCAGAACTCTTATTAATTAAATACCTGGCGTGGGTTGTGGTTTAATTAAATAAGGTAAGAACCTTAATTTAAGTGTCAAAGTATTTAGCCCAAAGGGACTAATTTGGGACACTAAACAAACTATACTATTAAAAATAATATGTCAAAGGGGATTATTTACAACAAAATCTACACCCTCAATAAAACTGCAAAAACGTATGCGATTAAAAATACTATAATAGTCAATAATATAAAAAATAGATTGTTGTCAATTCACTACAAAGTTTAACGGCTGGGGTTTTTATTAATAGTTACGATTTGTCACCATTTCTGCGGTAAGGTACCTCTGTCAATTATGGTCTAACCTAGCCTGCGATCGTGCCCTCTCCGTTTATCTCTGTAATCTGTATCAGGCGATATTTTTTGCCTCTCGAGCTAAAGAACCAAATAAATAAATAAATAACCCCTGATCTCAGCTTTGGTCTAAACGTTATATTATAGTTAATCTTCACTTTGAAAGGAGCAAGGTAAGCTAAGAATGCAGAAATAAAGATTTCCACATTTTTAAATTAATCCAACGAAAAATTTCTTTTTCAAAGTAGTAGAGAAATTTACTGGTGACATTTTGCCCTCTAACGGGGGCAATTGTTTGAATTTCATGCAATATTAATAGTATCATGTTCAAGAAGGGATAAAAGACGAAAACTATTTTCTAAGTACAATTGAAAAGGGTCGACAGCCACGCAAGGTTATCGCAGTTTTTCAGATGTCTCTTTTGCTTTCTTTGCCTCTATACTAAGTTAAAGTTGTAAACAGAAAAACTTCAAATAATTTTTATTCCAAATAAGATACTCCCGAAATTCCGAAGAAATCACCAGATTAACTCTCTAATGGATCGCCTGGAACGTCAACGAAGTAATTCTAAAAAACAATATAGGATTAACAGACACTATAAAAATCCCTCTTTAACATCTTGTTTCGTCTTAGCCCCCACAGTAAGTTTCCTGCGCAGATAATCGTTCGCGATCAAGAGTTCCATTCACCCACACCGGGTTCGAAGGTTAATAAGGTTTAACAAGGGATGTTACTCGCGGCTATCTTGTCTTGGGCAATTCAAAAGCACTCCTGAATATTTCTTTTTACTGAGGCGGTTAGTCTACTATCGTTTGTTAATAAATCTTTGCCGTAATACAGCTCGTTACTCCTCATCGGTTTCTTGCCGTGGACTTGAATATCCGTGAGGTTTGAAGATCATGGAATGTAGTTACAACCACGACTTCCGTGTTGAAGAGGTCATCCCTCTAATGCTGTCTACAGTTTCAGAATAAGGAATAAGAATCTAATTGACGGTTCCTGGTGAAATTAATTTTCGTGAACAATAGGAAATTAGATTTAGTTTCTCCATTTAATCCACTTAAAATAAATAAATAAACTGATGAACACGATTTAGTGGTGGCACATTAACAAAATGGCTCTTTAACTTCCAGTTGGAACTTAAAAGTTTTAGTTTATGAGGGGAACAAGGAGGGAAACCGGGGCGACATTGGAGGAAGGGTACCTCAGCCACGCGTGTTCCCCGAATGAGCCCGCCCCTGCGGTGGCAAGTTCCCCACATTTCCCCTCAAATTCGGCAAATATTGGGTGCCATCTTTGTTTTCTTTTTCCTCTTGTGTTACTTGTATCATCCTTACTTAGATGGAAAGTTCAAATGGAAACTTAAGTAAAAAGTGTGCGGCACTACATATTTTCATCCTACAAGCCCCACGCTCAAGACAAATTAAAGATTATTAACTTGTATTATCATTTTTTTCTTTCAAAAACGGAAGTATTCAGACGTATCAGTTACGTTGCCTCGATTCATAAGTAGGGTCGCTAAAGTGGTCTTTGAAAACTGGGTAAAGAAAGCGTGACTTTGGACATGTAGACTGCATTCTAAACTTTCCGACAATAAAATCGAACTTGAAATAAAAACAGAACGGAAATGCAATTAAATGAAGAGGGTTGAAGAGCGTAGCAATGTCTTAGTGGATTTTAAATTGAGAAGTGAAGATTCTTTGGATTTTTGCCTGCAATAACTTGCCAATGAAGCAAAAGATTCTGTAAAAAAGGTTCTGTATTTGAGAGAAACAGGTTGTCAATGACCCGACTGGATATGCATGTTTTACTAGTATTTAATATTATATCATATATCGAAAAAACGCTTTTGAACTGTCATACTTAAAGAACAAAAAAGCCCTTCAGTTTAAAGAATCTTTCCAGAACGTGAAAACAAACACTCAAAATTGCAAATCCGCAGTGTTTATTTACTACTCGTCAATAATCCAAACGCAACAAAGTGGGCGGCAGATCCATGAGCCATAAACTGTCTAGTACCTATGGTGAAATAAGTGGGACTGGCTCTAGAATAGATTGCTAAGGAGATTAACGCCCTTCATATTTCTGCTTATAAAACTCAACGAAAAACAAACCGGCGAATCTTAAACCAGTGGATTTTGACAAGCGACAGCGAAAAAAAAAAGTTAAAAGGGTGTCACATTCCAGAATTTAGAGCGTTTGACTTCTCCAGCCCAACCGAAATTTTATATATCCCAGTTGGCAAGCACAGAGAGTGGTACCTCTGCAATTTTCTGTTCTTGTCCTCTCTCAGTGCAGCTAAATCGGATCAACACGCTCAAGATGCGAATTTTATACTTATCGGTAAAGGATTTCTTCAATCTCAATAGCTTGACTTCCTTTTTCTTATTCTTACTTTATTTTTAGGCTATGCGACTAGTGTTGTTGACTGGTGTTGTTGATTTTTTCAGTTGGTTTTCCAAGTGCTCTTAGCCCTAATGCCGATTTATGTCCTATCGCACGACCTAAGCTTACACCAGGCAACAAATACCACGGACAATGGAAACACTTCCACAGCAGGTAGCTCGGGAATGTCTAAGCAACCATTGAAAATTTTAATAAGGACACACGTCAACGAGAGACCACCAGTGTTTTTGACAAAGGAACCAACAAACACGAAACAAGTGATTCTGTTTTGTCGAGTTGGTTTGTTCTTGCAGGTGGACGATAATGGAACGATTTCAAGCTCTCTGAATCAAAATAGCGAAAACGGTAAGTATATCTGAAATATTCCTTTATAAGTGCCTTAACTCAATTTTGTCATCAAGCGGTGATGGAACTGTCCATTCTACTGTAAAACTAACTAACTCTTGCTATCGACTTAGTAAATAACGTTTTCGTTAATTCGATGCTATTAGTTTTAAGTATTTGCCAAATCAGTGAATGGCTGGCAGTTTGCGAGTGCGTTTTCATTGGCTCCAGTAACTCAAAATTTCCATGGCCATTCCGATGCCTTTGGCCGCTTTAATTGGCCGGGAAGGGGGTCAAAATGGATTCTCGTTTCGCGACAGTTTCGGAGGACAAAATTTTAGCCATAAACTGAGTTGTAATGCAGTTCAGCTATGCCATCAATCAACAAAAAAGTGGAAAAATTTGGTTCGTGAATGTTTATTGGTAGATGGAAAATTATTTTTTAGTGTTAAGAATATATTTGGCAGAGTTTGTCTCAAAAAGGGGAGGAAAGTACAAAATATTATTTATTTTTGCTTGAAGATCAGAGAGCCTCAAAATCATATCGACTTTCACTTAGTTTTTAAAAAACAGTGAAATCTGTAAAAAGACTCACGACTCTTAGCCAGTGCCTTCGTTATTGAAGAATTCTTTACGTCACTTATCAGTCCAGGGGCGGATCCAGGATTTTTTTTAGGAGGGGGTGCACTCGTCTCTTCCAATAAACCACATAGTTTTTTTGCAGAATACCAGTTGTGTTAGAAAACCGCAGGTCATCTCAGGGGGGTGCGCACCCCCTGCACCCTCCCCCTAGATCCGCCCCTGCAGTCATTCCTTCTGAACAATGTTTTACTTACCCAATGCTCATTTCCTGGGTTCCAGAAATATTTTTCTAAGATGCAACTATTTCATAACAGTTGTATCGCCTCAGTTTTTCCGCCTTGAAGTATGAAATGACTAAAATCTTAGGATCGCTGGGGTCAGTGGCACATCAAACGTACCTTCAGATAAAGTTGCTAACGCGTGCGGTTAAAATAAAACGTTTAAACGGGCTAAACATACAAGGAAGCGTTTACTTCCGACGTCAAGATTTATGCAACCTGGGTCCCTGATCTGTGCCTTAAACAAAATAATCGAAAGCTTGAAGAAAGGACATGTTGAATCCTAACCGATACATAAACCTTGGATTCTTTGGAATTGTCTGAAGCCTTTTTCTGGTCAGCAGTACCGCTGGGACGAGCTGAGGAACAGACCATCTCAAAACTGTATGAAACCGGATGTCCTATTTGGTGCTATATGCACTTCCTGTACCCAAGTAGGTGCTTCTGGTAGCCATTACCAGAGCAATAGTCAGGCGTTCCGTGTGGTTTCGGAGCAAATGATTTTCGGTTTTGGCCGCGCGAAAAATGGAACAGAAGCCAAACAGTGATGTCTTCGAAGTTGATTTAAAAGGCGTGGTACCCTGCGACAAGTCTCGCATTTTCTTCTAATTCAAAGCCTGTTATGAAAGAATTGCAAAAGGGGGGTACTCGGAGAAAAAGAGCTTCCCAAAACCCTTACCCCTGATTTTCCCTACCCTATTTATGACCTAACAAAAATTTGATACCCTATTTATGACCTGACCCTTAAATCAATACCCTGTTTCAGACCTGCCTTATAATTATTTCCCTAGTTCAGATCAATGTTAAAGGCAATGTTTATCTGCTTTTATTAGGTTAGGGGGACGTCTTTTGCATTCAAGACTACAGTGCAAAAAATCGTTACCCTATTTATGACCAAAATGGCGGCAAAATAGCCAAAACGACCAAAACGGCTGAAATACCTATATAGCCCATATCAGGGAGTACCCCCCCCCGGGTTGCAAACGCAGACGTATTTCCGGTCGTCTTTTGACGTGAGAGAAGCGACGACCGGAAATACGACTGCATTCCCAGGGTCCTTGTCAAGAGGTTAATTTAAAGTAAATAGACAAATTATTTCACCCCTTCAATTTCTTTCTAAATGACCCATAACAGTTTAAAAATTAATTGACTGAATTGTCAAAGTAATCGGTATCTTTTATGGAGGTAACCAAAGTGATACCTGTTTTTTTATTATCATTATTATTTTGCAGTGAAGTTTGAGTTACAGTCCTTTGGAACAAGTATATTGCGAATCCTAAATATTGCAACTGGGAAATATCTTGCCATGGATTCTAAAGGAATGTTGCAAACAAGAGTACGTCTGCCGATTTTGTATGCTTTACTTTTCTTTCTTAACTTCTTTACTTGTCTTGAAGTTGTTTCGTTCTTTAATGTTTTATTTTTTCACAAGTCCTTTATTCAGTTCAGTTTTGTATTAAATTTTTGCGAAATTTGCTCTGCAGACAATGCGCCTGCATTTGAGGAGAAGACATGCTACTAACCAAATGAAATTACCTACAACAGAGCAAGCAGCAGTGTCAAATGAAAGTTGGCCTTTCATTCGCTATTTTATTTATTTATTTTTTCCTGGAAACAATTTCCCCTGGAAAGTCGCGAGACCTCCCAAGAAGGCCCAGAATGTTTCAGAGATTTCCTGCAAAAAAGCTCCCTTAATTAAAAATTCCGAAAAATTTGTAAAAACGCCTAAAATTCGGGAAAAAATCAAGTAACATTCTCTATACCATTATCCTCATATTTTTTGGAATTCTGGCAGTTTCAAGTTTATATCAATATATATAAAATCACACTGAAGAAAAACACCGACAGCCTTAGTTGACCTCGAAAAAAGCAGCAAATCCGTGATCTTAGTTATTCAAGAGTCCTCATAGCCTGCGAAAACATTCGTTTCTCCTCGCTCTTCGCCGCCGGGGACGTTTCGCGTAAAACGTCCCCATCGACGAAGAGCGAGGAGAAACGGATGTTTCCGCAGGCTAGCCCCTCAATGGGTTGTTCTGATGAGATATAGGGTGCTTGCAATTTACACAAACTACCCGCTGGGTGGAAATCTTGTACATAAACAAATTAACTCTACACAGATTAAAGGGGTGCAAAAATTGCATCGCCTCAAATCACAGCCCGTATTTTCTGAAGCTTTCCAAATGGAATGGTGGGAACCATACGGCTAAATGTAATAGTGTTTTGCCCAGAACACCCTAAGTGAGACCAAAATCCGAAATTTACACCCCTAAGCGAGACGACGAGCATTCACCCCTGGGAACCATTGTTTCCCACCGCAATTTCCGGTTTTCCCATAAGTACCCTATAAATTGAAGGGAAACTGCTGTTGATCCTACATCAGTCTCTGGAAGAATGCATGAGCCCTCCAACTTGGTCAGCGGGAAAACCCTGAACTGGTACTGTTCAACAGAAAAACGTCAACTGAAAGCTTCTCTGAAATTCTACTTATCGTCTCTGAATTCCCAGGGCTTTATAAAATTATTTTTGGGGTCTAAAATGCTCAAAAAAGCAGCCTTTTTTTCAAAGCCTTTAACTTCAATTTACTAGAAATTGTGTTTCTTTGGTTTGTAATAGCGTGTTCGTGGATTTAATTTTAAAACGTCTCAAAACAATTTTCAGACCACTTCCGTCTGGGAAATTCTCCAGTTTCGTTGAAACGACGCCGCCAGGCACATCTCGGTTAGGATACCGGCGTTTCTCGACTTCTCGGCTAACTTTGAGAGGCGTGGCTTACGAGAACCGTTTCAACGCAGTTTTCAGACTTCGAAAACAACTACAAGAGATATGAGCATTTTGAATGTATGTAAGTAAGTTTTATTGGGTACTCATTTCTTTCGTTTTCTCCGCAGGAAAATGCAACCAACGAATGTTTGTTTTATCAACACCATGAAGAGAATTCATATGTATCCTTCGCATCCTTCAAGTATTACATGAGAGAACTTTATGATATGTTCATCGGCATCAAACGTAATGGGGAAGTAAGAAAAGGTACAACAACATTACCAGGACAAGATTCAAATCTGTTCCTTCCTCTTAATTTGGGTAAATGGAGAAATTCAAGAAACGACAAGTTTTGATGGTTCGTCTGTAGTGTTCGGGCAAGTTTTATTGCCTTAAGAACGTTAAATCATCTTGCTATCTTGGAGCTGCTGCGGAACAGAGCAATTAAATCTTAAAAACATGTCTACGCCAGAGAGAGACAAAATGCGATTTAATTTTGGTTGACTCTTATGTAGTAAGAAAATGGCGGTTTTAGAGCGAGTACAGCTAGCTAAAAATGCCTTGTTTCAACATAGGTAGGCCTTAAATCTGATTTAAAATCATACTTGAAAGGAATTTAAAAATAATAATTATTAACTTGTTAATGCAAGCAATCTGTTAACTTTTGCCGGCCGTTTCAAATGAGTTCAAGCTGAGTTACATATGGAAACTGTTACCCGGTTTGGAGACGAGATACCTTCGCAAACATCTCATAACTCTAAGAAAATACAATTCTTGGGGAGCCATCGAGTTTCTGGAGAAGTTTGCGACCCAAGGAAAATCCGCCTTGCTTGCCGGCCTTGCACCAACTGCCCACGTGTTTAGAATTCAAAATGGCCACCTCAAAACAGACTGTTCGCAGCTATAAACATAAGTTTATATTTGATCATTTGGTAATTCTAATCGGATGTGAGTACCCACTGAGCTTCAAGAGTAATTTGACTACATTTATTTTTGAATTAAGTCCAAATGTAAAAAATCCAAAAAAGATTTGTAAAAAGCCAATTAGATACCGCGTTTGGCAAAAATGCATGGTCGCAAGTGGATCATCCACGCGTCAATTAATCTTGATATTTAGTTTGCTATTGCTTAACCGATTTTTACTACTGCAATATAGTTTGGGCTTCGACCTATAAACCAATTTCCGCCGTCTTGTTATCCTGCAAAAGCGCATAATTAGAATTATTAATAAATCACATTTCAATGCTCATACTGAACCTATCTTTAAGGACCTCGGTATACTAATTAAAATTTAATGATATCCATTTCCTTCGACTGGGCCAATTTATGTTTTCTTGCAAAAATGCATTCTTACCTCCAAGGCTGAATAACAATTTCTCCCAAAGCAATCAATTTCACTCTTACAATACAAGAAATTCCCAGGCCCACCGTCTACCGTATTGTCTAACAAACACTAATATAAGAAGTTCTCGCCCTTTTTTCAAAGACCTAAGTTTTTAATTCACTTGACAACGACGTCATCAACTCTCAATCCCTTTCCTCTTTTAGGAAATACTAAAGATTAGATTAGTATAGGTAATAGCATGATTTGAAGTGATATTTGGCATAAATACAACGAGTGATATTTCGAAATTGTTACACGTAATTTCACGAGCCGTTAGGCAAGTGAAATTTGAGACAATTTTGAAATTATCACGAGTGGTATTTATGCCAAATATCACGTACAAATCATGCTATTAGTTTTTTATACTACTACCAGCAAAAGGTTTGTAATTTTCACATGTTGGTATTTCAAATTAAGCTGAAATACCACTGCTCTAAGCCAATCAAATTGCAGAAGTTTTTTATACCTGAGTAAATACGAAAACAGTTCATAAATCTTTCCATCTTCAACTGTTCGCCATCTTTTCTTCAATTGATGTTAAACAGCTCTAGCCCGTAGTTCGAGTAGGCCTCCTCCCCACTTCTTTTTTTTTCTATTTTTCCTTTATTTTGGTAATTATTGGGTGGCACATAAAATTAAATTAAATAACCGTTGTGATTTCGGAAACGTGCAGTGCTTGAAAAAAATATTTAAGGTAAATAATTCTTGTAATAAAGCCATCCGGAAGATAAACCTTTTAAAACCTTAATTTAATTCTGCTGTAATCTCGTATCCAAAGACATTCCGTTGGAACGAGAGGGACGACACCAGTTATCGAGAGGGATTTGTATTCTAAGAGTGAGATTGGTTTTCCTCGGAATATGCAGAATGATTGCGTATTATGTTTTGAAAATTGTGTTTCCAGGTAGGTTGCTTGCCCGTGCTGGCTTCTTTCCTATGCACAGTATAGGATCGTTAGAGTGAACAAGGTGAATTGTGGGCTCGCTTACCAGCCGCTGTTCTGGAAATAAGCCCGCGGTCCTCCGCCGAGCAGTCTCTTCTCGGGACGGACCGAGAGAGTGGCGGAAATCGTGCCTAGGTGAATGGAACACTTCGCAAATCCATATTGCAAATTTGTTTTGAATAAGGCATTCATTCAAAAGTCAAATAGCACACACATAACAAGAGTAACGACTTTTCCTCTCTGTTTAGAAATATATGGCACGGGGGTAACTGCAACTCGAACTCTACCTAATTACAGCTGCCGGAAAAGAACCCCTTTCTTGGTTACTTTGTGCAATGTTAGACGCGCCCTTCCTCCCCCACCCCCCTCCCCCCGCCTTGGGGACACTTGGGTCAATTTTTGGCTGGGTATGTACAGCCTCCCTCTTTGAACCCCCGGCCCATTAAAGTGTATTCTGAGGATCTTAGTTACTTTTGAACATCTATGCGTCTACCTTGTAAAGGCTTTTACCTGGGTCTTCCTTTAATGGAACGACACATGTTTTAGGTCCCTAATTAACAGAAATTTGTTACACCCATAATGCCGAAAATGTGCAGCCCCGTTCTAGTAACTTAATTGTAAATACAACCCCATCATAATCAATCCAATCGTGAAAATGCGAACCCATCCAGAGACACATACCTGTTAGCCTATTCCCTAAGAATTACCCACAGGGTTTTGCCTTCGGTGTTTCTTAATGAATAGTTTGATACGCTGACACGGTCTACAAATTTCGAACAGAGATAATCCGGGGCAAGACCGTTAAGTAATTTATAGACTTACAGCTTTTTGAACATTTGATGTGGAATCCAGTTTTTTCCAGCTAAGAAGTTCAAAAACATCATCAGCATGAGTGTCACGGCTAGAAGAAGGTTGAAACCCGTGCCGCTCGATTTAAGAACCTTGTAATTTGGCGCAAAGGATCTTACCAAAATTGCGCCAAACATTGAACACTGCAGTCACGAAATCCTGTTGAATCAGCGAATTACAGATAAACTGCAGAGTACTAAGACTCTACTAAGGGGAACAAAAGGTTTGATACGAATTTGGGCCCCAATACCAGAGACAATTTTTGTTGATAGTTAGTCCGGTGATATGTTTATCCCAAAACAGATATTGGAGAGTTAGAACTCCCCCATCCAGGAGATTCTGTCACGACACTTGATAGAGATTGCGCATTCTCGAGAGGCTTTAACGTTTGCCTACAGCCTATCAATATAAACTCCTTTTTTTTCTATTTGCAATAAGCTGGTCACTGATTTTGATCAAATCCCGATTTAGATACAAGTCAGACAATATCAAAATAAAATTTAGATAGTGTCATCTGCGTGCAAGGCTGCCAATTCGTCACATTGGGGACGCGCCGGTCAACTATTGGCCAATGTTTTTCCCTGTTCCCAGTCGCAATCCCAGATGTCTTTGGGAAAGTTATCTCGGTCCAGTTTCCTTCTCGTTTCTAAAGTGGCGATTATCGACATCGACAAAAGAGAAGAAAAGGCCCTAGGGTTGCTCCCTGAGGGATGCCACGGGACAGCGATCAATAGTCAGATAAATAATCATTCACAAGGCATTAAGAATTACAGTCACTCAGACAGGACTTGAGCTAATCATTGGTGACGTCTCTGTGTCATATTCATACAATGCGCCACGCCTTTTCAGCGTCAAGTCAAACACACGTATCTTTTAAGGGACGAAGCATTTTAAAGTTTTGAGGGGCCGTTGGACAATTTCTTCTAAGTAAGAATTGTACAATATTTTTGTCTTGTCTGTTCGTATGTTTGCTTGTTTGTTTGTTTGTTTGTTTGTTTGTTTCAGCCCTGGTATTTGTAAGCTTTTTTAACCAATATTTCCCTCTGCGTGGGCGAAATGATGGTCTACATCGACCTTCTCATCCAAAAAGAAAAAGATAAAAGGATAAAAAATGAAAAAGGGTAAAAAGGCAAAAAAATCCCTCTTTCTTTTAGAAGTGAGGCTCTGCATACAGCTTAGTGTAAACTTCTGTTTGTTCGACAAACTAGCCAGAGATTTGTAGCTTGCCTTCAAGCATTTTACCGTTTCGTGAATTACGCATGACATGTATGAATATGGAATTCTTAAGAGGCATAACTTTAAGAAGAATGGCAAGAAATTTTAAACTCTTTCCTAAAGATATCTAAAAGGATTCCTTTGATAACAGTGCTGACACACTGATGGGTATTTTGTATAAATTTATTTTTAATTTACTGTTATCATCATCATCATCATCATCATCTCTTTATGCTGAGGAGGTTACCATGGCTAAAGAACTGTTATTATTATCATGGACAATGTGGAAACCGAACACGCCAAACGGCAACTCAAAGAAAGAAACAGATGAGAACTGATTCGACACTTTTAATAACACAAACATCTCTATTAACTGACTATTTGTCATTTTTCCCTTCCGGTAAAGCATCCTCATATAAATTAACTGTCAAAGTAATGTTTCGATCACATGATCCTCGTAGTATGAAATTAGAATACTTAGAATTAGGCCATTTGCACAATCGCGTCATTTTACTACTACGACCAGAATCCCTTTCGTTTTTCCTCTTATATTTAAATTTGGTAATCCCAGCGAGGTTTAAACAACAAAAGTCCTAATTTGAACAAGGAAGCAAAACCCCTGCAGGATTCTGGTCGTTGTAGTCAAATGACGTCGTCCCACGCGAGCGACAAGTACAGGCTACGCAGTGAGTGATCTTCTTGTAAAGCGCTGCTATAAAAAGACCCAAACAACTAACATCCTGTTTTAGTGTATGTTGTTGACAGAAAATCACACAAATACTGCATGGACACACTGATCTTGTAGAAGTGCTATATCACTTATTAGTATATACTAAAACAGTGGATAGTGTTTTTCGCGCGCTCTGATTGGCTACTCAATCAATGGATATCCTGCACTATTCACTGATTCACCTACAGTTGCTCCGAGGGAGCAACGCCAAACTCGCGTTAGTTGCGAGCAAAATGCCTTTGCGGTTTGCTGCCGTAACAAACAAAGAAATTTCGCAACTAATCAAGCAAGCTGTTCCCGAAATACACGAAGAAGGTGACGAAGTTCGGTTTGGAAGTTTTAACAGGGAAAGCTTTGTCTTTTGCCAAAATTGTAATCGTTGGCAACAGTGAATGAGTTAAAAAAATCATCATTTTCGAGCTCAGTTATCTCAGTGTTTTAGTATATACTAAAACAATTATTCTGCACTAACCTATATAAATATAAACACAAATGCAGCAAATCACTGAGAATATTGGATTATGGCCTGTGGGGTAACGCCATAACGCCACTTTATTAAAGAAAATGCAAACAACTAGTACAAAATAGAAATGAAAAAGTAAAATAAAGTAAGCCGTGCCAGGAGGGCCAGAAAAAACCTAAAATAAAAAACCCCGTGGGGAAAAAGGGATAGGAAATCTGGGGCGGGCCAGGCACGACTTAAGTCCCCCGCCAAGACTACTAATAAACTAAATAATTGTAATAAACAAACGAAAACTAAATAGCAATAGTTTGAGCAACTTTTAAGCGATCACTAACGGTGTGCTTAATGTATCTGTTCTTTGAAGTGGCACATTTCCAGCCAGCATGCATATCTAGCAGATCAGCGGAAACACTCCGACAAGCAGGATTTGAGGCGGCACCAGACTTTATACTGTGCGTGCCGTAAAGAGCAATGTCACCTACAAATTTAACAAATTTCTTAAATTCATCTCTTAGCGTTGAATATGAAACTCCTCTCGAAGCATGAAAACACTCCCTAGACTTAGTTTTAACGATTCGCCTAACGAGGGGCGAAGATGACTCACAAGTTGAAGGGAAAAGCTTAAGTAACCTTTCGGTGATAGAAACTGGGCAAGTAGCCTTATGAGACCTAGCTAGAAAGGACGTATGCCCTTCTCTATACTGATCATTTTTGCGTTTAGGAATAAAAACTGACATGTACTCGTTGAAAATAGAGACATCTCTAACTGTCAAATTGCGAATTTCGTCCACTCGAAAAAACCAAGCAAAGCCAACCAAGAGAACGAAACGAAAACGAATAACGGCAAGCGAACTACTAGAAATATAATATTCAGCGATCCTTAAAACTGTGTCAACGGATAAAGGCTCTTTGGGTTGAACAGGACGAGCAAGCTTCCTTCTTGCACCCTCCAAGGACGACTTAACAAGGGGGTGACCAGTAGGGCATTCTACAATACCGGCCAGACCATGACCCCACTTAATACCATAAACAACTGACTCTAAAGGGGATATCCACGTATTATTAGAAATAGAAACAGCAGTAAGTTCGCTGATAAAGAGAGCAATGTGCAGTGGCTTCGCTGGAATAAATGAAACGCCAATCTTAGAATCTGCCCATTCACGCCATCTGATCCAGCCAGATCTATACTTCTTCACGGTAGAGGGAACCTTGGACTCAAACTGTAAATGGAGAAGGTCTGGAACAAGCTTGCGCAAGGATGGATCGGCCAAAGAATTCGCTTCACTCCAAATCCCGGATTGGAGAACAGCTAAAAAAAATAATAATATAAAAGTAGGCAGGAAAAGGCAAAACATTTAAAATTATAATACAGTAGAAAATATGATGCTGCATCATAATCATGCAGCACGGACAGCACTACAGCGTAAAAACGACATGTAATGAGAAACAAAGACAAACGGAAGCCGAACTGGCTGGGCCCGGTAATGCTGTAAAAAACAGTAAAAAATACAACAAAATAGCAAACATTCAATAAAACAAATGTAGACCAATAAAATAAAACGTAAAATGAGGCCAACTGACGGCGCCAAAACAGGCAAACTGCGTGGTGAAGCGGACATCGAACTCAGAGCCAAGAAGACGCTGCCAAACCAGGCAAAAAAATACACCGCCAAAACAGGCAAAACAAAGCTGCCAAATCAGGCAAAAATACACTGCCAAAGATAAACCTAAAAAACACCGACAAAAATGAGCTGTAAGGGGAGACAAAAATGGGAAAGCTCACCTAAAATCTATCCGCAAAGCTAACATTTTAAATTTCGGGCAGCCGCTGAACACCGACGGATGCGCTTTGTAAATCTGCTTCTGTCCTGGACCCTCCAGCAAGAGGTCTTCAATACAAGGAAGCTCAAACACTTCTTTAACAAAAGACTTGAACTGGGAGGCGTTGTCGTGCAAAAAAGGCCAAAAATAGGCCGAAGGCCATTGTGGAACGATCAAAGTGCCGTAACCGGAGCAGGACGAGAGAGCCCTAACTGAAGGCACAATGGCACCCACCGGAGGGCAAACCCAGTTATTCTCATGTCGCCAATCCTGAGCCAAGGCGTCCACACCGCTGCAACCTGGGGAAGCAAATTTAGAGTTGAACCTCGGAAGCTTGGCATTGTAATAGGACGAAAAGCGATCAATTGTGTGAGGGCCCCATTTAGCGTCGACAAGTCGAAATACCGAGGGATTGATGGACCAGTCGTCTTTATCAATAAATCTGCTAAGAAGATCTGCTCTTTCATTAAGAGACCTAGGGATCCACTGGGCTTCGAGAACGATGCTGTTGGCAAGACAAAGATGGAAAATATCCATAGCCAGGGCCTGGAGGTGAGATTTGGAGCTTCCGATAGCAACTATTCTGGCGGCGGCCTGATTATCAGTGAAGATTTTAACTCTCTTGTGTTTCAGTTGAGCCACGTAAGAAAGCAACACGTAAAAAATTGCTTTCAGCTCGCGAAACGTAGAGCTTTGGCCGATATCCTCGCACTCCCACATGCCGCTAACGACGGAGCCGTCTAAAGTAGCCGAAAATCCTCCGAACGCTACGTCGCTAGCATCGGAAAATACAACAATATGCGTAGCTAACGGTGGCCTAATAGAATAGCCGTTTAAGCAGTCGATGTTGCAATACCAAAACTTCAGTTCTTGTAAAAGGCTCGGAGGAAAATGAATTATGTCATCCCAAGCCGATCTGGTTTCAATGGCGAAGTACATTTGTCTGGTCAAAAGACGAGAAATTGGACCAACAGCTAACGCAGCTGAAATGATAGTGCCTGCTATTCTCGCTAACTCGCGAAATGAAGAGAATCCATCCTGAATCGCAGAATCTAGCAAGCCTTTAAGCTTGAGAACTTTCTTCTCGGGAATCCGGAAACACATTAAAATAGTATCAATAACGAAGCCTAGCCATTCGCCAATTTGAACTGGATCCCAGTGAGACTTTTCCTCGTTACAAAGAAGACCAGATGAAGAGAGCTCTTTACGTTGAATTAAGCTAGCTGCCACGGCAGAACATTTGTCTGGTCGACTCCCGAAACCATCGTCCAAATAAATGAAACTGTTGTGTCCCATAGAACGCCAACGCCTAACTAACGGGCGCATTAACTTGGTAAAACAAAAGCAAGCGCTACTTAACCCGAAAGGAAATACTGTAAAGGAAAAATATCTGACGACGCCAGAAAAAGGCCACGCGAAACCAAGGTACTTTTGGTGGTCGAGACAAATATCGACATGGTGGTAACCGGACTTAAGGTCCCAAGAGAAAAACCAGTGTCCCTCATCGAGAACTTGAGAAAGCGATCGTAAGTCCTCGTACTTGAATATAGGTTTTACTAAATAATTGTTTACGTGTCTCAGATCGATAACCAGGCGAAGCTTCTTCCCAACAGCGACTGTCAAAGGATTAACACAATACGGGGGGAATTCGTGCTCAACAATGTAGCCGTTACTTAAAAGCTCGCTAATAGCATCAGCGACAAATTCCGGATGCTGAAGAGCTGATCTATTGTTCTTCAAAAAGCACTGCGAGGGGTAATCATATCAAGGACAAAATCTGGTGCATCTAAAGTCTCGACCCAAAAGTTAAACGAAGATTGCAAGCGACCTTTCACGCCACTACTTCCGCCTTTCGCACTAAACTCGTCGCCACAACAAGACTATAAGTGAATTAAATCACACTCAACTTCCTCACAGGTCGACGAGTCGCCATCTAGTCAATCGCGTCGAGAGCTACTCTTCGAAGAATCCGCAGGCTTCAAGCACGTGGAACTCAAATGACCAAAATCCCCGCACTGAAAAAAGGGGAACACATACAGAAAAATATGAAAATAAAATCCATAACATAAAAATAAAAGAACAGTGTTGTAGCGTGTGGCGTTGCAGACCCGAAGGAAGAACATACTGACTGACAACAACTTATATATGAAACGCAATTAACACGTATTACGTAACTACTGAACACTTCATTGAAAAACACAATGAAAATACCAAATTCAGAACGTGCAGAAAACAAATATCTGCTAAACTTCGTACCGCAGATATTTTGATATTCACCTCAGTGTCGGTGGCTAGTGGTAGCATATTTACCGCGCCGCTTCGCGGCCTCGGTAAATACCACCAATACTAGCCATCTACGGGATCTACAAGTAACAACATCATGCGGGTAACCAGTGCTCGTGCGCTTGCAAATAAGTAAAAAAAATACCTTTTGAGCTAAAGCTACGGTGAAACGAGCAGCGAAAACGTGCAACTTTCGCAATATTGCTGCTAAACGAGATAAATAGCAATGTTGCGGGTTTTACCACCAACAAATAAAATATTGCACCCTATCTTTTCAACACATTAGGTTGTTCCAGGTTGCGAAAAGATGTCGCAAACAAAGTAGAGTAATTCTTCTTTTTGCCAAAAAAATCTTTATATTTTGCCTGTTTAACAGGCTTATGGCAGACCTGTTTTGCAGAGGTGACGGAACTCCCGCTTATGGCGAGACTCTCGCGTAAGTTTATCCAGTCAGGAATCAGTACTCACTCAATTTGCAATTACCTGATTTGTTCCAAGACTAGGTTTGAAAGAGGATGGTAAAACGCGCAACATCGCTATTCAACTGTTCATCGCCATTCAATTGTTTTGCAACAATGTTTCGAAACAAGTTTCACGTTTCTGTTGCCCGTTTTACCAGAGCTACAAAAAAACCTATGATAATCTTCACAATAGTCCAGACTGTAGCTTATGACACGATCAAATTCATCACAGATCTTCACCCCGATACAATAAAAAGTTTTCCACTTTTTTGGCCCTCAGAATTCGTCGGAGTTCACTATCCTTTATCTCGCTTGTCTTGTCTAACACGATTCTGTTTTGCGCGCGACGTTATACGAGCTTTCTCTTCTCTGTTATTGTTAGGCAACAAGACAAACTGAACAGAAATTTGTCCCGGGTAAGTTAGCTTTGGAGATTTGCTGCGTCCATTCTGCTTGATTCCCAGGAAGAGATCATGCCGTCTATGTTTAAAATATTTATGAGAAGCGAAGGTGTGAAAATAGTTTTCTTCGTACAACGTCTTAAAAAAGCTTTCATCTGTGACTTTAGCCTAGAGAAAAGAAAAGAAGTGAAGATTGTTTGGATTTTTGCCTGCAATAACTTGTCAAGGAAAGAAACTTCATGAGGTCAGTGAGCTGCACTTATGAAAATAATGAAGCAAAGGAAGCTGTAAAAAAAGGTTCTGTATTTAAGAGAAACAGGTTGTCAATGGCCCGATTGGATATGCATTTTAAACTAGTATTTAATATCAAATCATATATCGAAAAAATGCTTTTGAATTGTCATACTTAAAAGAACAAAAAAGCCCTTCAGTTTAAAGAATCTTTCCAGAACGTGAAAACAAAACACTCAAAATTGCATATCCGCAGTGTTTATTTACTACTCCCCAATAATCCAAACGCAACAAAGTGGGCGGCAGATCCATGAGCCATAAACTGTCTAGTACCTATGGTGAAATAAGTGGGACTGGCTCTAGAATAGATTGCTAAGGAGATTAACGCCCTTCATATTTCTGCTTATAAAACTCAACGAAAAACAAACCGGCGAATCTTAAGCCAGTGGATTTTGACAAGCGACAGCGAAAAAAAAAGTTAAAAGGGTGTCACATTCCGGAATTTAGAGCATTGGACTTCTCCAGCCCAACGGAAATTTTATATATCCCAGCTGGCAAGCACAGAGAGTGGTACCTCTGCAATTTTCTGTTCTTGTCCTCTCTCAGTGTTGCTAAATCGGATCAACACGATCAAGATGCGAATTTTATACTTATCGGTAAAGGATATCTTCAATCTCAATAGCTTGACTTCCTTTTTCTTATTCTTACTTTATTTTTAGGCTATGCGACTAGTGTTGTTGACTGGTGTTGTTGATTTTTTCAGTTGGTTTTCCAAGTGCTCTTAGCCCTAATGCCGATTTATGTCCTATCGCGCGACCTAAGCTTACACCAGGCAACAAATACCACGGACAAAGCAAACACTTCCACACAAGGTAGCTCGGGAATGTCTAGGCGCCCATTGAAAATTTTAAGAAGAACAGACGTCTCACCTCCGGTGTTTTTGACAGTGGAACCAACAAACACGAAACAAGTGATTCTCTTTTGTCGAGTTGCTTTGTTGTTGCAGGTGGACGATAATGGAACTATTTCAAGCTCTCTGAATCAAAATAGCGAATACGGTAAGTATGTCTGCAATATTCCTGTTTAAGTGTCTCAACTCAATTTTGTCATCAAGCGGTGATGGAACTGTCCATTCTACTGTAAAACTAACTCTTGCTATCGACTAAGTAATTAACGTTTTATTAATTGAATGCTATTAATTTTAAGTATTTACCAAATCAGTGAGTGGCTGGCAGTTTGCGAGTGTGTTTTCATTTGCTCCGGTAACTTAAAATTTCCATGACTATACAATGCTTTTGGCCGCTATAATTGGCCGGGAAGGGGGTCAAAATGGATTAGCGTTTCGCGACAGTTTCGGAGGACGAAATTTTAGCCATAAACTGAGTTCAGTAGTGCAGCTCAGCTATGACATCAATTATCAAAAAAGTGGAAAAATTTGGTTCGTGAATGTTTATTGGTACATGGAAAATTATTTTTTAGTGTTAAGAATATATTTGGCAAAGTTTGTCTCAAAAAGGGAAGGAAAGTACAAAATATTATTTATTTTTGCTGGAAGATCAGAGAGCCTCAAAATCATATCGACTTTCACTTAGTTTTTTAAAAACAGTGAAATCTGTAAAAAGACTCACGACTCTTAGCTAGCGCCTTCGTTATCAAAGAATTCTTTACGTCACTTACCAGTCATTCCTTCTGAACAATGTTTTACTTACCCAAAGTTCGTTTCCTGTTTTCCGGAAATATTTTTGTCAGATCCAACTATTTAATGACAGTTGTATCGCCTCAGTTTTTCCGCCTTGAAGTATGAAATGACTAAAATCTTAGGATCGCTGGGGTCAGTGGCACATCAAACGTACCTTCAGATAAAGTTGCTAACGCGTGCGGTTAAAATAAAACGTTTAAACGGGTTCAACATAAAAGGAAGCGTTTACTTTCGTCGTCAAGATGTATGCAATCTGGTCCCTGATCTGTGCCTTAAACAAAATAATCGAAAGCTTGAAGAAAGGACATGTTGAATCCTAACCGATACATAAACCTTGGATTCTTTGGAATTGTCTGAAGCCTTTTTCTGATCAGCAGTACCGCTGGGACGAGCTGAGGAACAGACCATCTCAAAACTGTATGAAACCGGATGTTCTATTTGGTGCTATATGCACTTCCTGTACCCAAGTAGGTGCTTCCGGTAGCCATTACCATAGCAATAGACAGGCGTTTCCGTGTGGTTTCGGAGCAAAGAAAGAGGAATGGGATTTTCGGTTTTGGCCGCGCGAAAAATGGAACAGAAGCCAAACAGTGATGTCTTCGAAGCTGATTTAAAAGGCGTGGTACCCTGCGACAAGTGTTGCATTTTCTTCTAAACAAGGAGAAAGAATTCAAAGGGAGAGAGCCTATTATGACAGTTACAAGGCTCTTGCAAACGCAGACGTATTTCCGGTCGTCTTTTGACGTGGATAGAAGCGACGACCGGAAATACGACTGCATTCCCAGGGTCCTTGTCCTTGTTTCTTCTAGCCAAAGGGAATTCAAAGGGAGAGAGCCTGTTATGACAGTTACAAGGCTCTTGCAAAAGCAGGCGTATTTCCGGTCGTCTTTTGACCTGGAGAGAAGCGACGACCGGAAATACGACTGCATTCCCAGGGTCCTTGTCAAGAGGTTAATTTAAAGTAAATAGACAAATTATTTCACCCCTTCAATTTCTTTCTAAATGACCCATAACAGTTTAAAAAATAATTGACTGAATTGTCAAAGTGATCGGTATCTTTTATGGAGGTAACCAAAGTGATACCTGTTTTTTTATTATCATTATTATTTTGTAGTGAAGTTTGAGTTACAGTCCTTTGGAACAAGTATATTGCGAATCCTAAATATTGCAACTGGGAAATATCTTGCCATGGATTCTAAAGGAAATTTGCAAACAAGAGTACGTCTGTCGATTTTGTATGCTTTACTTTTCTTTCTTAACTTCTTTACTTGTCTTGAAGTTGTTTTATTCTTTAATATTTTATTTTTTCACAAGTCCTTTATTCAGTCAAGTTTTCCCCTGGAAAGAGGCGAGACCTCCCAAGAAGGTCCAGAATGTTTCAGAGACTTCCTCCAAAAAAGCTCCCTTAATTCAGGGGCACCCAACGGCAATTTTCGGGAAAATATCTGTTCGGAAGACGATTTGAGATCGAGAATTTTCAGAACATTTGTTGTAAAATTTCTTGCTTGCCTGCCTCTCCTAGGATTTTCGAACATCTACAAAATGGTATAATTACTCATTTTTAACGGATTTTGACCCTAAAAAAGACCACCTAGAATTTTCGGGAGCCTTTTCCTGGCTGAAATTTTCGAGAAGGTAAGTTTTTATCCCTATAATTTTCGGATCACTAGATTTTCAGCTAGGAAATCCGAACAGATGAAAAGTTTTTAGGGGATAAAAATATGCCTATATCTACCGTTTGAATACTAAAATACGTTCAACAATGATATGTTAAGTGGTTTTGAACTATATCCTCGTTGGGTGCCCCTGTTAATTCAAAATTCCCAAAAATTTGTAAAAACGCCTAAAAATTTGCGAAAAAAATCAAGTAACGTTCTCTATGCCATTATGATGCTAGTATTTTTTGGAATTCTGGCAGTTTTAAGTTTATATGTAAAATCACACTGAAGAAAAACACCGACAGCCTTAATTGACCTCCAAAAAGCAGGAAATCAGGGATCTTAGTTATTTAAGAGTCCTCAGACGGGTTGCTCTGAGGAGATATAGGATGCTTACAATTTACACAAACTACCCGCTGGGTGGAAATCTTGTACATAAACAAAATTAACTGTAAACAGATTAAAGGAGTGCAAAAATTGCTTCGCCTCAAATCACAGCCCGTATTTTCTGAAATTTCCGGTTTTCCCATAAGTACCCTATAAATTGAAGGGAAAATGCTGTTGATCCCACATCAGTCTCTGGAAGAATGAGCCCTCCATGTTGGTCAGCGGGAAAACCCTGAACTGGTACTGTTCTCCTAAGGTACAACAGGAAAACGTCAACTAAAAGTAGTTAAATATTTTTCTCTGAAATTCTACTTATCGTCTCTGAATTCCCATGGCTTTCTAAAATTCTTTTAGAGGTCTAAAATGCTCAAAAAAGGAGCCTTTGTGTCAAAGCCTTTAACCTCAATTTACTAGAAATTGTGTATCTTTGGTTTGTTATAGCGTGTTCGTGGAGTGTATTTTAAAACGTCTCAAAACAATTTTCCGACCACTTCCGTCTGGGAAATTCTCCAGTTTCGTTAAAACGACGCCAGGCACATTCCGGTTAGGATGCCGGTGTTTCTCGACTTCTCGGCTAACGTTTAGAGGCGTGGCTTACGAGAACCGTTTCAACGCAGTTTTCAGAATTCGAAAACAGCTACAAGAGATATAAGCATTTGGAATGTATGTAAGGAAGTTTCAGTGGGTACTCATTTCTTTCATTCTCTCCGCAGGAAAATGCAACCAACGAATGTTTGTTTTATCAACATCATGAAGAGAATTCATATGTATCCTTCGCATCCTTTAAGTATTACATGAAAGAATTTTATGATATGTTTATCGGCATCAAACGTAATGGGGAAGTAAGAAAAGGTACAACAACATTACCAGGACAAGATTCAAATCTGTTCCTTCCTCTTAATTTGGGTTAATAGAGAAATTCAAGAAACGACAAGTTTTGATGGTTCGTCTGTAGTGTTGGGGCAAGTTTTATTGCCTTAAGAACGTTAAATCATCGTGCTATCTCCGCGGCGTTCTTTTGGAGCTACTGCGGAACAGGACAATTAAATTTTAAAAACATGTCTACGCCAGAGAGAGACAAAATGCGATTTAATTTTGGCTGACTCTTGTGTAGTAAGAAAATGGCGGTTTTAGAGCGAGTACAGCTTGCTAAAAATGCCTTGTTTCAACATAAGTAGGTCTTAAATCTGATTTAAAATCATACTTGAAAGGAATTTAAAAATAATAATTATTAACTTATTAATGCAAGCAATCTGTTAACTTTTGCCGGCCGTTTCAAATGAGTTCAAGCTGAGTTACATATGGAAACTGTTACCCGGTTTGGAGACGAGATACCTTCGCAAACATCTCATAACTCTAAGAAAATACAGTTCTTGGGGAGCCATCGAGTTTCCGGAGAAGTTTGCGACCCAAGTAAAATCCGCCCTGCTTGCCGGCCTTGCACCAACTGCCCACTTGGTTAGAATTCAAAATGGCCACCTCAAAACAGACTGTTCGCAGCTATAAACATAAGTTTATATTTAATCATTTGGTAAATCTAATCGGATGTGAGTACCCACTGAGCTTCAAGAGTAATTTGACTACATTTATTTTTGAATTAAGTCCAAATGTAAAAAATCCAAAAAAGATTTGTAAAAAGCCAATTAGATACCGCCTTTGGCAAAAATGCATGGTCGCAAGTGGATCATCCACGCGTCAGTTAATCTTGATATTTAGTTTGCTATTGCTTCACCGATTTTTACTACTACAATATAGTTTGGGCTTCGACCTATAAAACCAATTTCCGCCGTCTTGTTATGCTGCAAAAGCGCATAATTAGAATTATTAATAAATCACATTTCAATGCTCATACTGAACCCATCTTTAAGGACCTCGGTATACTAATTAAAATTTAATGATATCCATTTCCTTCGACTGGGCCAATTTATGTTTTCTTGCAAAAATGCATTCTTACCTCCAAGGCTGAATAACAATTTCTCCCAAAGCAATCAATTTCACTCTTACAATACAAGAAATTCCCAGGCCCACCGTCTACCGTATTGTCTAACAAACACTAATATAAGAAGATCTTGCCCTTTTTTCAACGACCTAAGTTTTTAATTCACTTGACAACGACGTCATCAACTCTCAACCCCTTTCCTCTTTTAGGAAATACTAAAGATTAGATTAGTATAGGTAATAGCATGATTTGAAGTGATATTTGGCATAAATACAACGAGTGATATTTCGAAATTGTTACAGGTAATTTCACGAGCCGTTAGGCAAGTGAAATTTGAGACAATTTTGACATTATCACAAGTGGTATTTATGCCAAATATCACGTACAAATCAAATTTTTTATACTACTACCAGCTAAAGGTTTGTAATTTTCACATGTAGGTATTTCAAATTAAGCTGAAATACCACTGCTCTAAGCCAATCAAATTGCAGAAGTTTTTTATACCTGAGTAAATACGAAAACAGTTCATAAATCTTTTCATCTTCAACTTTTCGCCATCTTTTCTTCAATTGATGTTAAACAGCTCTAGCCCGTAGTTCGAGGAGGCCTTCTCCCCACTTCTTTTTTTTTTTCTATTTCCCTATATTTTTTGTAATTATTGGGTGGCAAATAAAATAAAATAAAATAACCGCTGTGATCTCGAAAACGTGCAGTTCTTGAAAAAAATACCTAAGGTAAATAATCCTTGTAACAAAGCCATCTGGAAGATAAACCTTTTAAAACCTTAATTTAATCCTGCTGTAATCTCGTATCCAAAGACATTCCGTTGGAACGAGAGGGACGACACCAGTTATCGAGAGGGATTTGTATTCTAAGAGTGAGATTGGTTTTCCTCGGAATATGCAGAATGATTGCGTATTATGTTTTGAAAATTGTGTTTCCAGGTAGGCTGCTTGCCTGTGCTAGCTTCTTTCCTATGCACAGTATAGGATCGTTAGAGTGAACGAGGTCAGTTGTGGGCTCGCTTACCAGCCGCTGTTCTGGAAATGAGCCCGCGTTCCTCCGCGGAGCATTCTCTTCTCGGGGAGGACCGACAGAGTGGCGGAAATCGTGCTTAGGTCAATGGAACACTTCGCAAATCCATATTGCAAATTTGTTTTGAATAAGGCATTCATTCAAAAGTCAAATGGCACACACATAACAAGAGTAACGACTTTTCCTCTCTGTTTAGAAATATATGGCATGGGGGTAACTGCAACTCGAACTCTAGCTAATTACAGCTGCCGGAAAAGAACCCCCTTCTTGGTAACTTGGTGCAATGTTAGACATTTTGTAGTGAGTGATCATCTTGTAAAGCGCTGCTATAAAAAAGACCCAAACAACTAACATCCTATTCTAGTGTATATTGTTGACAAAAAATCACACAAATATTTCGTGGACACACTGATCTTGTAGAAGTGCTATATCACTTACTAGTATATACTAAAACAGTGGATAGTGTTTTTTGCGCGCTCTGATCGGCTACTTAATCAGTAGATATCCTGCACTATTCACTGATTCACCTCCAGTTCCTCCTAAGCTTAAAACTAAATTTAATAATCTTTTTTACAGAATAATTTTAAATACAAAAAGAATTCACAACTCCTTTTGAAGAAATTTCCCCGCAAGAGCTAAACAAATGCCTTCAATGTTTTATTTGTCAGCAAGAAAAAGCGACGACGGTGGCCGTTCGGTCATTGCGCGCCAAAATTGTAATCGTTGGCAATAGTAAATGAGTTAAAAAATCATCATTTTTGTGCTCAGTTATCTCACTGTTTTCGTATATACTAAAACAATTATTCACCTCAGTGTTGGTGGCTAGTGGTGGTATATATTTACCGCGCCGCTTCGCGGCCTCGGTAAATTTCCACCACTACTAACCATCTACGCGATCTACAAGTAACAACATCATGCAGGTAACCAGTGCTCGTGCGCTTGGAAATCAGTAGAAAAAATCCCACTTCAAAACAGGTATGACTGGCTTTAAATTGTGGTGGATCCAGGGCAGGTGCCGGAGACCTGGGTCCTCCCCTTATTTTTAGACCAAACTGAGGCCCAAAGGGCCAAAAAAAATTTTGAAACCGCCCCCCTTATCTCAGGGTCTGGATGACCGAGCCTTCTCCCTTCCCCCCGTATCTGGATCCGCCACTGAAGAAAAAGTATACCTTTTGAGCTAAAGCTACGGTGAACCGAGCAACGAAAACGTGCAACTTTCGCAGTATTGCTGCTAAAAGAGATAAATAGCAATGTTGCGGGTTTTACCACCCACAAATAAAATATTGCACCCTGTCCTTTCAACACATTAGGTTGTTCCAGGTTGCGAAAAGATGTCGCAAAGAAATTAGTCAGTAATTCTACTTTTTGACAAAAAATCTGTATATTTTGCGCGTTTGACAGGCCCATGGCAGACTTGATTTGACGGAACTCCCGCTTACGGCGAGACTCTCGCGTAATTTTATCCAATAAGAGATCAGTACTCACTCAATTTGCAATTACCTGATTTGTTGCAAGAAAGGTTTGAACGATGATGGCAAAACGTGCAACATCGCTATTCAACTTGTTTTGCAGCAATGTCTCGTTTCACGTTTTTGTTGCCCGTTTTATCGGAGCTACAAAAAAAATTCTGCTAATCTTCACAATATTTCAGACTGTAGCTTATGACACGATCAAATTCATCACAAATCTTCACCCCGATACAATGAAAAGTTTTCCACTTTTTGGGCCCTCAGACTTCGTCGGAGTTCACTATCCTTTATCTCGCTTGTCTGGTCTAACACGATTCTGTTTTGCGCGCGACGTTATACGAGCTTTCTCTTCTGTGTTATTGTTAGGCAACAAGACAAACTGAACAGAAATTTGTCCCGGGTAAGTTAGCTTTGGAGATTTGCTACGTCCATTCTGCTTGATTCCCAGGAAGAGATCATGCCGTCTATGTTTAAAATATTTATGAGAAGCGAAGGTGTGAAAATAGTTTTCCTCGTACATCGTCTTAAAAAAGCTTTCATCTGTGACTTTAGCCTAAAGAAAAGAAAAGAAATTTAAAAAAACAAATTCATCTGTCTTGTGTACCCCGTTTGATTAAAAAAAAACGTATTTTCCACAAAAGAAATGCACAAACGCTAGTTTGGCGTTTAATCTAACCCTGCTAGTGCATATGAACTGAAACGTGCTTAGAAATGGCTGAATTTGCTTCAGAAGTCGCCACATTTGTTGAAACAATTGTCACACTATGCCCTATCCAAAGGTGATACGCTTATTACCGGGCCATTTGAAAAAAAGAGAGGAGTCTGGACATTAGGGAAGGCAAGAGCCCATAGGGTCCTGCGAAGGAGAGAAAGACGAAAGGCAGAGAAGTCCGTGGAGAATGTGTGACTTGAAAAATCCTCAACTTTCGTCAGGCATTTCAACGAAATTGACTGTTGTAGGGTCTGCAGCATGAAAAACCGTGAACCAAATTTTTTCCGTTCATCCACTGAGTCCTAAGATATCTTTTGTCATTTCTTTGTCTTTTATCTCTGGTTACGAAACACTTTCTTTATAATGAAAAAATGCACTTTATTTTAGCGTCAATGTATTTAACACGAAAGTACTAATTGGGGACACTATTTCTAGGTCTCCTACTGGAAAAGGCACCGTTATTTTTGGCATGGTCATCCGAGCCACGCGAAGGTCCAGCCGCTTCCAGTGCAAAGGCACTACCTCCATTTCTCATTTATTTTAAGACCCTGAGTATTGTTACGGCCCCGGGAATCGAACCCGAGACCTCCCGCTCTGCAGTCAAGCGCTCTACCGACTGAGCTAATCCTACTGCGGTAATCATTGAAAACGGTCGAAAATGATGAATGATTGATAATTTACAAATTTTTTCAGATTTTTCAGATTTTCAGATTTGTTCCAGAGCCATGATTTAGCCTTGATGGCGAAACATATTACCTGAGTAACGACCTTCCCATTTGAATTAATGGCCAGAAACCTCCCAGTGACAAGATTACGCAGTCTTAGTATGCTTGTTCCAAAGGACTGGGACTCGAACAATGCTGTATTGGAAGGAAACGAAATCGGGTTAACCAGCGTGTGTTCTCAAAGAAAAAGTAATTTTTGTTATAGACAAGTATTGATCATAAAAAAAGCCAATGGCTCTTTTACTCAATAACAAACACAAGACACAGTTATGCATGAAAGTCTCTTGAAGCTGGTTATTCTTAGAGTCTCAAGTAAAATCAAGGAGCCCATAACCCGGAGCGAGCAACTCTCAAACTAGGCCTATGTCACGGCGTTTTTACGAACCAGTCTATTTTTAGACACATTTTAGGGCAATTTTTCCGCAAAAATGGAATCTCCGCCACGTCTATGAACGCATTCGAAGTATAAGATTTCAAAAAGGAAAACGTAACGTCATTAAAAGGCAAAAATTATTATTTTTAGGTCTGTAGGTCTTGCTGACTGGTTTATGGGACTCAAAAGATATTCTAAATTCGCGCCAAAACCGTTCTAAAAAAACAACCTGGTCCGTGAAAACGCCGTGACACGAGTACACGGAAGTTGCTCGCTCCAGATTATAGTATGTCCTCTGTATGTCCTCTCTTTTGTGCTTCAGAGAATCACTGAGAATCACTCTGCTTCTCCTGTGAGATGATGTTAAAGAATATATTTATCCGGTGAATTTTGTCTTGTATTATATGCTAAATGAGACCTTTATTTAAATATGTAAATTAAAAGAACGACAAATAATCAGGAAAAACTTACTGTTTTCACTTGATTGGTTCAGAATTCCGACAATTCGATTCTTCTTGGCGATATTATTTAACCCTAGAAAATATCCTGTCTTGCAAAATAGCTGCACAATTTGCACGTTTGAAGGAAAATTCGAAGTCACTTTGAAGATCTGGTAGTTGATTCGTATTGGCAAGGGCTCTGAACTGTTCATATGATGATAGTTTTTGATGTGAGGGCAAACTTGGCGTTTGATGGGCATAGTGATGACATACGGGAATAGAGCAATAACCACGGCCACGCCGAGGAAGAGGATAGTATGACCACGCTGTAAAAAAAAAAATTCAAGTCTAATATATAGATTTAGCCAAGGCTAAAGGCGAAGCACCCGTTGGTAAATTTGTAATTTACTTCAAACGATACACTTGCAATCATTGCAAAGAAATCCACTTGGAGTTGAGCCTGCGATCAGTTGAAAACCAGCAACTTGTAAGCGGATAACTTCAAAAAACTCGCAACCTCGATGAGTCGACACCTGAGCCCGCGCTACGGTCATGTGATGTTGGTCAGCACATACCCTGTTTTGACAGCTGCCAATTGGCCACAACATGGATGTGGAATTTCATGTTGCAACCTCCCACACTAGGTAGAAAGTGTGAGATTTCACATTGGTTACTCTGTGGTGTGGGCGGACGGGTGGACGGTATGGTCACGTAACTAAAATTTCTCAGATGGATAGATAACCAAATTTCTTAGCTATGTGGACTCACTTGTGCCGCGTGCGCGTGTAGATCCGCTATCACCTTTTGGTAACTTGAAGTTGAAGGTACGTCAACTTTGGTACGAGTTTTATCTAGTTCCATACTTGAGTGGTTTGAAATTAAATGTCGTAAAATGATAAACGTTCTTAAACAGCACATAGAACCCATTTCTCTTTAGCAAGACCTATCATTGGATGATCCAAAAATTTCATTGATTAGATGATTTAAACAACCAATCAGATCTTGCTGAGGCAAATATAAAGCCAAGCAAATCGTTGCAACTCGGACATCCAAGTCAACTCTGGAGGAAGCGCAAGAAATCAAAACATGTGTCAAACGCGAGAAAACGCTTGCGAGGACTATTTAACTTAAATTCTCTTTCGCTTTTGTTTGGTCCTTTGGTATAAGAAAACAACGCTAGATATTTCAGCTCATCTGTAACGTATATCAGTAGACGTTTGGTACTTTTATTGTTTGAGTCTCTAAATTCGATCAGGCTAAGGTCAACCGTTGAGCTTCACATGGGCGAACGTAATGATAATAAACTAAAACAATAAATTTTTCTCTTCAACATTAGGTTCGTTACAGGCAACGTTCGACGTTTCGAATCTGGCATCAACTAATAAGATATATATTATTTTGGTAATCAGTCTTTCGGCGAGCCTTGAGGCTCTGATCAGGGAAAAATCATTTCGCTTGACAACAATGTCAAACTCATGTTAAACTCGTGTAGCTTAATTTTCAGTATAGAAGTTTACACTCGAGGTAATCGCAGATTAATCGCGTCCGGCTTGTTTGTTAGCTGTAGAAAAAGCGTAGAAGTTCCAGGTATAGAGGTGAGAGTACAGAATGTGTAAGTTTTGGGGGGCGAGGGAGGGGGGTTAGTCAGAGTTCCCGGTAAGAGGATGTTTACATTATTCTCACTTGATTTTGGATACAGGTAGAGATTGTCACATTCATTATCTAGAGTTGAGCTTTCTACTGGCAAAGACTTGCATAACGAAAGAACTAAAATTGAAAATTATTACTTATTATTAAAATTAAAATTAAAATTATTAATTAAAACAGCACCACTAAACTATTTTAAGACAAAATGTGACTTAAGACGCGCACATACCATTTGAAATTGTTTGAGCGGGCCATGATGTGCAATCTTATTGTAACTGGAACGACTTAAGCGTGTTCGATTAACCGTATTCCGGCATAAGAATAAATAGAATAAACGCTAGAAATCAGTTGTCTAGTTTTGCAGTCATGCATCAGTCAATTCCACCTGCGCCCAGGCATTTTTTTTTTGCCTTGGATGGCAAATTCCCGGGGGTGGGGACTCTTGAGCTGGCAAATCCCCTGGGGTGGGGACGAAAAAAGAGGGCAAATGCCCCGTCCTCCGTCAACAGTGCAACATTTTTTATTGATCACACAGTCCAATAGTGCCATTTTAATGTGCGATTTTTTGTTTCAATTAACGTCTTCCTTTGTAATAGCGCTGGGATTATATTCTAATTAAGACTTCACGCCGCCACGACATGCACCAGTTTATGGTTTTAGTATTGATATAAAAGTATTGACATTAAAATTAACAAAGCGCTGTAAAGTTATATGTTATGAATAGTTTTATAAATATGAAAGGGTGTTCTTCAAATAATATTAACAGAAAGTTGATTCAATAACCAAAAAACGTTGATTCACATCGATAGCTCCAATTTCGCTATGTAATTCTGGCTTGATAAGCAATGAAGAAATGCATACATACATGTAAAATCGTGAACTGGCCTTTACAACCCTCTACAATTTATTCCTGTCCTTGACAGATGAGCCAATCTGCTTTTTTTTCCAGTAAAACCTTCTGTGTAGTTATATTCTGATAGGAAACCACGTGCGTGTCAAAAGCTCGGGAATGGCCCGGGGGTTGGCAAATGCCCGGCCCCGGGCAGTGCAAAATTTGCAAATGCCCCACCCCCGGGACTGACAAGGCGGGTAAACACCCCGCAGTAGCCCGGGGGGGGGGGCTGGGCGCAGTTGGAATTGACTGATGCATAATATTAGAGAGCTTTAGCTGCTGAGACGAGGACGACTACGAATACGAGATTTTCTCAATACTAAGTAGTGCTCTTGCGTGAGCCAACGCAATTTTGGCGGGAAAACGTTATAGCCGTCATCATTCTACTACGAGTTTTAGCGCGAGTGTCATAGTGGCGGGAACAAGTTATCAAAATGATTTTACTGAGTTTAATAATTTTGAGACCGAGAAAGGGCTAAACGCTCTCCAATAGAAAATAACTGCATTAACTTTTCAAGTAAAAAATAAAACAATGAAGTTCAGGATTGAATCTGATTTTCTTGAGAATACGCGAAAAATCTTTAGGTTAAATCTCGAACTCGTAGTCTTTCTCGTCCGCAAGTCTAAAGCTCTCTATTGTGTTCCAATGTTGACAAAACTGCTTGAAATAAAATATTCTGTTGCATAAGAAGATATAACGAAGAGACAAAATTAACGGCTTTAGCCACTTTATTACACGTATTCTGTTGCATATAAAGTTTAATGGCCCAAAAATAATGTACGAAGAGATTTGTAACAAAATTTTTACGCATTCTTATTCCCGAATACGATCAATCAAACACGCCTTTAATTTTAAAGCATTGAGATTTAAAAATGATCCTGGCTAGATGGAATCCCGTAGGCGAGATTTATCCGGATTTGTTAATGTTACCTTATATTTTGTCAACTCAGTCTATGTAATTAGTTAATTTATACTTACCTTCATTGTATTTGACTTTCGATCCTGGCCTTACTGTTACTGTTAACTTTATTTTTACTCTGAGGGAGCCCAATTTCTATAAGCCTCATGGTTTCTTTTTGGGCTTCCTCGCCACTTTCATTTGCTTTTGTGTAACTGTCTTGTTTTATCGTTATTTGTATTTTGTGGTAAATCAAATAAAGTTACAAAGTTACAAAGTTACAATTTTAGTACAACATTAAGGGTTTTGGATTCGCAGGCTTTGGCGTTTGTACTATTAACCGTATACGGATTCCCAACCAATTACACACATCGATAAATCCGTGGATATTCATGCGCGAAAACGGTTATCGTGCATTTTGGCTGTTTGCCGCCGATTACGTTCACCAAATTCGTATCTTCAGGGACGGCGGAGCGCAATTTCAACTGGGGGGACTGCGCTTGAAAACTTGCGCCGGAGACACGTATTGGTTGGGTTGGGGGATTGGGAGGAATCTTCCTCCAGAAAATTTTGAAATCTAGAGGCTCAGAAATGGTATTTTCAACATTCTCAATGAGATATTTCTCTAAAAAATCTCAACCTGGATAAGGTGTAAAATGACAGGCACTTCTAGTGCTTACAGCACGTACCTACTTAAACAAAAAAATTTTTCCTCTAGAAAAGTGGAGGGGGGGCTTTTAGACCCCTCGGCTCCGCCGTCCCTGATCATCGCAGGCGAAAAGCATCCGGCCAATTTATTGGAAGAATGACAGCAAAACATTGACGATTGAACAGTAATCGGATTCAAGGTATTCACTTCATTCAACATCTTCGGGGACGCGATCAAACTGGAACGTTTTTACTGATTTCAGATACACACATCTGCGTTTCTTGAACGACCATTAAAAGAAATCTGGTATCAAAATGTTTCGGATCCATCACAAATCTGGAAAATCCCTCTACTGTAAAACTTGCCTGAAGAGAAGGTCAGACACCTTGTGACCCCGACACCATGAAGCAAAGAAAATGATGTTTCATGTAGTTTTTGGAGATAAAATGATAACTTTACAATTGACAAAATAAAATGGTTTTTTTTAGCTTGCATCCTCGCTTTTATTCTTTTGATTGTGATTACAGTATATTACTTGCTTTCGGGCCCGGAAAGTTACCGGGACTTTGAAGAAACGGGCCCAAAGAGCGTGAAAGGGATGATTTAACTAAAACAAACGTCTCAATGTCTTCAAAAAGTTGAAATGCAAACAGATAGTATTAAAGACAGGTTAGAGTGACTAAGACCTCTATCGGAAATATAATGCTTCCAACACCATATACGTTTGTTTGTTTAGTGCATTTTGAATTCTGAGGGTTCTACATTTATTGTTATTGAGACTAATCAATCCGACACGCTGCATGGAAATTAAGGCAGGGGTCCTAACTTGGATATGACGGATGATTTTGCTTAAATTTCAATACAAAGAAAGCGATTTGAGGCTATTTAAAAAGGCTTTGTAATAATGGCATGAAAATCCACTCGGTTTATTGTGATCAATATTACTTTTCACATGTATTAGTTAAGCGAAAAACGGGTAAGGAACACTGAAGTGAAACAAAACGTCTTTTTACGGCTTAAACTGATACTACATGTTATTTCCGTTTCAGAAAACCAGCAGGTTTTGGCTTAAACTAGAATGCTTTTTCTTCAAACTGGATGCGCTGTTAAAAACGAAAGCAGGATGATTACATCCACAATTAAGTTAACAACCAAGCTACTCACAATTTTCTCTCATACATTTTTTTGCCTCAAAAATCAAAGTTTCTATTTATTTACAGTCAATAGTCAGCTTAATGAAGATGAACTTTTTTCCTAGGATTTATAAAGATCATATTTGTCAAACAAACATTTCTGTAGGATACGAACACGCAACTCATTCTCTCTAAATCTGCAATATCATGATTAGTTAATGAGCTAGCTGCACAAGCATAAACATGAGAACAATTTGAAAAGCAAGGCCAATCGTTAAAAAGTCGTGTCAATTGAAAGCGAAATGAAGAAATGCAAAATAGGATAAGGTACTGAGGATACTTCTAACTGAGTGATGTTTATGCATTGGTTGGTCAAACCTGTGTTTATTTTCATGCTGCCATTTTTTTAAGGCGTATGTTTTCTCCTTGGCTCGGAAAACGGGGCCGGCAAATTGTGACGACCCCAGCAAAAGGGCTTATCTCTTCTTGTAGCAGAACAACAAAACTCTGAACTTTGGATTCTGTCTCTTAATGCTTTGATCATTAGAAACCCTCAGCGTTTTCCTATTCATAAAGACCGTTTCTAGTTGGCAGAAAGAGCTTTTTTTCTGGGTCTAACAATAGTTATTTCGTCCTTTAGACATCCCCTCTCATTAATGAGCCGTTCCAAAATGCCTAACTCCAAGATACTTCCCACGCATTTCTGTCTTAATCCCGTGAATTTGAATGCAGTGAAACTACGTAGTTTTCCCATTAAGACATTTTTACCCCACACTGGCTTAAATAGAAACTTCAATAAATACTTACCTCTGAAAACATTTCGAATTCCCGACGCCAACGCACGTTTTTATGAAAGATACGTCTTAAAAGACGCTGAACTATTTAATGTCTATTTGAGACAGAATTGATCAAATCACAAAAAACTGTTAGTCAAGCAATTTCATCAGACCTGTCTGAGATGGTAAGATGTCTTGGTGAGCCACTGGCCTCGACCGGAAAAAGTCGACGTGAAAATGGAAACAAGCTTAGAAAGACACGGATACGAGCTGCAGTAGGTGATCAAACCGAACAGAAAACACTGCTGTTAAACTCGCAGTTTGACTCAGCTTGAAGCAAATTGAGTGGCGCAATAAATTATGCAAAGTTCTTTTATAATCTGGTGGTCTGTACAGTAAGAAAAATAAAAAAATCTTTTGCTTTGCTCGGGTCACTGAGATTACATGCAGGAGGTGGTTTTCCAGCTGATTCAGGCACAACCGCAACTCCGGAGACGAACTCAAAATATGGAATTCTACTTTCCTATTTCATGTCTTTCAAAGTTCCTTCCGTTTTATTCTTGTATGAGCAGGATGCATGCATGTTTAAAAATATTGCCCGTCTGTGACTGAATAGAACCAGGAGGTTTCATAATCAAACGCGTGAAAATCTCATTCAATTTTCTGTAACTCCGAACCAATAAACTCCAAATATTTACTGACTGACGGAGCTGTGCCGACAGCACTTAATGTGGGCTAAGGTATTGAAGAAATACGGAAGTTCTTTTAAAAAATGATTACTACGCTGGTCGTGTCGTGCAGAAATATAATACGCTCATTGGGAATTCAGTCTTGTTGCTTCGTAAGGACATTTCCTCTTTTCCTTCAAAGAAAAAAAATACATTATTTATTTAATTATGTTATCTTTTTTTTCCGTTTAAATCTCTTCGAAAATTCTCATATATAGTTGTAATCTATGAGATGATAAGCTTTTTTCACTGTGCTTAAAAAGTAATCTTTATGAATTGATCTCTTTTTGATCACTGAGAGAAAAAATTTCTCGAACTTTGCTAATTATTATTGAATAGTAACCGGGCCGAGTCGACAGGACATTCTAACAAGTTGATGTATATGAAATTGCGTGAGTACCCAGTGGCCGTCGGTCAACATCGATTATATCAAATAATTCTTAAAAAATTCGAAATACAAAAGATATTTTTTACTGGAGTTAATCTACCGGCTCCCAAACCTGGCTGGAACCAGGAGGGGGGTTATTGTAAGTGTGATGACCTGCTGCCTCCCTACAAAACGGCAACGCCGACCTTAGAAAATCAAATTTGTAAATAAAACTATTCCAGAAAATTTGCCCCCTAGATTGGAAGGCGTCTCACATTTTAGTATAATTAGCTAAAGATGCTGATCCCGACTGGACCATACTGAATTCAGTTTAGAATGAACTCAGGATACTGCTAGAACCCTTAAGCCATGTCCTCCTGCTCGATGTTGGATTGAGGTTCCGTTACAAACAGTATGAGGTTAAAAGTGAGCGATGAATAAGTTCGCTACTCATTTTTCTAGACTGGTTTTAATGGAAGCTTTTTCCTTGCCCCAAATCCTGTCTTGCCCTCAAGTATTTTTTCTCATCGCGCACTTGACACGCTGACCACTTCATTTTCTTTATTCACAGTCGAACTTATAGTTTACCATCTTTTTTTATCAATTACATAAGTGAAGACTTGGAAAGTTGACGGTAGACCTATTCTACATCAATAGAAGTTTACTTCAAGCTGGGATGCCCACCCTAAATATAGTCGAACCCCCACCAACGGCCATCCTGACTACGGCCACGTTTTTTGTCCCGGCGGACAGTCCATACATTGACTCTTTTTTAAACTCTTTACAACGGCTACGGTCACTAAACCGTGTCCCAGCTGCCGGTGCATGCCAAAATAACCTCTCGACAAAGGGCTTTTTTTATTTTCGAAAGTTGAAAACGTCAGGAATGATCACGAAATTTGATCCTTAAGGCGTGGTGATGATTAATCGTGGTATCGTATCTTGATTGTGTTCCATTTAAACTGCTGCAGTAAGCATAAATTCACTACGATACTTGTTCGTTCTGTCACGTTAACATTTTGATTTGTGTATATTATCTCTCTGTATATTATTTATGATTGGTTTAACATTATGGGATACAGTAAGCAAGAACGTAGCACGATAAACATGTTGTACTCCCTAAAAAGAATTTGTCATGCGTGCGACCGGACAAAATATTTGTTACAGCGGGGTAAATTGTGCGTTTGGAGCGTCAAAAAATATTCGTTATAACGGTCATTTCGTTATAGCGGGGTTCGTTTCCACATATTTTACTGTAATTCTGCCGGGCTTTAATCAGATGTTTTTCGTTATAAGGGGGTCTTCGTGATAGCGGGGTTCCACTGTATTTCCGAAATCAGTTGGTAGGATTCTATTCATATATGTGGAGAAGTCATTGACTGAATAGAGACTATTGATATACCGAGCGGGTAAGATTGTCTCACAATAAGCTCGATACAGCACTATCAAAATAATGGCAAAAAACTGAGGAAAGATGTACTACGGCACAAATGAAAGGGTGGGTTCCGTTTTCGGGAGGTCAGGTTTATTAACGGTTTAATGCGATAAAGAAACTGATTTTCAAAAATCCTGTTAAGTTGATCAGTGAGTCTACATAGCTGTAGTCAGTCGTTGTTGTTAACAAAATGATTAAAATTTAAATCATGTTATAACTTGCGTCATAATGAATTGTTAAACTTTTGACTTGTTCTTAATACGTTCCGGAAGGCAAATACGGAATAATTAACAACGATATCCGTTTAGCTGTAAAATATGAGTTATAAACTACCCACATAAATTCAATTTGCTGTTTACATACCAACATTACTCTTTATGAAAAAATTTAGGGCGGGAAGAAGGAAGGACAACGATTTCGCCATCTTTTGTTATTTTACTCCGCCTTCAAAAAGCTTTATTCAATGTATTCATAGAAACAACATCAGCGTCATGTTTTGCAGGAATTTTAATCAACAATAGCATTTTCCACCTAATACAAAACCTCAAAGAAAAAGCCGATGTCATGGGAGACTAAAGAATCTCAGTAGAAACAGAAATGTTCGGCTGAATACACGTGCTAAAATAATACCGCTAGTTATTTATGCAGCGTAAATTACTTCAGTTAACACTTACTCAAGTCAGCGATAATAAAGACATAAACTGATCAGTCATGCAACCACTTGACAAAACGGATTTTTCTTTCGGTTTAAAGTACCAATGAGAAACAACGAAACAACAAATAAACACTGAATTCAAGGTAAATTCCTACGGATAACCTTAAGGGAGATGAAAAATCTCGCACACGATAGCAATTTCCTTCAAGGATTTTAAAGCTTTAGTTTAATAAAAGCTTGAAGGAACTGGATGTATCCGGAAGCGATTTAACCTCCATTCATCTGGTTTCTTTGAATGACCGAAATAGTGTGTTAATAAGGATGGGTGGTGTTTTGTTTGCTATTGAAAGGCCGTAAACTTTGGCTTTTTGTTTTACAGCCTCAGCGGAACCACACAATGGCAACTAACACCAAAGAATTTCAAGAAGGCACAGCAATTCTTTACATATGAATCGAGCAAACCGCAGAACATCCATTCGAACAGAGATAAGCAACAATTAGTGACGAACTTAGTTAAACTCTCTATTTTACAGTTAGAGCTTTCCATGCAGTTTCTCGTTGATTTTACAATAGAGTGCTAATAACCTTGAGTGTCTGTTTTCTTAAGTGCTAATTATAGTTATGTCATCGCCGCTTTGAATTTATAATGTGCCAAATTGCTATAAGAAGGCAGAGTTACTTCAAAATCGTACCATGTAAGACAAGAGATCTGTTATCACTTACTGAGCTAAATCTAATCACCAACAGTCCGATTTGAATCTGAGGTAAGAGATATAATGTATCTCTGATTTTATCTTGAAGGGGTTGTGCTAAAAGCATCGAGTTTATCAGTATCAATTTTATCTCCAGCAAATTTACAGTAGTTTCCAGTTTTTAATAAGTTTGTTAAACTCCTTCGAGACCATCAAATGTTGCTAATGGTAACGTTGCATTCTCGAGTTGGACATCTAACTGGAAAGGAGTGGTTTGATGCTAAGGAAATACAATGTATTTAAAAGAAAATTACTGTAACCACATACTACAACTCATGTCATTTAGCTGACTTAAAGTTCTATTTTTTATATAAATATTTTGGCTCGTCTACAATGCACCAGATAAATCTTAAGACGCAACTCTCTTCACACGACATGGAACAAGAATATGTAAACCATTAAAATCGAAACTGTTCGAAAAGTTTTTTCAAAGTGATAAATTTGAGACCCCCCGCAACCTTGCTTTTCATTGAGGCTTTGGACATTTAAAGAAGGTGATTTGCGTTGCACAGTGGACAAACCAAAGGGTATGGTTTTTGTACCGTTTTGGTCTGGAATCGGGTATGGATTTCCGGGGAAACTACGGAAATGTGTGCACGCATTTATCGTTTAAATTCCAAATGAATAAGAAAGGAAGAAATCTATTTCGCTGGTGTTCTAATCTGAGTAATGGTGACATAATTTCTTAGAGGCCAGGTCTGAAAATGGGTGTGAATGATGACATATTTTGCTCTGAAATAGAGTCAGGATTTTTTTTTTCGGTTTTTATTATGTCTCTTTCACAAACAGATATGCAAGTACTCGTTTGTTCACTAGTGTTTTGAGCCGTGTAAGAGTTTTAAATTCTTTAGCTCGTCTATCGGCGAGACTTATCCAGTGGAGGTCACGGAGAATCTGAGCAAATCTATTTGACATGACAACCAGCTTTTATAGGTTCAGATATTTTACAACTTAATTGAAGTTTTTTGCAAAGACAAGAACAAATACCCCCTCCAAACAAAATCAATTGTTTGTAAATTGTTATAAGGAGTCGTTTGAAACATACTGCGAGAACTCAGTTTTGCTCGCCTTAGACCTCAAAACTAGTGAGGACCCAATAAAGTGTCTCATCCACTTGTACATTGAGATTCCTCTATCTGATGAATATCCTTCAAGGCAATATAATCATCATGATCCATGACTAGGCAACAAAGGGATCTGATGTCGTGGCCCCAAAAAACAGACGTTTTAGTCTTGACGACATTAAGCTTCAAATGATTTGAATCGTGTCATTGTTTTACATTGCCTAGGTCATGAATGCGTAAGGGATTAAATACTCTTCAAGGTCTTTAGAGGCGTAACTGACTTAAGTATCATCTGGGCACATTCGCACATCTGAAAAAAGGTTACGGTTAGGCAAGTTATTGATATATGAAAAGAAAAAAATGGGTCCTATCGCTGAAGCCCGGGGAAACCCCGCAATGAATATAGCCTGTTTCAGAGTTCACATTGCTTATTACGTAACTGTAGCCCGTGTTCTATCCGACACAGTCGTTCTAAAAAGGTTACACTGACTCTCCTAAGCCAATACAATTGTCGATGAATTTCGCTAATAGGATCTTATGATCAGCCTTATTAGGGGAGATACCACATTCTCGGTCACACTGATAAAATCAGTCAACGTAGAAAACAACGGTGTAAAAACCCGAAAAACCTGAAATTCAGAGAGTAGATTATTGTTGTCGAAATACTTGCATGTCTGAGTGAAGATTGCTTCTTCAAAGATATTTTGCAGTCTTTTAAAGAACGAAAATGGGCTTGTAATCTCCAGCTGAGTCTATTCTTCGAGTCGGCTTTGAAGAATGGAGTTTAACTCTGGTGCACTTCCAGTCACTGGGGTGATCTTAGTGAAAAAAAAAATGAACTGAATTGCTTCCAAAAAATTGAAGATATGGGTCAAGGGGGCAGCTATAAAAAAACCCTTTGCCAGTTTACCGCTAATGTTGTGGACTGGCCTTTACTTTAAGACGTCCGCTAATCGAGTTAATGGACTGAATTTTTTTAACCGCCACAATTTCGTTAACACATCTTGCATTTAAGGTTCTAAGCCGTCTAATGTTCTTATCTCAGAAGCTTTAAGCTATGAACTTCGGAGGCTTACTGCTGTTGATGCTTCAAATCTGTTACTGCACAGAGAGGTGTACATCCGCAAAACCAGACAATGCTACCAGAGAGCAGTATAAGGAAGGCAAGCCTGATAGCGTTCCCTCTTCGGCGACCAGACACAAGCCTAAAAAATCACTCAGAACGTTCCTTTACAAGAAGCAGAAATGGCCTCAACCTTCAGGAGAAATTTTCTTGAAACGTGTTCGCAAAATAACGAAGCTTCCAACCACCTCAACGCACTGTAAGATATTCTGCCGCAGTGGTTATCATCTTCAAATTCTTCCAAATGGAGTCGTGAAAGGAACACTTGATCAGGATAGTAAATACGGTAAGAGCTACAATGTTGTGCATGACCGTGAGTAGACAAATTTTGCCATTGAACTATATGGTATTATGTAATACCTAGCCAAGGCCAAAAGTGACGCTCACGCAGTATCTTTTAAGAAATGTCTATTCTGAATTACTTAACTTTGGCCAGAAATAGGTATTGTGTAGAAATAGGTATTGTGTAGAGGTATTGTGTATTCAAGTTCAAAAACAGACACGAAAAAATTCGTCTTCGTGCATGTGTTGACGTCCTCATAAAACTACTCATTAAGTTCCACTTAGGAAGTTTCTCGTCGTAGTCGTGCAATGGACGTCAAGAAATGTACAAAAAAAGTGTGATGTACTACGTGCAGAGCGATTGTTTCGCTCATAAAAGCGTTCTTTTTTTCCATTTTGACATTCTCTTAGCTGTAGTCGTCGCGGTTCCTCATACTCCTTGGTGATTTTGTCTAGCACCAATCTAGAAGATAATCTCGATGAAAAAATTAGTGAAGAGAGGACGCTGGAAAACGGAGCACAGAGCACAATGTATGAAGTAGACATCTATGGAAGCCTCGTGCTATTTTTACTGAAAATATATGAAGAAAAGTCTTTGTACTCACTGAGGCTTGTGTTTGCTTAACACAATCTGTATATTAGTACCGTAAGATCTCGGTCAAGTCATGGGCTTATACAATTTCTAAGGGATTTTGGACGGGCTCAGCCCCGGAGGACTTATATCGGGGGAAACTTATATCCAGATGTGCTTATATCCTGGGGGCTTTTCGCCGGGGAACACAAAAAAACATCTCGAGCCAAGATGATGACATCACGCTCTTCATTTAACTCCAAGAAAAATGAACTGAATCAAAAATCTAACTTTGACTGTAACTGGAAGCAACAAAACAAAATATCATCATTTAGCTCTTATATTTCTATGTACACTTTGCATACATAGTATAGTATTTTTATTATAATTTTAGATAGAGGGCCACAAGTTTGTTAGTTTAAAATACCTCAACTATTCCGTGCCACCCTCTTTAAATAAAGTGTAATCAGGGCTAAAAGTGAAGCTCTGGTTAATAATAATTATAAACCAAAAAAGAATCGTGTAATGCTAAACGGGGACGGCAATGAAAATGGCATCAAGATCAATAGATCTAATTAGCAACAAATTTGCACGTGCCGCACGCTTTTTTGTCTTTCTTTGCCGCTGCTTTGCACGACTACAATGCCCTTTTATACGACTAAAATGTCAAACTTCCTAGTTACACATTATTTTTATGGAGGAATATAATAGTAGTAGGTGCTTACCAAAGATTTTGTTTCCTGTGTTCATGTTCGCTATTATTTTTTCACTGCCGCTGATTTTCACCTGGCCACCAGCATTTCTCTTTTTCTCAACGCCGCTATGAAATTTTCATGTTTTTCTTCCAACGAAATTCGTCTCCCTAACTCTTTCTCTGTTATGCACGAGGGTGTAAACATCAACAATAGCGTCGAAAAAGACACGACTTTGTTGGCTTTTTTTCTCTCTAAAAGTCCGGGCGGCCATGCGGTTTTCTTCCTTTGCATTTGGGTTGCCATACCTGTTCATCGAGTTATTTTCTATTGGTGTGCCTGTGGTGCGGAAGGACGGTCGGTCGCTCGGGCGGTGTACGGTCACGTGATTACCAAATTTTCTAGGATGGGTAGATTTACTTAGCTATGGGGCTCAGCACGCGCGCGATTGGAGCGCGTGGAGCTCTGGTATTATTATCGGGATTATTTATTATTATTAGATACATGAAGAAGAGCCTATAATCAGCTGGAGGGGGCGGCTTAGAATAGAATTCATGTTAGCTGATAAACAAGCTTGTAAAAGTGGAGATAGCCTCTTCTGCAGGCACTTCTGATGTCTTGTTTTAAAGTGAGTCCTCCTTTTTCTTTCCTCTTTTTTTTGTTCTTACACTCACGGTCAGTGTAACCGTTACTAAAGGAGTTGATTGCGGAGGAGGCTAGCGTGGACACCTATCCTATAACCGGGATTTTACGGTACGGGCTCCGCTTGATACAGGTTCTCCCCTGTTTTCTATAGAGTTCTGGTCTCCTTCCTATCATTTTTTGCGCTTCGCTTTCCAGTCCTTGACGTGGGAAGTCGCTGCAAATGTCCCTTTTGTAAACGGTTGCTGCCATTTTTAAGTCACTTAGAAAAGTTTTGAGATTGCTTTTATTAAAAGAAAGAAGATCGCAACCCAGGGTCGATCCCGGACCTTTCATATCCTAATTTCACTCCCAGCCCTTACCACAACAATACCACTCCAACTCACCAAAATTCCGAAAAATGTAAGTACATAAACTAGCAAACTGTCTTTCTTATCTGATACCTTCAATAACAGGTGACTCCAGCCTTTTCCATAACTTTTAACGTATATCCAACTTGGGCTTGACTAAAGGCTTGGTTACCAATAGTGGCATCGATTGTTAATAATGTTAACGAGCCGATTACGAAAGGGAATTGAGGTCATGTAGTAGCTGCTCAGAAGAGAAGTCACCAATGGTGCCTAACCCTGACCCCAAACAATGCTAAAACAATTGAAAGAATGATATGTCATTGTTTTCCGCGACCAATAAGGAGAGACCTTACGAACGGCTCCTACACAACTGAGGGAAATAGGGGACTTCCCTCTGAAAGGAAACTGGTGCGAGTTGAAGTTCGCAAAGACTTCCGGGACTGTTGCTAAGGACAAGGAAAACTTGGTCAATTGCTGACTGGCACGTCCCCAGTAACAATCCCAGAAACCATTGCGGCACGCATTTCTGCTCCAGTTCCCTTTCCGTTTCTGATGATAGCTTTGAAGTACTTCTCTCGTTTAACAGCGGTGAAATTCCCGCCAAAATTAGAGTGAAGTGGTAGGTGGAGTTGGGAATGTGGATCAATTCTTTTTTTGTTTGCCATCTTTTAGTGGTATTCGAGATGCAGTCTTTTGGTACCAGTCTCGTCAGATTAAAGAGCATAACAACCGGAAGATATTTGACGATGAGAAGAAACGGGACACTTAGGGGACTGGTAAGTGAAGAAATTATCATTGTTGGAGAAGGAGTGTTGGGCAGACATGTTTTCAAAGCCTTGAAGTATCATTAACACTTGACATACATTTGCGGTACCATAGAATTTTTAAGTAGCATCATTGAAGGGTTGTTATATGTGGTTTAGAGGAACCATGACACGAAATTTATCACTGAAACTTCAAACCGTGGTGTCTGTCATTAAAACAAGTAAAACATGACAATTAACAAGTGTTCAAAACAGCAAATAAAAAAAGGCATTGCTAAATAAACAATCTTAAAACCGATTACATTTGTGGCTTTTGAAAACTTGCTAAACTAACACATATTCAAAGTTCGTTTCTGTTGTTTGTAGCGTTTTCTATAATGCTTAGAAGTTGTTTGACACGAAGCGGTAACAAGTAATTTTTTCGCTAGCATTTAAGTTCTCAAGGAACGAAGAAGCTTCAATATAGGATATTACATAGCCATACAGTTTTGACATGCCAATAGGTAATGGTAATAGGACTGAGTGGAGTCCAATTCGATCTGTAATCATGCGAGTGATTAACAAAATCGGACGACCGCGTAGCGGGAGTCCGATTTGTTTAATCACGAGTATGATTACAGACCGAATTGGACGACACGAAGTTCTGTTACCAATTAATCAAAACTTTAACAAAATTTGTGATATATTAGGCTCTTTTTTTAATCAAAACACAAGAAATTTCGAATTTTTTTTTGCTAGCAGTGAAAAAAAAGCCATTTAAGCGCGCGCGTGATAGCGCGTACTGTCCAATTACTTAGGCATGACGCGTACTGTCCCATTAAGGCTGAAATCAGGGCAGTAGATAGCCAATCAGATTTGACAATTTTGTTATAGTTATGATTAAGTAAATTATCTTGTACCAATTAAGTCGAATAACTTTTCCTAAAAACCGCTGCCATTTGCTAGAAAGTTTTTGTGGGCCTTGTTGGCCGTAGATATTTGGATATTATTTATGTGTTAAAAAAGAATAGCTTTTCGAGAGATCCCAAGTTTTAATCTATTCACCGCTTCATGAGAAACACTCCAAAATATCGACCACCCCTCAGTTTTTACTGAAAATAGCTTTCACTCACGCCTTATTTTTCGTAAGTGACACGGCCTAATTAAATAGATCTCTTTTAATGTCACTTCAATCTTTCAATTTTATTTCAGCGTAATCAAAACAAGAGGGATTCATTGTTCAAGGAGACCCATGAGCAAAACGCGTTCCATTCGTACGCATCCCACAGATATTTTAGGAGACAACCTCATGATATGTTGGTTGGAATCAAGAGAAACGGCCAAATAAAAAGAGCCACCAAAACGTTACATGGACAAACTGCTACTCAATTTCTTGTCATCAAACTTTGACAGATTCAAGAATGAAGATTTTTAACTTTCCTTTTTTAATCTCCACGAAGGAAATCCAAAAAAAAAAAACCATACTGGAACTGAAAATGACTTTTTTTGAAAAGAAACTATTATGGGAAAACAAACGCATCCCACAGGGGCTAAGAGATCTAATCGACAAGGGCTGAGGAAAAAAGCAGTTGCTGTATTTACTCGATTAAACACCTCCCTCGAATAAACGCCGCAGCCGGGGGAAGCAAAATTACTAATTAACAGCACCGCCCACAAATAAACGCCGCACCAAGAGAGCACTCAGAACAATTCGGCAACTATCGATGCTAAGTATTAATTTACACCGTCCAGACAGATTCTATCTCCCCGAAAAAAGAGTGCATTGCGTTGAACTTTAAGCATCTTTCTATTTTCAGGATAATATTTACAAATAAGTGTCAGTGATTTACGAAATATGATTTGGAAATCAGCGCCATCCTAAAATAAACACAGCTTTTAAAGCGTTTCCCCATTGGAAATGCCAAACGAATTTAATATATGTCGCAGTGTTTATCCGAATAAATACGATAACACTCTAACACCACCCTCCAAAGATCTTCGAATAACTTTTCTAGGGTGGGGTAAGGTGTAGTGAGGAAAAACAAACATATCAAGGAGTTGAACATGAACGCTGCAAAAAATATTGTGATTTTGTGAAATTGCTGGTACCTTGAAGTACATATTTATATTTTTTATTTAAAGAATTCTAATTGAGTAATATGGTTACTCTGTTAAGTTTAGTTTTTAAGGGAGATTGCAAACTCGCGGTTAATATAACCAAGAGTGATCTTGAATAAAACAGCTTGCTTAACATCATTGATAAGAGCAGTAAACTCTTTATTTACGCTTGAACGATATATTTAAGCGTCAAGGGTTTAAAACAGTCCCCAGAATGGATTAGTTCGTAACTGGAGGATATCTTTGACGTCTGAACGGAAGCCATAAATACCGAAAGTACAGTTGGATCTTTTTAAAAACTTAAGAGGACTCGCGTGGACAAGGATAGCCTGCGAGCAAGCTCTCCTATTTGGGCGAGTGAAGCGAGCCTCGCGAGAACGTGCGAGCGAGCGAGCGGCGAAGCCACGAAGGGCAGGGGCCTCGCCCCCTCGCTCGCGCGTTCTCGCGAAGCTCACTTCGCTTGCCCAAATAGGAGAGCTTGCTCACAGGGTAGGACAAGGAATGACAAAACGTCCGTCAGAAAGCAATGACGTGTAGCAAAAGGATCCAAATACTTGACAACTCACCTCCATCCTCAACCTGCCAAAATATGTCTCCTTTGTCAGCTCTTAAACCTTTTTGTGGATTACAGCAGAGGCTTCTTTTTTGCAACTCACCAGAGACAGGAGAAAGGGAAATAAAGAGCGCGGGGAATGTTGGGAAGGGGGAAGCGATGCTAATGAGAGCCTCTGGAAGGAGAGATAACTGGGTCGAGTTCGAATTGAAACATGTCAAAAAGAGCAAATTCAACTGACAGCAGGCTTTTATATGACTCACTACGTTTTTACACTCACAGTGAAGACGACATATGTTCAACGCAAGGACTACAGAAATTTAATGTTTCATTGTAAGGAACGTACTGTTTTTCTGACGGTTGTTGACGTTCTGAACGATCAAATGACTGAACATCCCAAAAGAACAGGGCGTCACTATTCTCTTGCTCGGAGTAGTCTAATCATTCCCAGACTTCACTTCACTTCTCGAAAAGACATGCAAGAAGAGTCGGAGATTTTTCGATTTTTTGGCTGTCCATTATCTTTGTTTAATCTTTAATCTTTAAACTAACTTTGCTGACTCTGACTACGTCGGAAAATCGTGGTTGGTTTCAGTCTTACCGCAAAAGCCTAACATGTTTGAGATCATATTGTAGAAACTACTTGGCCACGGTTGCTATGACATTCGACTACAGAGTGATTCTATATAAAGTGTCATTAGAACTCCAATCTTAAGAGTTGCTGATATCACGATACCGGCTATATTATATACGGAAGCCAGAATATGTCATCTTTGAGAAAGCGAAGTCGACTTGCGAAATTAAGCCGCCTTTAATAACGTTCTCTTATGTGTTGTCTGTACTGAGTCGATGGTCTGGTTTACTTTTCGAGGGTTTAGCTTTAATTAGCTACTCTTTCCTTCATCTTTTTCTCAGCTGATTTATTCTGGCCGAAAAGTCTAGTTGATGAACAACTCGAGTGTAGAAGCAACACTGAAAATCTCGTACTCGATTATAAACGAAAATGTGCTGTTTATAACTATTACCTTCCACGAGCTAGGTTAACGCTGCTTTCTGACATCTGAAAATAAGTTGTCAAAACTAAACAGAAAATAATAAAAGTAAGATAAAGCATGTACCAAGAATCCCGACCAATAATAAAAGAATCAAACAGATCGAAAAGTACTACCATATTTAATAGATTACTTGCAAATGATTTATTTGGTCAAAAGAGGAAGGAGAGAAATGAACTCATTCTCTCGAAATTGAATGTGTGTTGAATTGTTTGTCTCTTGTCAGGTTTAAATTTCACAACGATTTTCTTTTTACGAGAACTGGAAATTAGGTGCTGAGAAAAAAGACATCAAATTAAAAAATCGTTTCAGTTTCCAATAACTACGTTATTATTGAATAATCGTCGCATGTTGTACGGCGATTGGCTATGACGTCATCACTGATTACTTTAATCCCTGCAAGATATTCTTTGTTCGGCGCCAAACTGTCACAATACTGTATTCTCTTTATTAAACTTCTGTTCATGTAAATTAAAACTGTTATTCGTGACAATATTAAAATTTAGAGCCGCTTCGTTACAAAGACTTGAAATAAGCTCAGAAAAAAAGTAAGTGGGTCCCGTTTGTTTAAAAGCAGAGAATGTTAAACTTGAGTATTAGATTATTTGATACACAATTAAAAAAACAATAGAGCTTTTTCTGAGTTAGAAATTCTCACATCTAGCTCTTAAATCCATTTTGCGAGTTCAGTAATGAGACCAAACCCATTAGCCGAGTCAATACTAAAGGAAAGCACTTCGCAATTATCTCCTAACAGATGTGGCTCATTGTTTAATTATAACAAAATTCCCACCGTTCTGTATCCGTTAAAAGCGTTTTTGGTACAGAGCTTACTTCTGTGGTATGATTGGCTTTCAAATGATTTTTCTTTTATTGCGAAGTAGGCGATTTATTTTTTACAGGAAAAAACTGGCTACATTAGCGCCTGTTTTAACCGTCTGTTTTAACCCTGGGTTATGAAATATCAATTAACTTTCCGACTTGTTTGAATGAAATAAAAGCGAAAGCTTCTCGAATTTTTTTCTAGTTCCGGTAATGAGATTCTCTGAGATCCGCTAGTACTTATTTTCTTACAAAATAGAGATTAACTCCATATATCGCGATTTTCGTTCTATCGCCACTAGCTGCCAATGTGCAAAAACTGACGCGGCTGTACTGGAAATGTCGTCTTGTGAGAACTTAGCGTGCGTGCTGTGGTTTTTCACTTTTATTCTTTCACAGGTAAGAACTGACTTTCAGAATTTCTGAAAATGATTTCGCTTGTCAGTTTTTCTAAGGGTTAAGCAGAACGTTTTGTGTTCTTACATATTTATATATAGTTTTTTTTTTCTAAATAGCGGAAAGACATCAATTGTGCTCAAGGTAAGATGAAAACAGTCGTAATTACCTTAGAAAATTACTTCCGTGCCTCGATAGCTAGACAAAAATATACCCAGTCGTTAAATTCGAGCTCTAGCTCCTTTTTATTCTTATAATTCACCACGTATTTGCAGTAAAATTGGCATTCGTGATCGTTGTATGCGCTGGAGTACAATCACCTGCCCTCCACAAGTACTCAAACACATAAAATTCTAATCAACTCTACAGCAACTTGCGTATGAAGTTTGTGTTGAGGGTTGAAACGCCTCTGACTTGGCCCAGAGGATTGGATGGATTCAAACTTGATCGGGCTATTATCATTAACTCTCTCTGATTATAGTGCATAAGTTTGTGAATTAACAGGGTTTCACACACTGTCATTTTTTTACATGATTGTGTTTCCTCTCGACTACAAGGGAAGTCAATTAACACAGTATGGTAGCCATTGTTATGAATTTTTTTGTACCAACGTTCTAACTAGGTCTCAGTCACGGTGTTACAAGAGAGATTTGGCAATCAATTACGGGAAGCTACGTTTTTAATTTGACTTCCTCGTCAAGATATGAGGGGACCCCGAATATTAAGGATACAATAACGCATTTTGAACGGAGAGGCATCGGAGATAAGTATGGACAGCGAATGACAACATTCTATCGGGTGAGCATCCCATAATAGGCAATTTTCACGATGACGACAATTGGCTACAACTACCACAATTCATATTGTTTTTCCTTTCTTATCTTAATCTGTCAATCCAGCTGGGGTTTAAACACCAATAGCCCTAATGTCCACAAGAAAGCAACAAACTGAAGGATTCAGGGAGTCGTAGTAAAATGACGTCATCGTACGATTGTCCAATTGACTCTTTTGATTCTCTTCCGATTCTATAATTAGCCTATATGCTTATTAATCTCTTAAGCTCCAATATCCACTTTCAAATTCTCCATAGTTTAAAGTTTGAAAGTTTAAAAGTTTGAACTTTATTAATTCATAAATACATAGCCGTTCGAAAATTGAATTGCGTATTTACGTTATACATTCCTTAATGAATTAGTTGAGAGAATTTGATAAACTGATGAAGGCATTTTTCCTCTGGTGACCATTTTGTTAATTCTCATAACGTTTTCTCTTGACGATGAATGGCTTTTCTTCGGAGAAATTTGATGTTAGTCACTCGTGGAACTTAAGGGTTACTAAGACTACACAAGCTGTATCTTGTTTTGCTTCCGAGGGGAATTTGGTGAAATCTTGTGAAATTCTTCTCACGCTAAAAACGTGAAAACTGTTACTTATGATTTTGTTAGTGCATGTTTTGTGCATTATTTATTTTTTTAGTGTTCCTTACTTTCCCTTCCTTTATTATTAGTTTATGGAAAACTGGCGTTATTTGAATCTTAGCCCCTATGCTTCAGCATCATTTGTATCATGTAGTTACGCGGGAAACCAAGTACAGTCATGTCATGATTAGTTTGTTTTTGTTTCTGATTGGTTGAGGAAGTGTCACGAAGAAGTTTCATTTTTAAACCAATCACAAAGGGCTCAGGAATTCAAAACCAAGTCACTAATGTTACAGTTATCAGCGGTTTTGACATGGGGCTTTGGCACAAGGCAATTTTGCTTCGTATTTAAAACAAGTAACCATTAGCCTCGTTTGGCTCCGTTGCATGCCAGTTGACCGGTTATTTGACCGCAGGCTCAGCTCTAGTATCAGATACTGCGACGCAGACTCGTACTCAGTCGCTATTTAAGTGTGTTTTTGGGGTGAGAGAAGATTGGGGATTAGGTTGAGGCACGCGCGGGGTCTTATTAGGGAAGGAGACCCCGCGCGCGCCTCAACCTAATCCCCAATCTTCTCTCACCCCCCAAAAAACACTTAAATAGCGACTGGGTACGAGTCTGGCTGCGACGGACAAAATGACTCATATCAATCAAGGCGCCCTCCAGATCCCTGAATAATATATTATGCATATTTATACCTGAATTCTTCGGATGGGATGGTAAACTTTATAATTATGTAGTCTTACATCCAAAGAAAACTCACAAACAAACAGCGCGAATGTATAAAGAATTTTGTCTAGAAGCGAGGGTTGGTGGTGAAATAAACAGGTCTTACGTCACAGCATTATTCTTACCTTTGTTGGCGCTAAATGCTAATTAATTATTGATGTATGTTTTTTTCTCGGAAGGCTCCAGAGACAGGTTCATTCGTGTTCTACATGACGTGTCAAGACGAGTGTGAGCTGTGGCTGAGTACAGATGACAAAACTGTTAATAAGAGAAGAATTATTTTTGTTCCTTTTGGGCTTAACCTAAGCTGGAAACAATGGGACAAGTAAGTGATGTGAGCTCTCCTGATTCTCTTGTTTTATTCGCCAAATGAGGCTGGGTCAATGTTGTGTCGAGTTGCATAATGGGATTGTTTTGGGGATGCCAAGCGCTCTTTTTTACTGCGTAATACGAGTAATATTGGGGAGCCTGAGAAAACACTTTTTTCAGCGACCCATACGCACGACAACCTAAAGTGAGGCCTTTTCCCTTTTAACATGTCTTAACCCTTTGGACCCTAAGAGTTAAAATTTGAATTCTCATTTGTTACTCCTGCTCATTTCCTATAGAAGCGGTGGGGAGAAGTTGATAAAATATCAAGTAAATTTTTCTTGTGTGATCATGTCCGTAATTCTCATGACCACTCTGTTTTACAAAGCATTGATATTACAAGGAGGAATTTGTTGCTGATCACTCTTAAGGCTTAAAGGGTTAATGCTAGCAAATTTGTATTGCTAAGTGTCTTTACTCTTATAGAGACGATTTGCCCAAGAATTTTGGTAAAACCACCGCCCAAGGATGCAAAAAGTCCACTTTCATTTGACGTGCGTTGCTCAAAAACAGCTTTGCTTAAAAGCTCCCAATTGTTAAATTCGCCCACCAAACACAATTCCTTAGTGCAATTCAACGAATCACCGGGCAAATTTCAAGTGTAACCTCAGAATGGCCAATGAAGTCCTGAATTTTTTTCAGGCTTCTTTACGCAATTGCATAAATTGCGTTCATTGCGACGATCATTTCTTCATTTTCATTTCGTTTCCACAGTTCATGTATGATTTATTTCATATACCATTAACACTCATTTCTTTCACGGGAACATATGAACCCACAATTGACCTGCTCCCAACGTCAGTGGCTTCATAGCTCAGTTGGCAGAGCATAGCACCGGTATCGCGAGGTCACGGGTTCAAACCCCGTTGAAGTCCTGAATTTTTTTTTTCAGGCTTCTTTACGCAATTGCATAAATTGCGTTCACTGCGACGATCATTTCTTCATTTCACCGAATAGAACTAGCCGGGTACCTGGATATTAGCCAATGGGCTCCTGTATCAGCATATCTTATATCCCGGGTAGGAGAGTCACTCGCCTACCGGTCCAGGAGCTACCCTTACAAAAATTGGCAAACTGTATACATCAGTTCACATGATAAACAAAACGTAGGCTCCGAGGGCTATGGTAAGATCACTCTCTTAGCAGGGCCAACTTCCCTCCATTAAACACTTTGCCTCGCCCAAACTGGTCAACTCGGTGAAGGTACGTGAGACGATCCGAGCATGCATTGGCGCTGTTGTCTTGGGCAAAGGGGTCAACTTTTTTTCTCATATAAACGCTCGCTAAACTGACTCGGTTGAGAATGTGACTCTCATTGCCCTGACAACTTTTCTCTTAGTACGTGATGGTGATCGAAGCAATTTGTTGTAAGTTAAAGGATTTCTTGGAACCAGTGTTGGCCTAACGATTTGTTGGCTGTTTTCTCAGGCTAGGATATTCCGAGCTAATTAAGACGGAATCCACCAGGATTGAGTAATTTTGGTTTTCAGTGGACAAAAATCTTGCAACAGAATAATTTAAAGTAAATATTGCATTCTTTTTTACATTTTTCAAGGCCTTACGATGTAATAAATCATCTGTAGTAGCACCAAAAAAAAGTTCTTATGGAAACCCTAGAAAATGAATGTCAATTTTCACAAAGTTACATCTTACGCATGAAATTTTCAGAATTTTACCTAGTATGCAATCACAATTCTTGTGAAATCTGACATTCATTTTCTCGGACTTCCAAGAGAAATTTTCTTTGGTGTTACTACAGATGATTTATTACATCTTTAGCCCTTGAAAGGTACAAGGTTTTTGTCCACCGAAAATTAAAATTTCTCAATTTCCTAGTGGATTCCGTCTTAACTTTTCCCGACTCGACAATACATTTGGAACTTCCTTCTAAAAGGGTTTAAAAGTACAACATACTGACTCGAGCTGGACTTTAAGCTGAAAGTCCATAAAGTTTCTTATAATCCTTTTCAAAACTTGATTTCACCCATACGTCTGGAACTGGACAGTACAAAATATGAAAGTCGAATTAATGTACGGGAAAACCACTTATTAACGAAAGTTTAATAAAACTTTAAAAAAAAAAAACTTTTCGTATGATGATTGAAGTCAGATTTTAGCTTTGCATTTTCGTAAAAACTTTTGTATTTCACCCCACCTTGCACTGATCAGCCATTAGGTACTTATAATACCGAAATAAGGTATATTGTGATGAACGAACAGTAAGATAGAGTTCTTTTTCTTAGAAAAGCTGAACAGGTATCATCCCCGATAAACTTGGTCAGTGGTGAGTTCTACTTCATGCAAGCCATCATGAAAGCGGGCTCCAACTCATCAGATCACCTCGGGGTTGGGGTGCGTCAGCCGAATGGGAAGAAATACCAGCCCATCTTAAATCCGGATTTGTACAGCGAGATACCAGGTACGATCATGTATTTTGGGGTAGATGGTACTTCATGGAGTTAAAGAGGGTAAGAAGGCAGGCAGGCGGAGAAGGGTTGTCGGCACTAGGATAAACCAGGAGCCTGCTGAAAACTTACAAACTGTTTTGCTTCAGCGCAAACTGAGAAGAACGAGCGTAGATCGAAGGCTAACGTTAAGCGTGAGAGGTTTGAGGGGTGACCAAGTCTACATATACAACATGCCGAAATTTGGTTTACTGTACTCTGATTTACGATCACAGGCACAGTTAGATATAGTATATCTAAGTTAATATTGAAAACGTATAGTGATAGAGCTTTTTCCATTTGAACGAACTACCATTTTAGTTGATGAAGATGTTTAAGAGAGACTCACTTATTTAAGCAGAATAATGCTATAACTTTTATAAATTATTTCTAGACTGAATGTGGTTTGTGAAGAGCTTTAGAGGATTAGTTAAGTCAGGGCTTTAAAATATATTCTTTATTTTATTTTTCATTCATTTATTTACATGTACTTGCACGTTACCTCTCTAATACTAATGCTTCGAGGAAATTTCTTCTCACACCTGCTCCAGCGTAGTCTCCCACACAGGCGTTTTTAGGGGAGTTCTTACGTGGAGGGATCAAAAACGAGCTCCCCTATATATGCCTGCGGGGGAGGCTAGCTCCAGCGATATTTCGCGCATTATCTCCTGTTGATATTGATGTGCTAACCAAAGGCCTTTTTTCTCTTGAAACGTGTGATGGGTTCTTTTCTTTCAGTGTTTAGCACATTTGAATTACAAAAATTGCAACCCAGAAATTAAGCTATGTCGGACTCTTGCTATTCCGGGTAATAGGTGTGTTTGAAATACCGGGTGTTGAGATTGTTTTTATTCATGCAGTTCTCTGATCGCTTATCGTTTTTCTTTCTTTCAGAGAGAAAAATCGCGTTATTTCTCCTTGTCCAAAGGGACGCAAGTCTGGTAGGTCATGTGATGTCTACAACCTCCCTTGTCAACGACGTAGCCTGTTCATTATTCTGTACACGTGACCGAAACTGCAAGTCCTTCAACTACTACAGGGAACAAGGGATCTGCGAATTAAACAAAGAAAAGACCGCGAACAATGTCGAAGGTGTACTGGTCCCATACAGGGGGGTAGAATACTACGAAAAAATGGAACTAAACCAATGATCAATCAAAATATATTTTGCAATTTTTCATGCCGACCTTAAGCGAATGATAAAGAGTGGAAGACACATTCCGAACCATTTGTGGAAAAATTTGGTGCGTAACTCTGCCAAGTTGAAACAGAACAAATCAGGTTACTTTCCCAGGATTGATTCTAGATTTGGTCACGAAAACTGTCCACGGTGCCAGAGAGCTTAACTATCTTGATTTTTTTCTTTGCCTTGTACAGTTATTATGGCAGCTGGAAGGTTGTGGATTCTCTAAGTTTTCAAGAATTATGTCCCACATTATTCTTGACATGAGGAAGATGTTGACTTTTGTATGATGAACGAATCGTATTCTAATTTGTTTTACGATGTGACGTTGGATTGGTTTTGCGGGGATGGCTCTTTTTGAGTAGCAATTCAGGGTGGTAAGTGATTAGTTCATACACCCAAAATGCTAAGATTAAGTGATCGCAAGAGCCATAATGGCTCTTGGTGATCGCTTGCGCGAGGTGGTCGCAGTCCTCGGAGACCCAGGGGCAGTTAGTCGGGTCGGGAGAAAAGGCGGGACAATGGTTTTCAACTTTCGTCCTGCCATTTCTCCCGACCCGACTGACTGCACTGGGTCTGATCTCCGAGGATGGGTGGTTGCTTGTACGAGATGAGAATCAAGCTGACAGCGGGTCTCTTCTGGAAAGAAGTCTGCTTCCTAAACATTTTGTAAGAGGGTCATTGGACCTAATTTCAAGTTAGTTCGTTCGTTCACGATCGTTAAGTTACGATATCTGAAGTTCCTTATTTAAAAATTCATCTTCGTACCGTGTGTCGATTGGTCGCTTAGAAAAGGTGAAAAACAATAAAAAATTTAAAAACCTACACCCTAAAAAGTGGTCGTGGTTGGTCTTACGAGAGGTGGTCGTTTACTAGAGTCTTTAACTGCAGGGCTTTGGCTGGAAAGGTGTTTGGTGCTGTGGATAGGTATAGTAGTGGCCTGGATTATGGAGGGAGTGGGGGGGAGACGGGGGTATTCGACTGTACTCACTCTTGGCTGGTTGGCCGCTAAACTTTCATGTACTTATTGTGTCACGGATTTCTCGCCCATCAGTTTATTTTGAGAACGATTTTCGGGCAAATTTGGAATATATTTAAGTCCGCAAAACCAGTCTTCAGTCGTCAACTTCAAATGCGCTCATAGACGGAGCGATGCCTTTGCTTTAGCGAAAAAAAGTGCTATAAAATGTGTTTAAAAATTAAACTGGTCAGTGAGAACGCCGTGACTTAGGCCTAGTACCATGGGAGTTGTTGCCATTTTGTCTGGTCGTGTTCATTCAACCTTCCGGATTCACTATTCCACTGTTCCCACTGATGTTGTTGGGTCGAACTTAAACGGAGATATGAATGCATAATTAAAGAGGCTATGTCACGGCAGTCCAGTTCATTTTGTTTAATTTTGACAGTTACTCGCCCTCAATCGCTATCGAACTTAAAGTAAGCAAAGAAATCACATTTAAATGACAAAATCAGTTCTCCGAGACAAACAAATATGTCTCCTGAGCATTACTTTTGAAGTTGCAAGCAGCAGGGATCAACCTTGAAAAACTGTTAGGCTGAACAGTTTTCAAAAATCCTAATTTCAGTCCGTTTCAATCTTCTTCAGTTTTGCCCATCCGTGACATCTGTTGTTTCTGTTATGTTATTTTAACCTTTCTTTAAAGTTTTACGCGGTTATTTTTATGTTTCTCTTGATTCTACGGGCATTTTGTAATTTCCTGATTTGGCTGAATTTCGTGACACAGCTCCTTTAAGGATCATATCGAGCAAAAGTTGTGCACAAGTCTGTCATGTTTTCGCGGGAGGGAACCTCGAGACCTTATGCCCCCTATAAAACATTACGAAGTAGTCAGTCAAGAGGGATTACAGGAGCCATAATAAGGGAGTGCAATCCACTGTTCCCACTGATGTTGTTGGGTCGAACTTAAAGGTAGATGTGAATGCATAATTAAGGATCATATCGAGCGAAAAGTTGCACGAGTCTGTCATGTTTTCGCGGGAGCGAACCTCGAGGCCTTATGCCCCCCTATAAAACATTACGAAGTAGTCAGTTAAGAGGGATTACAGGAGCCATAATCAGGGAGTGCAATAAAACAAGTCTAAGTAGGGTACTGATTAGATAACCCAATGACAGGAAGCCGCAGAAAATTACGGTGAGAGCACAACTTCTCTGCCAGCCGGCAACAGCATTGGAAATGTCAACACTTGAATAAATAAATTTCAAAAAAATCCTTGTAAAAAGCTTAACACGGGGTCCTTTCGGCACCTCACTAAATCCGCCTCTGAACTGAACAGGCCATTTCGGAGTTGAGACTGGGTCGGTTTTGTGCCGAATAGCACTATGGGATAGTTTTTGGAAACTCTGCCGTCACAGTACAGTATTTCATTGTTGCGGGGTAAACTGAGTCAATTAGTACGAAAATTTTACCACTGGCCTTATTTCTACAGAGAGACACTTTTGAACTGACCACAGGCTACCCTATATAAGAAAGTAATACTCAACGAACCACGACAGAGCGACAAAGTTTTGAACATTTATGTATGTGTAATCAAATGGTGACGAGTGAAATTAGGGAATAATTTCACTTGTGTTTTGTCCAAATCCTAATAATTAATTATTGGGATTTGGACAAAACGCAAGTGAAATTATTCCCTAAATTCACGAGTATACCATGTGATTCCCTATTAATATCATGGGTGACGAATTACGTTAGCAATCTTGGGTTTTTGACATGTTTATCCTGGATCGTATCGATCGAGAACTCCACTCCCTCAAATGTTTAGACCTTAAATTTGGCTTATAAAGTTACAGTCAAACTAGGTGAAGCGTTCCCGTCGCTAATGAAACAATAAATTCATTAACGGAAAAATGATTTCGTTTGTTGATTCAATAATCCCTTCATAAAATGAACAATCCAATATTCATATTTAGCCTCGATTCCATAATCGAATGTTGATTCGATTACTGTTTTTTAAAAAACTACACATTTTTTTCTTCTTTTTTTCTAAGAGTCGAGTGCGGACGAGTTATGAAGTTTAAACCCAAACAAACTGTACATGTACGCCGTTTTGCTTCCAGTAATCAGTGCAACGGACCTGACCTCTTAGAAAACACGATAGTCAAACCTAGGTCAGTGTATGTGCGGTGATTGGTGGATTTCGATCCCCGGCCTTTGTCAGTTTCTTTGCGTTTGCGGTCAGTCTCTTCTAGCTGTTATTTTGATTAAAGGCAATTAAAAACGCAATCGTAAACGGCAGGAAAAGGGAAGTAAATACGATTGAACTCAACAGACAAGAATAAAGAACGGGTAGATTTTGTTCATAAACCAAATCAACATTTAGTTATTGAATTGAGGTCCATTTTGACTGTTGGATTATTCATTTTCTGAATGGATTATTGAGTCAACAAACGAAATCACTTTGCCATTAATGAATTCATTAGTTTGCTAGCGACGGGAACGCTTGGCCTGGTTTGACTGTAAGAATTTTTCACACTTTTTCGGTAAAATACCTGTTAGAGTTCTTCTTGATGTTCTCTTGTGTGTTCAGGTTTTCTAAAGCGTCTTTTTGTGCCCTGACATCTTCATTCACGGAATTTTAAAACTTCGTCGCCATCTTGACACTGAGACGTACGGAAGGTTGCCATGATGGCAATTTTGCAATTTCACATGTGAAATTACAAATTAACGCTGAAATTTCGCGCCAAAATTAAGGAGTAATTCTTCACCTATGATATTACAAGAATAATTTGTCCGTCCACCAGTTTTCCACCTTGCGTTGTATACACTCAAACAACTATTCAACCCAGGGTCGGCTGAAGTGGTAGGTATTTACCTCCACTTCGGTGAGGCTATTTGCACGATGGCGTCACTAACTACTGCGACCAGAATCCTCTTCGTTTTTCCTTTCACGTTTTTAACTTTGGTAATCCCAGCGAGGTATACATAACAAAACCACTAATTGCAAAGAAAGCAAAACCCTAAAGGTAGTAGTGGTAAAACGACGTCATCGTGCAAATGGCCTGTTGATAAATATTCAATAGTCACTTCACATCAGAGAAAATCGCACTGACAAAGCTTTCAAAAACTGCCATTTTAATATCTTCTTTCCACATATACTCTAGCTAAATTAACACTTTCTTACACTTTACCCTACGAGGCGTTTTTTTACATGTAATTTTCATATCAAACAATACGGTGCCTCTTTTTACGTCATCTCTACAGGAATATCAAAAAATGTTAATTTTAAACTTCCATGTTCTGTTTCGTCAATTCTACAAAAGGCTCTTTTTTTTTCAGAAATACTATGTCGTGGACGAACTAAACTTTACATATATTACAACGTTTAGCAACCTGTTTTATAATAACTTTTCAACAGTCTTAATAGCAGTCTTCTCGAGTTAGCAATTAGCCGGTTGCAGCATCATGAGCATTATTTTTGTAATGAGGCTTGCGAGAACACTGTTGGAAACGACATGGCCTTCGGCGAAAAAAAAAAAGAACCAAGTAATTTCACTTATATTCATGGAGGACCGCCAGTAAAGCTTACGTGACAGACCGCCAGTAAAGCTTACGTGACAGACACGAGCATATGGATAAGGAAGATGAAGCAGCTGAAACTCCAGAAAGAAGAGACTACCATACAAAAGTCACTTTGTGCTTGACCTCAATTCTCAAATCGAAAGAAACAAAAACAGAAAAATCATTGTTTATTGTGCCCTGTTTTATTTGCCTTACAAAATACCTACATAGTTGCTATTGTTGTTGGTTTTGTTCATTTTTGGAAAGTTGGTTTCTATTAAAAAAGTAACGCTCGATTACGTATTACAAAGACAATTAATTCGCTGCTTACTTTATGTTCTCGTTCTCACCCCCAAGGTACGGTTAAGATAAAGTGCGAGTTTTCTGAAACCACTCCTTAGTACCGGAGGACTTCTTAACGGTTTAACGGAGAACTCGGTCGAAGGCGGATTAAATGAGAGAGCTCTAGAAAATGTTGCGGAACACAGGAAATGGTTGCAGAAAACTCCCACACTTTGAGACCAGGCCCAAACACTTACAACACCGCAAAAACCGAAAAAAATAATAATGCCGAGTATCTTTTGTACGGTAGTCTCCGGAAGATAAGCTATACAACTGATGAAAAATAAATCATCGCCGAGAAAGGACAACTGTTCATTAACGTGGTTAAACATCAGTGCACACACCCTTTATCTATTTTGTATGGCTTGGCCACAACTACATACCTAAACAAACAAAACGGACTTGTTCTTGGAGAACAAAATTGGTATTAACTGCTTGGAGATTCCTCCACCGTTACGAACAAAATTAAAGGAGAGCGAACTGTGCCTCATCATTGAGCACTGACAAGATCACCTTGATAAATAGAACAGAATCTCGGCCAAATGACCTGTTATCATATTATCCAAGACTTTCATTATCGCAAGGCGCAGGATACGCTGTTGGAAGGGTAGAAAGAGCTTGCGATTTGAGCGAATCCGGGCCAGGCAAACTAGCGTCGATGCCGCCCTTCGCAACATGTCCACACTTGTACCGCATAAGTTCTCCGAAGGAAAACCAGCTTGGGCCAGAGCACTGCCTGCCGAATAAGCATTCAAGGTAGAGGCCGCATCCTCGATAAATTCTAACAACATGGAAATGCACGCTTTGCTGTCGCCGAAACCAACAAAGGAATTCTCTCCTTGTGCAAGGTTGGACAGAAGAACAAGGGCAAATTCTCGCGTCACTGGATTACCTCTCTCCCCGACCAGACGAACCAACATGCCATAGAGTTCATCGACGCGTGTTAACGGGGGCGAAGAGAGGATCAGGTCAACATTGGCCTCTAATATGCTCATCTTGGCCAGGGCCTCTAGAACAAGTTGTCTCGGGGACAGCGAGGTGCCCGGAGTTGCTGTCGGCATAGGGTCTTCAGCGGTAGCGGAAGGGCACACGAACCAATGCAGCAGTCCATCCAGAAGCGGCAAACTGATTGCTTCAGGGTAAAGGGACAAGTCGAGCTGGCCCGCTATATTGGCTATGATTACCAACGCGTTCTCACGCAAACCCTCCAGACAATACCACCACCAGTCTTGACGATCATCGCTGGGGGACTCGAGCTCAATATCCTCTTGGAGATACGAATGACGATAAGGCACGCGCTTAGCATGTCTATGATGGAGCAGCAGCAGACGACCCACGATCAATAACAAACCCGCGTGCCGCGACATTTCAGCGTCATTTAAAGGAACGAAAGAAAGTCCTCGAAGAATGTTTGACACGCAAAGACAACGCCGTGAAACAGCGTCTTGGGTCTCAGTTCTTAAACAGAGCGGAGCGTCCTCTTTGCCGCATGATTGTTCTTCAATAATTGGTTCTTGTTTCACGTTCATTTTACCCACAACTTCTCTTTGAATATATACGTCGGCTTCGGAATCCTCAGGGTCCGAGTCCAAGTCCAAATCAAGTTCCTTTTTTAAATTAGCGGTAAACTTTTCATCATCGTTTTCGTCCGTAGAGTTCTCGTTCTGCTCCTCTTCTGTTTTAACGACAGTATCGGGTTTAGATTCCGAATCCTCCTTAACCGAAACTGGACAAGAGGATTCTTTTTTAAGTTCTTTACAATTCACCATACACTTTCTGTCTCTTGGACAATTCATGTCCATACACAAAGCCTCCGACTTCTTTTCTCCAATGCTAGAGGGCTGTTTTTGTTCGCTATAAATTCTTAGAACTTTTCCAAAGTTCAGATCCTCCGAACACTGCAATTCCGTATCGGATTTCATACAAGTGCTCTGGCACTGCTGTTCAGTCAACATAGAACCCATATGTGTCTGTATATGAAGAGTTGTATCTCCACCGCCCATCAGCCAGTTACTTGAACCGCTCTGAAATCCCTCCCTGGAAAACTGAAAAGTTGAGCCGACCAGCACGGCGCTAAAACTCCGCTTAGCGTTTTGATTTATCTTATCAATCTCTTGCTCTTCCTCCGTGCTTGGCTGGTACTCATTTGCCTCCTCTCCAGATGGCTCAAACACCTTAGCACCCACAGTGATCTCGCTCTCATCAAACGCACCAAAAATCTCCGTTAGATACCGCCGGAAGTGATCAATCAGGTTTTCCAGGAGACCCGGGAGTTGCGATAACATGAAGTAGGCTACGGTGTTGTCGTCATACAGGAGTATGTTGAGTGTATCCAGAGCCCAAGTGGCCTCCGATAACAAACCAGATTTCAATGACATCATAACTCGCCAGGCTTCCACGGGACCTGAAAATGATAACATTTCAAAAGGAATAAATTCCCGTTGCTTCTACGTTGCAGTTTTCGGGAGTTCACCCTTTAAATCCCAATAGTGACTAACATCAATTTTCTCCTAACAAATATCCATGTTTCCAAGAGGAATGGTTATGAGAGTTAATAAAATGATCACTACAGAGAAAATGCTTTGATCTGTTATCAAATTCTCTCAACTAATTCTTTAAGAAAATGTATGGAGATCAGTTTGGAGAATTTGTATGTGGATATCAGGGCTTAAGGTGTTAAGGGAGCTTCAGCATCGACGACGGCAACGACAACGCGAAAATCAGAAGAGCAATACGTTTAATAAGCAAAATCACCACTCTGCACGTACAACACACTTTTTTGTACATTTCTTTGCCATCACTGCACGACTACTTCGAGAAATGGAGGACGTAAACACACCACCATGAATTTTTTTTTCTTATTCTTAACTTGGGTTCGGTCCCCAAGAATTCAATTCCGGGGAGATTTACTTTCATTTGACATTTCATTTGAGTTGAAACAATCTTCATCGCGATCATTCCAACTCACTTAATCAAGTGTAGAAAAACTCTCCTGGAATTAAATTCCTACGAATAAAAAAGAAGAGAAAAGAAAATTTTGTCGTCGCTTGTTAAAATCCTCTATAAAACGTGAAACTGCTGTTGCCGCAGTCGGATCTTATTTCGTGAAGTTGTGTATACTAAACTACCTACTAGAACCAATCCTTAGGCCAGAGTTAACAGTTAATTATTTCTTAGTGTTTGGAGGCTGTTTTTCTTTCTTTTTCAAAAATGCTTTAACGGACTCGCGTGGACACAGGGTAACACGTTCATGTTAACATAAATTGCTTTGGATGGATTTTAACATTGGACTGCACCTTTAAAGGGCTCATCTGTGTAAAAAGAATTTTTCTTTCTTCTACTTCGTTTTTGTTTTCAGTATTGTCAAACAAAAAAATAACCAAACATACCTAAGTCTCTAGACGTAAGCTTGCGTTTCTTGGTAAAGACAGGTCTTGTGGCCTCAACACAGTCATTAGGAAAGGGCATATCCCTCTTTACAGCTTGCTGTGACTGCTGCTGCTGTTGCTGCGTTGCTTGTTGGTGGGGATACTTCATCTTCTGTGACGCCTGCAGTGACTGCGCCAATGGTTGCCGGGACGACGGTGACGGCGAGGGGCTGGGACGATATGGCGGAGTGGCGGCGGAATATTGGCTTTGTTGACGACCTGGGTATGAGCCATAGGGAGGTGCTGGGGAGAACTGGGGCGGAAGACCACTTGATGAACGAGGAGCTCGCCCACTGTGTGCCCCGGGAGGGTAATCAACAATGTGCTCTGGTTCTGTTGAAGGGCTATACTGGGAGCCCCACAATGCAACATGCATCTTATCCTGTGGGTTTGCAGTGGGCATCATGGAATGCGATGATGAGAGCGCCCCCATCAATGACGGACTTGCCCGTTGAGGGTACTGCGAATGTGGATAGTTAGCCGCTGGATGCCCTGATTGTGGAGTCGACTGTTGAAAGTACGGCGACATGGAAGGGGGTCCCGGATACATATTACGTTGCGACAACATGTACGGAGGAAGCCCTCCCTGGGGTTGATTCGATAAGCTCTGTCTCCTATCCCCAGAGTACTGATACGGAGGTACTCCAAATGAATTGGGAGGAGTCGGTTGTTTCATTTGAAAATTAAGAGAACTGTCTCTAAGGTCAGGAAAACTTTTACTGCTATTTTCGTAGCTAGATTCCGCATAGCTATCCCTAGCGTTGTAGCTGGGAGGCAGACCGACAGGGGATTCGTTTGTCATTGAGTTGTAGGATCCGTGAATGGAGGAAGTTTCCCGCTGGCTTTGTGTAAGACTGTTTGTGGGTATAATTGCCTCCGAACATGTAACAGTAGCATTTGGAGGAGGAATGCCTGAATTTTCCAAAAGGTTAATCTTTATGTCATCAATGGAGTTTTGCTTGGTATGTTTCATTTCAAAAGAGAGCAGGTATCGTGAATACTGGTTGCGAAGGTTATTCACTATACTGGGGTTATCCATAGGGAGGTTTAAGGCCTCTAAGACATCCTGCCATAGCTTTCTTCTCACGACCTAAGAAGAACAACGGTTGCAAGTGAGTAAGAGAAAACAAGTTACCAGTCCCCTGCGAGGGAAAGCACGTCACCACTCACAAGTCTCAAGCGGGAAAACTTGTAACCAGTCTAAGCGTCGCGCGGGAAAACATGGGTACTTACCATTTACATGCAAAAACCGGAAATTCCGATTGAAAAATTGAATTCCATTAGTGCCATTCCGTTTGTAGCCTCCCACGCAGACGTAATAAGGGGTTCGTCACGCGTTCCTGCCTCACAAGGAACGCAGTCAGGAACGCGTGACGAACCCCTAAGAACGTCTGCGTGGGAGGCTATTCCATTTGGGAAGCTTCAGAAAATAGGGGCTGTGATTTGAAGCGATTCAATTTTCCTACTTTTTTAGTTTCTACAGTTGATTTCGATATACTTTGTTACGGGTTCTTCTCCCAACACGTCAAATTTTATGGTTTTACGTTTATGCACAAGATTTCCACCCAGGTAGTTTGTGTAAACGGTAAGCACCCCATGTAACCAGTCCGCAAGGAGGGAAAATATGTAACCAATCTGGCAGTCCAAGTTGTCCCAAGCGCGGGAAAACATTTTGCCTGTACCTAACGCGGACAACTTGTTACTAAACGCAAGCGCGGGAAAGGAAACGCGGAAAAACTTCGTGAAAACGTGCAGCTGGTTGAAAGGGCGTGAAACAAGTAGCTAGCCGCAGCGGGGTGAGTTTTTATTAAATAAACTCACTTCTTGTAAACCGCCTCTATCTCGGACTACAGTGAAAAACTTGAAGAGATCAAGAGGTTGCCTTGCCACCACAGGAACTTGGCTAATCTGCGTGCCTATAAAAACAAAAAATAGTTGAAAAATATTTCCCATGCAATCGAGATTTTCACTGAACACAACACAAAACCAAAACAATCAACTTTTTTTGTCATAACGCAGAAGAAAGTACTAACATTCACAGTGATGAATGAGATTTTCGACATCTATTTAACAAGTGCTCTAAAAAACGTGGATTTCACATAATGCAGAACCAATCCAAATCCGAGATGTTTGAAGTCGGGGTCGTACAACTCCAAGAGCTAAATTGAAAATCTTACAAAAAGAAGAGTAACGTGAAAATCGCATCGCGGGACTCTTTGATTGATACTACATCATAAAAAAATTCCATTAGAGTTGTCAAAAATTTGTAGAAAACACTTCAAACACTTGGCTGAATGCCCAGATATCACTGTAAATCTGTGGATGAAATGTTTAAGTTACTGGGCAGTCCACAGTAAAAAAACCGCGTTCTTTCCTATGCTGGCTATTCCTGTCATACCCTCGGAGACCCAAAGGAAGTCAGTCGGGCTGGGAAAAACGGGGGCGAACGTTTTCAAGGACGGTTGAGAGAGCCCCTGGGATGCTACTCTTAAAAAAACAGTTCCACGACTCATTCGAATGCTTGACTCTGCTTGATTTTTTTTGTGCCAGATCAAAGACAAGCATCTATCGCGCTACTGTCGTGAACTTCTTATACGAAGGAGTTTACCTGCAAAGTTGACTGTTCGCCGAAGATCGCCATACATATTTGGGTTGTGCAGAAGAGCTTTCTTCGAGAAGAGTTTTCAAAGAAAATCGGGGCCACAAAATCAAATATATCCCATAATTTAGCATGTTAGCAAAACAAAACGAAAGGTAAGATTTCCGTATAACCCGAAACATTTATTACGCATAAAATGTTCCGACTCTATTCATGTTAACTACTGGTGAGAAAAAGAAGGAAATTGTTGCATGCATAATAACTGGCAATCTAATTAAATCAAAAATGTACCAACCCGAAGAAATCAGGCTGTGGACTGATCGAAGGTATTCTTAAACACCAGTGTACTTCTAGGTTTGTGCATGCAACTCCGCAAGTTTAGTCTACCAGTTTCGTTTGATCCTCTTGTGTCACTGAAGAGAAATATTTAAGTACAAACCTACAAACTAGGGCGAAGAATTTTCTCCTGCACTTGACTGAAAAGTATGCCGAGTAGGCGTAAACAGTCACGCACAACATTTCGCGCGCACATGTTTTAACTTTTAATGACCTGAATCGGTACGTAGAGTTATATTAAGAGGAAATCGTTTTGTCTGTGTCCAGTTTTGAAAGCTCTCCTGCACGAGCCAGACAGGTACGGCGAAAAGTCGAGTTTGCAAGTTAACTCCTTTCTATAAGAAGATCACGAAAGCAGCGCGATAGATGCTGGCTTCCGATTTTTGAGCCCAATCAGAGAAAAGCACTCGGCTGAGTAGTGGAACTGGTTCTTTAATAGTAGCATCCCAGGGGCTCTCTCGCCCGTTCTTGAAAACTTTCGCCGCCGTTAATCCCGACCCGACTGACCGCCCCTGGGCCTCCCAGGATGTTCCTGTAAAGACGGACAAACAAGGACATCAACTATACATTTTCCTCCACGCTTTCTAAAGATCTCTTTCCAAGTTACCTTGACTATTCATGAATTCCTGATACTTATCAAGGAATTCCTTCCTCTCTGGTTCATCAGAAAGTTCATATAGCTTGGAGAACTGAAAAAGCAAAATTATTCATCAACTTTAAAAAATGTCCAGAGTTTTTCCAAGTCTCTTTGATATTCTCATTAAAAATTTTCCTAATCGGCAGAATTCAGTAACTGCAGTTACAAAGTTTTCTAACAAGAATGAACCTTCTTCCCCTCCCGAAAAACGTTTCTCCAATGCAAAATGATCTTTGGATGGACGAGTTACATTGTAACTGGGAGTATGAAAAATATACTAGGTATATTTCTATTTGGAATATCATTAAGGAAAAAATAGAAAGTCTCAAAAATATTGATGTCAGTTGTTTCTTTCACAGGCATCTGCCTGTTTTAACGTTGATCAAGTCTAAAAGAGGTCTAAGATATTGAGATACTCAAATGGACGAAATTTTCCCGAGTACAAAATATGAAAATTGACCTACACTTGTAAATAGCGCTCGAGAAGAAATAACGTATTTCCTCCCATACGCGCCGCGGCTTCTTTCTCCCAATTGCGGCGCTTATTCGAATAAATACGGTAAATAATTATTATTTTTATTAACGTAACTCAATGAAATTATAAAGGAATAGACAAACAAAGAGAGGGAATTTTCAGAGTTTTCAAAGTCCTGAGTTTTCAAAGTCCTGAGAGAAAATTATTAGCACATGAACCACATACCTTGTCATACTGTTGCTGGTTCTGTTTCGATGAAGGAAACTGGTATGAAGACTATAAAACAGGACAAGCAAAAAGCTCAGTGTTATTATAAAGCAGCTCACTTTTGAGAAGAGTGATAGCCTGGAATCTACAGAAGGTGAAATTCGAATAGACCTTATTTGCTTGATGGTTTTGTTTTCCCTATGTGGGTCACGTGATAATAGTGAGTTTACGCAACAGGACGGTAGAAAGAAGAGGACGGCAAAACGCTTGAGTGTGACAAACGTCACGGGGATATTACTTGCGTGTTTTGTCGGGAATTCACTTAACATTGTTGTTTTTAGCTCTTCTACAAAAAGATCTGTTTAAAGGAATGTGAACTTTGGCGGAAGGTTTCTTCAACGAAAATTATTGTCACGCTTGTCACACAAGGTTTTCCGCCGTCTTTCCTCTCCCGCCCTGTTGCGTAAGCTCACTAATACTCTATTCGTTCAATTTCGTCTTTTTCCTGGTGTTGACCAAATTTGGAAGATGCAAGCGATAAATTCAATGGCATATTAATCGATGGTACATTTGCCTGGAAACAAGGCTGCATGGGGAAAAGACCAGGGATCTTTTCCAGGCTGGGCCGCCAAGCTATTTATCCACCAGTAAACTAAAAAAACTGGCGCTAATACGCCACTTGCACATCTCCCATAATGCACCTTACTTGCCCCCCAATAGCCTGCGAAAACATCTGTTTCTCCTCGCTCTTCGCCACTGGGGACGTTTCGCAGGGAGGAAATTCCATACTGATGATGCAAATCAATGGTAGTCATGGGGTTCCAAATACAAATTTGTCCAATTTTCTGTGTCTTATGGTCGATTTTGGAAAAGTATTGTGTTCATCTGCCAATGCGCCCCAACAAAACTCAAATGCTTCTTCTAGAGAAGACTATTATTCCACAAATATTGACTGTTTTGATAGAGATTTGTTGCGTTTAGATTTGACCTTCGTGGCCTTTTGTCTTTTGTCTGTCATTTGTAAACAATAACTAAAAAATTGTAACTACTCTGCCAACCAATCAACACTTCAGACTGGATTCTGGACAGATTTTATGTCATCAGTGTGGAATTTCTGTCACTGAGTCACAGAGGTTCCTCCACGCGAAACATACCCAGCAGTGAAGAGTGAGGAGAAATGGACGTTTTCGCAGGCTAGCCCCCCCAAATGTTGCATAAGCATTGTTTTCAATTTCTCTTGGGACAGCTGTAATACCCAGCAGAAAGGAAAAACAAAGGTTATGCAAAATTTGGGGGGCAAATAAGGTGCATTATGGGAGATGTACAAGAGTGACATGGCTATCTGAAGTTGCAACAGCCAAATTTCTGACCAAAATTGAATGGAAAAAAACATTGTTCGATGGACAGAGTATCTATAACATAAAAACACCTGTTTATATCCTGGAACTGTGCCAAGAAATAGGCCAGAGTTTACAGGAAAGACTGTGAGGAGGTTATCTTGATAAGACCTTAGAAATGTTTTGAATGTATAATAAAACAATTATTGAATTTGGCTTTTGTATGATGTGAAGAATTATGCAGATCTCAGGTGCCGTTATCCACCTCAGCCTTCACCTTGATAACAGTCTCCTTGATCTGTATAATACTTCACATTATACGAAAGCTGAATTCAATAATTACTAAAAGCCTGGTTTTTGTATGTTGTGAAAATTCCAGAAGATCAGGGACGGCAGCCTTGCTTTTGCAGCAACCTAAACAATCCCGCAAGTGCATGCATTGTCACTTTCAACCCACGAGACAACTCTTTTTCAAAGTGAGCTAAAGTAAAAATCTGCGAGTAAGAACCTGTATTTTCCCGAGTTAGCCATGACAGATTTATACATAAATGGAATTAGCACAATTTTAGGCTATTTAGGTTCTTATTTTTTGAAGCAAAAATATACAATGTAACCATATGTGAGAGTATTCATTGGTACTCAGCTTATTGCTTATATAAAATCTGCATGCCATTACATTGCAGATGGAGTGATAAGGCACCTCTCTCTCCAAAGAGGATCCTGAATGTTGCCCAAGTGTACATAATTTTTTTTTAGATGTTTTAGAAAGTAAGAACCTGTTTCAAATTTTAGGCTAAACACATAAAAAATAAAAAAAATTGTAAATTGCTTTTTTACCCACAAAGCACATAAGAGTTGAACTCGTTTAAATGTGTCCGTGCGCTCCAGATCGAATTGGAATTTGGAAGTGTTGGTTTTTGAGGAGAGGGGAAAACTGGAGTACCTGGAGAAAAACCTCTTGGAGCAAGGGAGAGAACCAACAACAAACTCAACCCACATATGATGTCGACGCTGGGATTTGAACCCGGGCCACATCGGTGGGAGGCAAGTGCTCTCACCACTGCGCCACCCTTGCCCCCCCTCCTCTTGTATAGAGGAGGCCTAACTGGCAAATTTTAGCCTAACAGGTTCTAACTGACAGCTTTTAATGTAAGAATCCACATTAACCCTAGAAACTTACCATAGAGATGGGATTATTCGGCAGTGAGGGATTGATTTCATCCAGGTCAATTTCTGCATCACCAAATGATGATGTGATGGATACGCCTGATGGAGAAACCCCAGGGGAAAGACCAGAAAACGTAGAAAGAGGTGACGAAGGAGCAGATTGAGGGTTGTCATCTTTGTTCACACCGGGCATGCTGAGTGTTGAATTGTTCAGCTGTTTGGTATCGCTGTTACTATTTTGATCTGTAGCTGCAATGTAGGTATATACACATATATGGAATCAATACTGGGTTTAGCTGTCACCCCCTGGGAATGGCCAACTATTTGCTTAATAAAGATTGACTTTTTAACACAAGTTAGACCAGGCTAAAATGCAATTCAAGCAATAAGATTTTCTTCCTCTCCTTGTGCTGAGGAGAAAGAAATCATTGACTTTTACACATTTCAATGGGGGTGAAAGCTTATGAATTTCAATTCTTAGATCATGAAATGGTATCTTTTCGAGTTCATTCCACCTAATAATAAACCCTATTAACTGCAACCATTTAACAAAAAGAGTTTTTTCATCCTTTGAGCGAATTTCTCATCAGGATATTTGGGTTTTTCCTTTTTGATCAAATCACACTATTAATCCTCGAAATGTAGAAGTGAAAAGAGGAGAGCCAATTTTGACGCGTGACTGCTAATTAACTTGAACTGTTAGAATACTGAGACACTGAGAATTAAATGAATCTTGAAGAGCAGCGAAACGACCAGACTAACAAAAAAGCAGTTTATGTCTTGTTACCATTAACAGTAGTTCCTTGAGGTGCTAGTGAGGGAGGACCTTGTGAAGGTGAAGACTCCACTGTACCAGAAACTGTAGCCACTGACGGTGGTGGTGGGGCCGAAACACGTGAAGGCTGCTCCTCGCCATTGTTAGTTGACAAGGATGTCTCCCCTGCTCTCATGGACTCAATCATTGCCTCCACATCTTCGGCAGTGGGTAATTCATTCAACGTTGGGGAAGGTACACGCCCTGTGGAAAAGTTCAAATTAATTTTTAACTGCACAGGAACTGCAGAAATAGAGCAGGATGTCATAGTAGCCCCAAAACAAAAGATGGTTACCCAATGCAAACAGCAACTACAGAGCACAAGCATTTTCTACTTATCTTTCCAGGCAGCATAATTATTTTTATCTTTCTACTAAACCTTACACCTATTTCAACATATGCAACTGCTCAAGGGGCTTACTTGCAACTTTTAAATGAGAAAATATGGTTCATGACTCTTCCAAAAGCCAGAAACCTCTGTTAGGTGGAAAGCTTACACTGGTCAAGAGTGTGTGTACACACTCACTTTACAGTCAACTCTCTCTTAACGGACACCTCTTTAAGACGGACACCTGGTGTTGACCAGTCCAAGCTGTTTTTTCTACAAGATGGACACCTCTCTCAGACAGGCAAGTGACACTTTTGAAACTGTCAACGGACAATTGGGAAGTTGTTTATGCAGCGAAAAATACCTCGAAACAAATGTAGGTGCTCCACATGACAGTAAATTACACACTTTTAGTGTCTTTTTAGTGTAGTGTTCCTCCAATTCACAAAATGTATACTTTTATGCAGTTAAACCACAAAGCCGGCTGTGAACACTCAAGCTTGTAATGAACGTTTGATTTTACAACGACAAAGTGATTCCACTTTTCTGTTACAGAGTTCCAGTTTTTGCTGTTTTGTACAAGTTTAACAGACATGTATTTATTGCGAATGGGTTTAGCTTTAGTTTCCTCAAGTTACTGGTGTCACATTACCTCGACTCTCTGTAAGCCAGACAGTCAGGGCCGGTCCTGAAAATGTTCACCTTAGAGATAGTTGACTGTATCCCTAAAATTGACCCTAACTCCTCTTACTACCACCCTGCTCTTACTACCTAACCTTAACCCTAACCCTAAACCCTACGATCTCTCCCCCTCTCCCACAAGGAGACCTCTGACAGATCCTCATTACCTAGCATTATCTCTTGTGAACTCATATATGGCTGCCCTGGAGCTGGACCAGAGTTGGGATATCTTGCTCCAGAATTGGCTGCCTCGAGCACAGCTGCGGCAGCAGCTGCAGCAGCTGGTCCACCAACACTTGATCCAGCAGTGGAGAAGTGTAAACTTCCTACACTTGAAGATGGGAGGTGGCCACTAGATACTCCTGATCCTGACATTTGGGTGGATCCCATTCCAAATGGTGTAGGCAGTTTCCCAGGAGGGTAGTTTGACATGCTGCCTGATGTAGCTGGGCTGTCTGTACCAAAATTGGCCATACCAACTGAGGGTGGTGTCCCTAGATAAAGGAACATCTTTAAATGTTGAAAAGCAGTTTATGATAGGTAAGGTTTAGAAAGGCTGAAAACCGCTTTTGTGTTTGTCTAGCATTCTATCACTATGCATTAACCCTGAAAGATCAAAAATCCACATACAAATTCTTCACACTGGGGGGAAGGGGGGTATCAGAGCTGTCTTAGGGCCTGTTTACATGGAGGTGGTCGACCCCAGGTAGGTGAGGTAACCCGCCTATCCATATAATCTCTCATTTTAATTTGATCACATTTACATGATAGGTGGGGTTGACCACATGTTACCTCACCTATCTGGGGTCCCCCATCTCTACGTAAACAGGCCCTTAGAGAAAACTGATTTTGGTCACTCTTGGGACCTCAGGGGTTAATTAAGGTCTAAGGTGTACCCTAAGAGGCAGAGGGATCAATTGGTTAGCATGTCAGACTCACAATCCAAACAGTGCAAGGTTGGAGTCACCACCAGCTGGATTTGTTTCTTGGTCACTTAAAGTCCAAAACGTTGGCTGTAAAAAGCCAACTGGTTGCCTCTTACCAGCTGGTTTATTTAAAAACCTGTTAACCCCTTAAGCTTCGATATCCACATACAACTTCTCCAAACTGATCTCCATACATTTCCTTAAAGAATTAGTCGAGAAAATTGATAACAAATCAAGGCATTTCCCCTTACGTGATCAGTTCATTAGCTCTCATAATCTCTTGACAGTGTATGGATATTGTTAGGAGAAAATTGATCTTGCTCACCACTAGGACTTAATAAAGGGTTAATAACATTTTCAAATTTCTTACTGACCTTCTGGAACACTCCTCAATGGTGAGCCCAAGGTGATGTTGGGAGAAGGTGAGTGCCGTGAGTGGAGAGACCCAGGAAATGGTGGAGGGTTCCCTCGCTGGTATCCACCCTGGCTGCTTCCTCCATACTTGGCCATCATTTCTGAAGAGGAGCTCATCCGTCCCATGGGTGGGTTTCCATACGACACTGGTGCAGAAGGCATTGCAAGCTGTTGTTGATCTGACATCCTGTTTGACACAAAATCCTGACCTGGTAGACTATCACCCCCATTGTTACTGGCGTACCTCAGGCCAGCAGAGGCACCAAACATTTCAGCTGAAGCTGGTTTGGGAAGGATGGGTTGTGGATGAGACGATGGCATTCGCGGCATTGCGGTAGGTGGCTGAGGGTATGTCTGCTGTTGTTGTCTTTGTTGCTGTTGAGCCAAGTAAGGCATTTGTTGAGGAAACTGAGGCTAAAATTTGACAAAAAAAAAGAGTCAGGCTTTGAGCCATGCCACGTTGTTGCACCAAATCCGCACTGAGATTAGAATTTACCCCTAAAAAAATATTCCGCTGAGAGGACATGTGCTAAATGGCAATGAATAGTCGGAACCAAAAGAGGACAAATGCACCAACTATGATCAACTACATTCAGTCGGTGGTTTCACGAGAACCGAATGTCCATAAAAAACTATGAGCTTGCAAAACAAAGCCATTCTTCATGGCAGTCATGTTGTGTAGCAACTTCTAATATGCACAGGCTTTTTTAAAAAAAAGTGTCATTGGTCTGAATATGCAGTTTGTGAAGTCATTTAAAATAGCGCACTTACTAGTTATTATTTCCGTTTTTTCATACATTTTATAATCAAAATTGTCACTACTTCTTAGCGTTTTAATCTTGACATATCATGTACTTTTATATATTTTTTTCTTTCAATCCAATTATTTTTCAAATGATAAATGTACTTACAAAACAGTCTATTAACGCCGTGTGCTACAAGAACAATAAAAACGACCTTATGGGTGGACATACCGACACCTTAACAAAGACTCTGACATAGTGCCTTACTGGCTAAAAGCCAGTAAGTACAAAAAAGGATTGCAAGCACATGCATAATTAATCCTGCAGCTGCCCTGACAGTCATTCCCAAATCTAACAAATCAACAACAACAACTTGCCATGGTCCATACTCTTATTGACCATAGAAGTAATGTGGCTCGTGGTTCCACTCATGTTTTGAACATTTTGACATCACTTCCACGGTTGATAAGGGTATATAGACCATGGAAAATTGCTGTTGATTTGTTTTTTTACAATAACAATGACAGCTCTTGACATCCAGCTTTCAGTGAAGTTTCTTGGACAATGGCATGCAGGAGAGAAAGAGAAAAGCATCACATCATTTCTACGGTCTGTGCTCTCATAGTTTATAAAAAAAAAAAAACTGAAAAGTGGCCCTGTAATTGTGAAAAATATTATTCAATGTTTATTAAACTAGCTGGGTATTTTGACTGTACAAAAACAGCTGATACTTAAATCCCTAAAGACCTTAACATGACAATACCTTTGCCCTAAAAATAAATTGAACAGAACAACATCAAAGCATGTGCAGAACCTAAGTGTTTACAGCACCAGGACAGATGTCTCATACTGTACCTGAGGATATCTATGCTGCATCTGTTGTTGCTGCTGAAAGCTTGTATAATCAGGAGAAGGCTTCTGTATTTGGCCTCCCATTTGCTGACCCTGTGTTGGAAGACTTGTCTGCCCCATAACTTGCCGACCACTCATGCTCATATTTCCATAGTATGGCTGTGCTTGTGACATGCTCCCAGCTTTCATACCACCCTGCTGCTGCATTATGTATGCTGCATATGGTTGCTGTGAAGAGGCTTGATGTGACTGTTGTTGTTGTTGATGTGAGTTGCCGAGCATCATGTAAGGCAACTGCTGTTGTGGAATCCCTGGCTGCTGCAAATAAAACGATAAAGCAATGAAACTGTGATAATGTTTGTTTATCAAATAAATTGGTTCCTTTACTGTGCTTTTCAAAAACGCATGATTTTTGAAGTTCAAAAGCCAACTAATGTTCGCTTTTTTTGCTGCCATCAATCATCTTCAGCAAACCTCTTAGGAAAAGGAAGTTTACTTCAGCAGGTTCAAAAGGTCATGGTTTGTGATTGGTGGATTTTGATCCATTTTGTGTGCTTTTGTGTTCGAAGGTTCGTTGCTGTGATCGTCATTAGGATTGGTGGCAGTGAAAAATGCATTTGTCAAGGTGGCTTTTCAACTTCAGAGTTTTTGAAAAGCGCAGTAAGGTCCTAGGGAAACGTACAGCCATGAATAAATTTGTGTAGCAAGGGTCGTTCTTAACACTTACATATCAGCTGTTTTGGAGCTCAAATAGTACAGGGATATTGAGGAATGATGGATGTTTACAAATGTTGCTTTTTATTTGTTAGGTTGTGTCTTATGACGATGGAGTGAGCCATATTAGTGATGAAGATAATTTTTTTATCTATTCGCCTTCAAGGTCAATGATTTATCACACCTTGCTGTTTAGATCACAATCAAAACAAAAATACATTTATGTATTCCAACGATTGTAGATAGTTCATATACCTCATACCTATGTTAAATGCCATTTGTTTGTAGTGAGAAAAGTAGGCTTTAAAGGATTCTTTGAAGTTTGTTGTATACCGATCTAAAAATAATTTTCATCATTGAGGGCCTAGACCACATTTATAATGGTGATGCTTGTAGGATTTTGAATTTTAAAGAGCAATTGCTGTAGATTTTGGACTTGGTCAATGTCATATTATTTTCCTTTTGCTGTAGCAATTAACATAGGATACTTCATGGGAAGTGCACACACACACAAGTTATTGAAGCAAAATATCAACTAATCAGGGGCACTACCCAGATATAGGTAGTGGCACATAATCAGTATTCAGTTTCTGCGCTTGTTTTTCAGACGTCATTTTGCAGGGAACCAGTGGTGGCTACAGACTGTCTGACTGCAAACCTGATGGTTATGGAATTTTTTTTTTCACTAACATTAACTGATAATTCATAAACAAACGATAGAGAAAAAACATATTATGAACATTAAATGTTAATAATAGTTAATATATCAGTATATATCTGTTGGATTTGATAAGGTGCTTGTACTTAGGTCTCTAGACAGCCAACTCCAAGGAGTAAGAACTCACCGTCCCCACCCATGACACTTATGACTACTCAGTCACCCCCTCAAGTAGCATTATGATTATGAGTCAGAGCATTGATTTGGCTGGGCTATCCCACAGGAAAAACTCCTTGACTTTGCCTTGCTTTCTGACTTGAAACTCTAATCAAAGTGACAAAATTTCTGCTCCCTACCCCCCTACTTTTGACATGCAAAAAAAGGAAGCCAACCACCCACAGTTAGGTCTGGGCCTGAGCTCTCTGCTGACACCTAGCAATATGCCAAGCCCCCTGTTTTTTGTTTTTTTCTGGCTACACTGGCTCGAACACGAGGATGCCCATGTTCAAGAAAAAACTTAGTGGGCACCTTTCAGCAAAATCACACAGATATGAAGGACAGGAAGAGTGAAATATGGATACTTGTGACAAGTTTATACGAAAATCAATATATATTAACAATAACATACTAAAGAATATACTAGATTAGTAGCTGCTTGATTTACTGTGGAAATCCAAATAACCACTTTGATGGAATACAGTAATCCATTCATTCACATTCACAAAAAAGCCTTACATAAAACTACTACTAACAATACTTAACTGCAATAAGGGATGTTGAAGTTCCTTTGAACAATTAATTTTTGGTTCTACCTTTTTGTACATTTTCCTAGCAGATCTGCCAATTTTTTAACCTGTCATACCAGAGTGTGAATTTTACACTAAAAACTGTTCATTTTCATACGATTGGCTCAAATAACTTTGGCTAGGACTCACTGTTTGCCTCTAAAAATGTAATTGGTTACAGTTGTAAATCCTGTCTAAGGGACCCTGAATAAGGTAGACCCACTGCAACTTATTCTGTTGTGTTGCAAATATAACCAAAGATAGTATAAAGGCTGTATTGAGGTTATATTTCCTGTATATAGTGGCTCAAAAGCTAAGCCAAAATAAAAACAGGTGAATAACAGATTTATGCACAGGTGTATCTCAGCAAACCACTATTAGTGTTTTTGCTATTGGGACTAACTCAAATACAGTTGAACCTCCCTCTATTAAGAGGCCAGTAACCAAAGTCTTGAAATAATAATTGCAGCCACCACTGTTAAGCTGCTGCCACCACCTTTTGGCTTCCCCAACAAGAGTTCTCCCATTGTGGTCACCTCTATTAAGTGGCCATCAAGCGCTTGATACACTTAGTTTGACTAAGGGCGCTTTCCATTTGTCAGAACTGACCGGCCAGACCATTCCCGTAGTAATGAGAATTTTAGTTTTAAGCAAAACTTTTCAACCAGATCCGTCAAATCCTAAATACTATGCACGAAGGAGATGGTTTTTCAGCAAAAACTGTTGGGAAAAGCCTATTTCATTGTAAAAATGCTGCTCCAGCCATGGTCTGGCCGGCCAGTTCTGACTTTTGGAAAGCGCCCTTAATTTCAAGATATTGAAGAAGGAAAATACAATGCGAGAAAGAAGGTGATGACTGATTTTGAACAAGTAACGCTGCTCCTGTCATGGCTTTGTTTCAAAATAAAGTGATGTTTCTGCTTACGATTATGCTAATTTATGACAAACCTCAATAGAATAGCCAACCTCCATTAAACAGCCATTTGCCGGTTCTCCGAGGCTGGCTGTTTAATGCAGGTTAAACTGTACTATAGAAACAACGTAGACCATATGTAACATCTACATCATTGTTTGCCAGTTGAAAATCATGTGTACATGAATTAAAGCAATGGAGAAGTGACGTCACTCAATGGAATTAGCAGCTTGTTGATTAAGACATCCCTTTCAAGTGTATGCGACTTGAGGGGATGGCTGAAATTCTGGGTAAGACTGACAGAAAAAGCAGTGAAAATGTTTTGCAAATTCAACAAAGCCTAAGTTGTACAAAATTCTGGCAGAAAAACTGCCATTATATTGGAAATACTGTAAAGGCTAAAAATTTGTCCGTGAAACTATGAACATTCTTTTACACAAACAAACAATCCAAGGCAGGAAAATTTCCACTGCTATAAATTATAGCACAAATTACACAACAGCAAAAACAAGACTAATTCATTACACAAAAGGACAACAGAATTTAACAAGCTAGGGATGCTTTCTGTCCCTGACATACCAAAAAGAAGAGTGTGATGTTATCAGTCAGTACCAAGATAAATCATACAATTTCATGACCAGAAGAGGACTGGGATGTGTGACTGATTTCATGATATTGTTTCCCTGGTATCAGTAAAACAAAGGAATTTCTGTACGCTGTTAATCAGCATTTTTACACCTTTGCCATATCAACAGTAAATACAAAAAGGAGATACTTGATGCATGAAACTTTCTTTGTGGCAATAAGAAACTGTTATGTAAACCACAGGAAAAAAGGTGTAGGGACAGTGTGTTGTTTTCCAATCATGGTTAACTAACATAACAGCTTTGCGTGAGATTCAGAACTTTGCTAAGTTGTATGTTTCCACAAGGAACTTCATATGGTAATTTCTTTTTCCTCTCTATTGGATCTATGTGTAACACCTATATCCTTCTTACGAAAATACATTTCTGGCCAACACTCTCATAATAAGTATGAAATGAATTTATCCAAATGAATCAGAGAAAGTTAAACATAGATGTAATTGAATCTGGTTGTGTTATCACTGAACAGGCAAATCAGATGAGATACCAATCAGAAAGATATAGAGTCAAATTTTTGTGACAAAATAGCTACAGGAATATCAGTGACAAACTCTCTACAGGGAACTTGCCAATAGAGCCATGGTTTGTATGGCAAACTAAGTGTAGTTCCCTTTAGTTCTTTGGAGTAATCAATTACAGAGCCCTTATCATCAGGACTTCACAAAATGAATCTCCACAATACTTCAATGTGACTTGATATAACTTATATTGGGCCACATCATATGACTGGATGAAAGGAATTTCAGTGGACCTGGGATATTAGGCACCTAGCTTTATTAATTCTTACTTCACTTTTCTGTTTGGTAAAATACTGTTACACTTAGCAAGGATGATCAAAACAATAACACTTTTGTGGAAATTCACTTCTTTATGAGAGCTGCAATTTCATAGCAGCCATTTGACATGCCAATGTAAATTTTATGCTGTCAATTTGTTGTAAGCTACAGAAATTCTCTTATATCTACAATAAAGCCACGTGTCTTAAAAATCTTATCAGAAGGCATTTCTTGAAGTTGTTGTTACATTGAAGATGAAAGGAGGAAACAATCCAGCATAAATGTGACAATACCAAACATCATTTACAAGTTGCAACTTGTCCCTGTAACAAAATTAGAGCTTCTAAAGTTTGGGCATATGCAGAAGGGCTTAAAACAACACTGCCCTCTCAACGTTTACCTTTTTCTCTCTATTTCTCCTGCTTCTTTCCCTGTTCTTCCCCCAATGTTTCTCTTTACCTGGACTTTTATTACACTTAATTATGGTGGGAAAAGTTTCCATGAAAAATTAAGGATTGCGAAACTATTTTGTGGGTGTCAGGGGTACAGGGCTCTATAGATCTTTGGATGCAAAAATAAAAGACTTTTTCCACAGGTATTTCTTCATCCAGACTCAAAGTTGTCAAATAAGCAGTCCATAGAAACCTCAAAAAAGGAAGGAATCAAAATTTTCCACTGATGCAAATGTACAGTAACCACAGCGCAATTTTGACATTAGGAAAATATGAAACTTCTCAAAAATGCATTTGAATGTTTTTGCTGTAGATGAGACTAAATAAGATTTTACCACTACAAAAAAGTCAATAGGCACTTGTTGCAGCTTCAACACTTCAAAGACCATACTTTTTACAAATTGTTCCAAACTTTTTGCAGGTTTGGAAAACTGGTTAGCAAATTTCAATATTTTTTTATGAATTCAACACTCTAAACAAATCCTGTGATGGATTGTGGGACAAGATTTCATGAGAATTTTTTTGGTGAACTTAACAATGTTTTTTCCATTTTCTCCTGCCTGTTTAGCAAGATTGTGCTAATTTGGGTATGGTCTAAAAGATCTCTTTGGCCTGCATAAGGTAGGTGTCTGTTTTGTGTGCGACTGTCTAAACTGATGACATCCATTATTTTTCCAAACCTGCTCCATGTTAATTGCCTTTGTTTTAATTTAATGAAGTACAACATGTCTTCAAGGACAAATTGTCATTTTGGGTCAAGCATGTGCACAAAAAAAATTGCGCGGCTAAAAAGCATTTAAGAATCCCTCACAATACATATCCATATTTGTGAACACCATAAGCATTACAAGATGCAGATATAATTAACTTCAGAAAATGTTAGGAACTTCAATAATTACTGGTAAAGTTGTTTACATTGCTAAGCCAATCTATTTTACGAGCAATTAAGGAAATCACTTGTATCTTATGACAAGAGGTTCAACAGTTCAAAAAATCTATTTATCTGTTCAAAAGTCACTTGCAATCTATTTGTTAACTGGTAGTTTTCACCTGTTAAATAGAAAGACTACAGTGGAATCCTGCTTTTCAATGTACACACATTCCTAATGACCAACTTTCAGTTCTTTGTCTCAACAAAACACTTATGAATTTATATTCCCTCTCTCACAAGCTCACTCAAAACAAACCTTTATTATTTGGAGTAACAGTCCTGTGTGCTTAAAAAGAACTACATTTTGTATCACACAAAGTTAACTACATTCATCTTCCACTGCTCCCATAAAAGAGATGGCCAAGAGAATTTCAAAGGTTTTGCTTAATATTCAGTTGGTTTGGCTGGACCAGAAACAGAAAATGACAGTGAAGCAAAACAGAGACTATTTCATACAATTGTGTAGTTGTATGTGGAACACCAAGCAAACAATATTTTCAGTGTAAAACTATTTGAAGGAGCAAAGGATGAACAACATCTGACTTTGTATTCAAAGTTTCAATAACATTTAAGGACTGTTGAGGGAAATTCAAGGTCTTTTTAAGGACATTTCCTGATCATTCAATTCTCAAGGACTTTTCAAGGGCCTGGTATGTTTTAGAGGACTTTTCCAACCCTGTGTGAGCCACAGACACTAAGTACCCTTAGATCACTTCAAAGTTTGACACTTCAACCTTTGAACCAATAAAAGGTGTCCATTACACTTATTCTATTCCTTTGGTTCCAGAATTAACCTGGGTCCACGGTTTCATTATTATCATCAAGGTTATATTATCAATGTACTAGTAAAATTATAAGATCAGATGACTTTAAAAAATGATGGAGTACACATTTAAGGCTATTACTATCCAAATAGTTGGAACCCTGTGAGTTTTCAAGGTACTGTACAATCCATTCCCCAACTAATCATATGCAACATGTCAAAGTGAAACAAAACCTGCTTCAGAATGACTGTCACAATTGAAAAAGTTGAAACAACCTAATTTACTTCTAAGCAGTTTAATTCAAGTTAATAAGGTGAAGACAAGCTTACTGTAACAAAAATAATGTGGACCAATATAACAAAGAAATGTCTAACCCTTACATTTTTTCACAAAAGAAAGGTCAATAAAATGATCAAGGTTTAATCCCTCTGAGACCAATGACTTACAACGTCTCAAAAGTACCCGCAATTATTTATAAATTGACACTAGCAGAGCCAATCATACAAACAGACATATGAATTTCACAGGTGGTGATCCTGGTTTAAAATTGTCTACAAAATTGTACACAAAATAACTTACCGCGCTGGACTTGTAGGTTCAGGAATCGAAACCTTGCCGTTTCAGAGAAGGATGTAATCCGCTCTGCATCGTTTTTACCGGATTGGTGAAACTCGATCAGCCCCGCGCTAAATTCGAGTCCGCCATTGTGATATGAATATTCTGACGATAAATATTTTAAGCGTATGTCTGTTTCTCACTGCAGCCGTTGTGACCCTCCAATCTCCCCACAAATGAAACTAACAACGCACGAGATACCAAAAAATATAAACAATCTCCCAACGGTTTTAATATGGTCTTACCTGCAATTGTGCTCGACTCATCGGTGGGCCGGGAGATGTATTTGTTGGTAAATTTGTCGAACAATGGTTCGACGTCTGCAGCCGACTTTGCCACTGAAAATGCTGGTTTGTAATCATATTTCTTTCATCTGGTTGCGAGTTAGACGATCTTTGCCCAGCCTGAGACGAAATTGAGTCTTGATTGTAATAACCCGGCGGAAACGGGCTAGAAGTCTGGGGATTTAACCCCCTTTTTAGTTGATTTTCACTACGAGCAGAAGCAAACCTTTGTTGGGAGCCATATTGTTCCGCTGCGTTCGGCGCTCTAGGTGCGATGGGAACTTCGCGAAACGATCCGTGAAGTAGCATTTCCTGTCGAGGATTGTATTGATCGTACTGGTTTTGTGGTGATAAAGCAGGTTGATTTGACGCCAAAAGTTTCATACTTGCGGGGTTAGGGTTTGTTGGAGTAAGATTTCTAGACGGTACGGCCGTGTTTGCCGTCGAACTTCCTGGGTCGGTATTCCCTGGGTCGAGAATTGTCGAAAGTTGATTGTTTAGATGAACGGAGGCGGGTATTCCCAAACTAGCAGCTCCTGACTTGTTTACTGGTCCCGTAGATGAATTCATAGACATTTGAAACCCATTAGCGTTCGCCGTTTGTTGGTTTGTTGCACTCGAACTCGACGTCGCCATTTTGTTGGGCAAGGAATTTCCCTTATTATTGTTGACAGTCCGATGTTCTGTACTCTGAATATAATCTTGTAGCTCGTTCAAAATACCCTGATTTTTCGAGCCTACTACACTACTTGAACCATTCTCACGTATGAACGGGTCAGAAAAGAAATCTCTGCCCGCTGAAGGAATTTTAAAACGATGATTTGTGTGTTCCGTGTTCGATACAGGCTCCTTATTGGGAAGTTGAAGGCGACGACCGCTTTCTTCGCTGTTACTGGCATGGACCCGAGCAGTTTGCGCCATTCAGCAGCGCCAACACGCTCTTTACGAGACCATACCGACAAGGAAAAAAATTCCAAAGCCTCATGAATTGTTTGTAACTTGCACGTGTTGCTGGGGTTTACCTGGCGATGTTTGACGTTGTAGAAAAGTGCCGCCTTTCACCCTGCCGATGGTGAACGCTTTTCACACACTAGCAGCCATCTATAGTTAGCACGTGTTTGAATGACAGGAGAGAGTACGTGACGTCACCAGGACCATAAACTCTGCGCACGCACAATACCGGCACAAAATTGGTTGGGGCTTTACTGCGTGACGTCTCTGGGAGCCAAGCTAATTGCGATCGCGATTACATCTAGTTTTTAATTTTTTAGTTACCCTCCCTCCTGAATTCCTTTTCCCAGGCCCTTTTTCAGAGGAAGTCATCGAAAACACAGCCAAAGATAATACGGACTAGACAAACCGAATGATTGGACAGCTAAATACAGGGTAATTTTATTGCCTAATTTCATCAGGGGAAAGTGCAGTAAAAAGACTATAATTTTATAGCTAAAAATGTATGCAGTACCTGCCCGCTGAGAATCTTTCCCATCGATAGGAAATTAAGTTTTTACTCGGGGACCTTAAGATCAGACGACAGCGACGTCAGCGATGAGAACATCAAAAAAGCAATAGGTCTTAGGCTCCATCCATACGTATCCGAACTACAGTATTTTTGAAAACGGAGTTTTTTTCTCCGTTTTCAAAATTATCCGGATACGAGTGGACGAGACCTTAGGCCTGGGCCAAACCTCAAACTTTTCACGGGACGAGCCAAACTTAAAGGGCTAGTCATGAAAAGTCCGACGACACGTCTGGCTCAGTTGAGTTTGTCTGAATGAGTTTGGATCGTCCAACACGTTCTTTCCGTCTGCTTCAGACAGATAGAATGTCTGAGGATCGTCACCGGGACAAAGGTTGATGTTCACGTGTGACGAACTAAACTAAGGACTTAAAGTTTGTATGATAATGAATACTTAGCCTTGTTCGGGTGAAAATGTTTTATATATTTTTCTCTGGTACAATTCAGTTTATTCCAAACAGACGATCTTAAGTTAATTTAGGTCGACTCAAATTAAAGTTTTGTTCGCGTCATGAAAAGTTCGACGTTTGGCCTGGGTCTTAGATTAACAAAACAACACCTCTGCTCGTGCATCACTCTTTTTTGTACAGTTCTTTGCTGTCACTGCACGACTACGGTGTGAAAATGCTTAATTTTTCGTTGTATGGAGATTGTAAACCACGACGAAATTTCATTTCTCCTTCTAGACCGGTTAGGAATTCAACTCCAGGCAGGAGCCTAGGCTCCAGCTTCATGAGAGTTCGCCTTTATTTGTTATAAAGTAAGTGCATGAGTTGAAATAATCGCGATGAAAATTAGAAGGAGGCAAATTCACTTTTTAGCCGAAGTTTTTACTACTGTCTGCAGACAAGGGGGATGTTTATTTACCAAGAGATCATTTTTCCCACTATTTTACCAGGTTTAATGGTATTTTAAAATAAGAATAGCCTGATTACACGTCCATGAAAACGTGAGTAAAAACTTTTTTTGTCGTTGTCCCTCCTCGGGGAATGAGAGAAATTTATCAATCCATGTTTTATCAATCCAGTCCAGGTTTTGCCAATCTGAGCTAATCTGGGTACGAGATTAAATCCAGTCGCCAAACCAAGTTTGATCAAATACCCAAAAAACAGCCAAAACCAAACGGTCGCATTACAAGCTGACAAAAGGGGCGGAATGAGCCTTTCAAAACAAACCTCATAGGCGTCCCCTTCTCCACCCGACCTCTCTCCTCTTCACTTTTTCCTCATTCTTTTCCCGCTCTCCAATTCGTGCCAATGCCTTCGTACACGTAGGCTAGTCAATCACTGGGCAATAAGGGGAATGCGATTTCAACTTCAATTCATCCCTACTCATGCCCAGCAGATCATGGGCGCAAGATAAATGTAGCCGAATTGTTAGTTAGGGCAGCGGTTTTTAGAGAAAATTTAAAATGGTGGACGAAGATTCACACTCGACTGACTTGAGTGTTTCGGACAGTTAAGAAGAAAGTCATTCAACAATCTTATTTACCAGGAGCCCATCAAATTTGATGGGCTCCTGTATTTACTCATTACATTTTTTGGTTTTAATCGAGTACAAAGTTATTTAGCAACGCTGGTTACGCCACAAAATTGCACAAAAATGCTTAGAAATCTTACTTTTGTTGTACAAATTGCATTTTTTAGCATCAGACCAAAACTCGTTTTGTTTTTTTGAGCAACTTTTGAGCAACTTTCGTTAATGCAAAGAGCAACTTTTGATTGTTTTTTTTTTAGCAACTTTTGAGCAACTTTTTGAGAAATTACGGGACACTTTTTGGAAAATCTCGAGCAACTTGTGGAAAGCCTTGCCCCACGACACACAGGCCTTAGTATCTGCCTCCTTCACAAGTGGGGATTGGGGAACACGCGAGCACGCGAGACAAGCGAGAAGCACGAGAGAGGGATGATGGGAACGAGCATCCTTTTTCTCCCCTTCCAACCCCGCTTTCCATGTTCCAGGGAGCGGGTCCCCCAACCTCGTTCCCAGGGTAGGAGAGAACCCTGGGAACGAGGTTGCGGGTCCCCGCGACCCGCGACATCCCCGCTTCTTTGGATAACAATCGATCGACGTAAACAACGAATTCCCACACCCTTCAAAGCCGATCGCCTTTGAAACCTTCTAATACAGTGCTGCTATATCAAGGAAATAGGTACGTGTTGCCATAAATCTAATATATCAATAGTCTTGATCGATCCCCAATAATCCGGACCAACTTGCCGGCTTGATATTTGGCGCCTGCTATAGCTTAGCAGGTCCAGAGGTCATGTCGGTTCATATATGCGTGAGTGAACTCCATATTGTTTTTTCAACCCAAAATTCCGGAAATTTCGGTTACAAAACTAATCATTGTCAAGTGGAATGGACCATTTCGGTTCACGTTGACCAATCAAGTCATTTCGGCCAGTCGGACCGAAAATATGTCCCTTTCCATTTGACAAAATTGTTCTCCCTTGTACCCCCATTCTATGAATAATTTACCCTCTTGGTTTGCAACCACGTGACTAGGTTGCCATGTTGGGGTCAATACAATAAATTGTTTTCACAGTGACGTCATCAAATTGTAAAGTCAAAATAATGAGGTTTTACGAATTCTTATTTACACTACATTGAAGATAAACAAAAAATAAATCTTTGTACAAGTTTCCATTCCCGTGGCATGTTTCATATTTTCGCAAACACAGCAATTTGAACTTCTGAGCTTTTACAGTGTGTGACACCAAAATAGGAATGCTGTCTCCTTGAAAAAAGTCTCTCCTCATGATTTTCAGCAGTATAACCATTTCAAGTATTAGACGACATGTTTATGCACATGTATGCTAGTTTTCGAGTGGAAAGAAGGAGTTTTTATAGAAAAAGTGGACTCCAGATGTTTTTGTTGATTTCCAGTGGCCATATTGGTGCACCAAAACGGTACACCAATATGGCGTCTCCAAACAAAGCTCTCCAAAGGTGCGTGAAACGTTTCAGCAAATAACTCAGAAACTGTGGGCCACAAAGACCTGTTTATATATTAGTCTTTTATAACATTTCCCTTTTTTGGCTTCTTCCTCTCGACGGTTTTCAATTTATTTATTTTTTGTTGTGTGATGGTGAAAATGATCTATAGAATGTTTTCTCAAAGAATTGACATGAAAATAGAGTTTAGTTCCCAGAGGAAAGAAATGCTTTTGTTCTTGACCACCAAACTGGCAGTCATGACATCACATGCAAACCAGCAATATTAATGTTGAGTTTGGTGGCTTGGGTCAGGTCTATGCAACCAGAAGGTTACCCTGTGTCAGGCGTTCAGAATGTGTGGAATTTCCGAAATTTCAAACCAGAATGTTGTTGAATGGAAAGCGTTCCATGGTTCAAGTTGACCTGTTACCATCCCCCCTGGCTAAGCAACCCCAGGGACAAGTCCAGCCCTTCAGGCGTGAGGATGGGGAATTGTTTGAGGCAGTCCTGTCCCTCGGGTAGGGGGGATAGGGCAAATCAAAAATAACTTCTTGGGTATTCCAAAGTGCAGTGTCTGTTTTGTATGGTTTGGCTAAAGAAAGAGGATATCAAAATGAATTTCCTTGTCGAAATTGTGTGAATAAGAATAATATTGAATCCTTAGTTCAAAGCTCCATGGTTCAGCCTTGTATTTAATTTAATTGACATGGGCACCATTGGGAATGATTGAATAATTATTATTACATGTAACTACTGTATGCTATTTTCAATGAACTTATCACATATAAAAGAGGCAGGTCTGAGCAGTGGAGTCTTGCGTTATGTGAATGGGGACCTTAAGATCTGAGGACAGCGATGATGGTGAAAATGTCGCCTTAAAATTGAGTTTGTTTTCTTTCAATCTATATCTTGTTTATTCTTTACCGTGTCAAATTTAGGCAAATTCTGCTGGAGTTTAATACTCAAGCATGTGGCAGAGCATGGGGGTCAATAGGCCCCCACATTTTGGTGCTGAAAAACACAAAGATGAATTTGACAATACCTGTGACATAGGTGACTTCATAGTGTGCATTTTCCGCCCTCAGATGACTCAAATGTCAAAATATGTTGTCATAACAGTGTAACACTTTGTAAAATCATTTTTTTAATGCTATCACTGGTTTTCAATTATATATCAGGGTTGTCATTAAGAGCTGGGGGCCGGGGATTTTCCCCGGCTACTAATAGAGTGGCCCCTGGCTACTTTTATTGGAAAATAGAAGAAAAATAGAACCAAAAGAAATCCCTAGCCGTTTGATTCCCCAACTACTTGTTGTATTTGCCCGGCAACTTGAAGTCTTAGTGACAACCCTGATATATTCAGGCTGTAGCAATTTACATACACCTATTTTGAGAAAGGTTGTCGGAAAAAGTGCATGCGACAATCCTGAAAGGTATTGTGGGTGGTTTTGAGTTTTTTGTTCTTCAAAGAAATTTGAAAGAATGGCACGAAAGGCCATGGACGTATGTTTGCCAGTGCTAAAGGAAAGCAACAAAAGCAGGTTTGACAGCTACAGTGTCAGGAACAGTGTATTGAGCATATCCCATATTACCTTTCGGGATTGTTGCGTGCGCAGTTTTTCTGACAACCTTTCTCGAAATAGCTGTATACTGATGTTTCTAGTATGACCAGAAACTCATAAGGGTTTCTGGTATGACCAAGTAATTTGACATTGAACCTCTGTTTTTTTTCTTAGCCTTTATTTTTCTGTGTTAACCCAAGAGTTAGCCAACCATGTTGGGTATCCTATCAGCAGTGGTGGGATTGCTTGTGTTGCTTTGGATGTTTTATGACTTTTTCTGGCCTCCTCCTCCATTGGCTGACAGACAACTTGGTAAACCAGATCAACCTGTTGAGTACAACTTGAAGCGCACAGTAAGTTTTATTTTTTTGGAAACTAAGTACTATAGCTATGCTCAAAAAAAGGCTTGCGAAGGTTCAGTGGATTACCTTGCATACTTACCATCCACCATGGGAAACAATTTATTGCTTTGTACAATTCCTTTTCAAGTATGTGGCCTGTTGTCTTACTGTAAATCCTCTATTAAGCCCCCCTTTCAAATAAGCCCCCTCCCTCAAATAAGTCCCCCCCCCTTTTTCAGGAAAAGAAAGTTAATAAGCTTCCTGTCCCCTCCCCTAATTATTCGTCACTAATAAATGATAGACTGTATTAATCAATCACGACTGTAAAACTTTGTGTGGACTGATCTGTGATAGTTTATTTACCAAGTGGAAGTTCGGATTTGATCCTGATCCTCGGTTGCATGACCTCCACCCTCTTGTACTTAAGCTTTTCCACTTTGTATTCTAGTTCTTTATGGAGAACTGATACCATTGTCTTTTCTACATTAAATAAGCCCCCGTCTCTCAAATAACCCCCGATCTCTATAAGCCCCTGCCCCCCAGGGGCTTAATAGGATTTATGGTAAGTTGATGCTGATCAATTGAGGTTTCCAGGTAACTGGCCACCTACCCCTCCCCTAGGTCAAAATTTTGCCCTAAGTGAGAAGTAAGTGTTAATATTGATTTAGGGGAGGGGTAGGTGATCAGTTACCCAGAAACCTCAATATTATTGATCTGCTAATGTTTTCCTTGTTAAGACTGTTTCCTCCTTATAGTCTGTTCTCAGGGGAGGGCTGTAAAACAAAAGAGAAGCTTGAATTTTACCTTGTCCCTTGGAAAAAAGAAACTTCAGGACTCGAAATTGTGACTGAGGGTTCGCAAATACGCCAAATTTGGTGTATTTGCACCAAAATTGTTCAGATGACTCCACAGAGGTTACGGAGGGAGTCACTTCGACTCAAGAAATTTTCGGTAACAAACAGGGAGCCACTTCGACTCCGGAAATTTTTAGTAACAAACACAGCTTTGTCCTTGTCTTTTTCGCAACAAATACAATTTACGTTAATTGTAAACGTTGTAAACCTTAATTAAATCATGAAAATTAAAGAATTATACTGCACGACAAAACAGGAAGAGCGTAAATTACGATCAAAGTTTACTCGATGACCGCCATCATGGATTTGAGCGTTCCAGGTCAGCGGACCGCCACAGCTACTTCGTGTATCCCTCACGATGGTGTATACATGCCAGGACCACGTGCTGGAAAGTCTGAAAATGGCTTTTTTCGTTGTGATACTCGACTCCAAATATTCCAAAATGACTCCAAAATTCATGAAGCAGAAGTCACAGTGACTCCACTCATCAATAAAATTTGCAAACCGTGGACTGATATGGTCACCAATGTGGCTAACATTTTCTCCTTGGCGACTAAAAATTCTGGTTTAGTTGCCACTTTGGTGACCAGATTTCTCTATGATGTAGATTTACATTAAAAGCGTAAAGTTGAACAAACTTTTGATCTTATCTTGCTTTGCTTTCATCATAAAAATCATATGACATAAACAAAGCTAGTTTACCTTCAGATTTATACCAACTTCTGTCTTTGATATTTTCAAACAATCGAATGTGATGGATCGTGTCATTTACGTACAAACTGGCAATTAAAAATTTGCATCTGGTGACTATATTTCTCCACTAATGTTTTTTTTGTTTAATTTCCACATGCCGCCCAGATGTAATATGTGTCACTGAATGAATATATTAATATTCACATGGACAAATTAATGCGATGAGTCGTCGAAACTGCAATGGGCTAAAATAGTCCAAAAATTAAATTTTTGGACTATTTTAGTTCATTGGAGTTTCCACAACTCATCGCATTAATTTGTCCATGTGAATATTAATATATTCATTCAGTGACACATACTATGTCTGGGCTGCCTGTGTTAATTTCGAGCCCTGAACTCTCAGGTTTCACTTGCCTGAGGCTATCTTAGGTCATTTTTCATTGGATTTATGGATAGGGACTTTTTCTAAAGCCATTAATTTATTATTTTGGGCCCACAATTTAAACTACTGGGCTAACCAGTAATTGTGAAAGCCTTATTAATTAATTTATTTATTTACCTTTTCTGCAATTTAGAAAAGAAAGTTATCTCGCTGAAAGGAAAATTTGCTTGTCTTGGATAACGGCGGACACAACCTTTTTTTGAGCTCTGTCTTTGTTAACTGCACTAATTTGAACTTTTCAGTGGTCAGGGGTTTCAATAAAAATTGAAGTAGCCAGCGGTTTGGATAGAGTAACCGACTGTATCAACAAGGGGCCGTTGGTCCCCTCTTCTAGGTGGAGGTGGGGGGGGGGTTGGGTGGGGAGGTCTAAGTGCATTCTGCCCCTAAAAATTTGGAAATTTCAAAGCCCTAAAGATGCGATTTTCAGCGTTCTGGGGACTACATTTGAGGACAAAAGAGCATGTTTTTCACTCAAGAAAACGTAGCTTTCAATTTATCAGTATATTTGTAAGTATTTTCTCAAAAAAAATCTTAAGAAAGAAAAGTGATGAATTTTAAGCTCAATAAAAATAATAAATGTGAAAAATGTGATAATCATCATGTCATGAGTTGGGGGTGAAGAAGAAATCTGGTGTCCCCTGGTTACCTCCTGAACTCTGAGATGGTCTCTTCTTCGTGAGACTCTAGGAGAGCAAGCCATTTTCCTAGGTTCATATTTGAACTGTGTCCTGCATACTGCTACAATCAGCAATTTCAAGAGCAAAAGTGTACAAATTAAAGAAGGACAGTGAATTTTATGAAGGATGCAAGTCAAATATGAGTTTCTCCGTAGCTCATTGGACACAGTACCTGCCTGGTGTTCGGGAAGTCACATATTCAAATCCTGTAAAGGACTGAAGATTTTTTTGCTTACTGACTAATGGCCAGAAAGCAGTAATGTTAATGTCGTTGCTGTTAGTCCATAAGTCCACAAGTCCATTTCTATTGTCCTTGTACCGTAAGGAATTAACACTTAACCTTCAGAGCCGAAGGTACCAGGAGCTACCAGGTTCAATACCTGCTATTGCCCTTTTTTTCGCCAATGAATTGTTTAGACTTTTTTTCTTTTTTCTATTAATAATATTTCGAAGATAATTAGATTACAGGCATTACGTTCAAGATCTGTGTTAGATTGATACTCGATCCCGACCCCTTTCCTTTTCGAGGACTTTTCCAACCTTGTGTTTTTTTTTCATTTAAAGAAAAAAACAAGGTACACAGAGTGAAACAAACTATTGAATAATCTAAATTTGTTTGTTTGGCATTAAAATGATCTAGTAGTGCACACAGGTTTATCAAATGTTTTTCACTTTAACCTCCAGTGGAGAGGTACTGGGTGTGATACTCATGGGCAGCGCAGATATATTTATAAAGTAATTTTCTTCAATGAATTTAAATAGGTTCTTTTCTTCTTCTTTGTCTTCTTTTTTTTTTAATTTATGGTTATCGGAGTGAAGACTATTCATAGCCAGCAAGCACATGTCCTCTCAGGGGACTATTAACCATGCTTGTGACATGCTGATTATCACATATCACATCTTCTCCCTTGATCAATAAATCGTTAGAGTTCTACAGATGTACGTTCTTTAGGATTTAATTTTAACAGGTAAAAGTTGCATCGATTGTTTTAGGCTACCAATATATATATATACAACAAATCCTTGCCAATAAATAGTACTCTTCTTTAATTTCAGGTAGCAGATATCCCAAGGTTGGCTGGAAAAAAATTGATTTTCAGCAAATGGTTGGCTAGAACTGTAAGTGATTAAAAAAAACGTAACAACAATTTTCAAAATACAGCTAGTGGCATTTTCTGTTTAACAAACTGACTGATAGATAAAGTAACAAATTATGGCTATTTCTACGTCTGTTGAATGATATTTGTTGAGAGTATATCATCAAAAATAGCTGGTAGCTGGTGAAAGTATAAATCACGTGCTTGGTGATTTTGGCTGAATACTCAGAGCTGGGTTGGGTTTTTCTTCTGAGTCTTTTGTAAATGATGTCAAAATTCAGCCACCTTCTTCAATGGTAAAGCTGCCTAACGTAAAAGCTTTCTGAAAAGCTTGAGTAACGCTGGCCATTTGTAGTGAATGTTCAGTAAAATATGAAGTGACAGTCATAAAATGAAGATCCATTTTGGTTGCTTAATTTAATTACTTTGACATTATATCAGTGCAAATGGAGGAGGCAATTTGAAAAACACATTAAAATATGTTCTTTTTTCAACCAAAACAAATTCATTAGCATGGGCAGAAAACTGGTAGTGGTACAAATGTACGTTATTTTCCAAAAGACAAATTGATGAAGACCGTACAGTCAGTAAGAGTTTTGTTTGTGTTAATAGCAGTGCAGCCTATGATTATTATACATCTGTCAGTTCTATTCATTATATGACCACTATCCTCTAGGGTCTTGGAGATGTTTTAAGACGTTTGGCCATTAGGTAAGCTGCATGTTCTTTTGATCAAATGTATATTTTAAAACACCAGTTTATCTGAAAATAGACTTGTGGGGCTTATATTTTTCAAAGCCCTATTTTCAGCAGTTTTTATGTTAATTTTGGAGAGGCTTAGTTCAGGAGTGAAATTTACATGTAAATAAATCCGTGGGCTATTCATAATTGTGGGAAATTTGTGGCAGCAATTTTTTAATGTCTGATTTGATAATAATTAAATAGCTGGCTCAATTGAGCAGAAATTTGTGACAACCTGAACACTCTGAACATTCAAACTTCAAAAGCTACTGACTGCAATATCAGGCTTATAGGGAGGGGGGGTGCAACGGGTGTGCTCACACCCTGCCAGAGGCCCCAGAGGTTCACTTTTTTGTTGACCAACGATTGATTCAAAACAAAGATTAGTCTATGGTAAGAGAAATAGTAATAATATTAAACAGTGTACTGTATATTCTTTATATATGCTTCAGATTCTTAATATTTATCTTTAAATTTGTGATTCAGTTCAAATGATCATAACTTCATTTATTGCACTATATAGTGTGATGATCAACTTTCTTATTGAAGTTTCTGACAAGTTCTTTGCAATTTCCACCCTTGCTTGCCAACTTCCCAGCAGCCAGAACTTACTGTAAGTTTTAATAAACTTGAGGTTTTGGTTGGCTACCAAATTATTAAGCCTTAAGTTCTGACAGGGATACAATTCTTTTTATCTCTCCTAAATGATTTAAAATATTGAACAGGAAAGGTGAGCTGGATCTGTTTCGTAAAATCAGAATCCCGGATGCTCCAACATTATTTCCTCTGCCACCCTCATGTCCAGAGACCAAGACCCACAGCAAAGTGGATTTAGAAGAATTAATTGAAAAAAGGTAATTTATTGATTTCCAACTTGTGAACCTATTTTAACATTGGAGAATTATGGCCTGGAAGGTGTAGCTCCGGTGACTAGCTTGGTCCAGGGAAGTGGCAGAAAACCTTTTACTGCAGGGCTTTTCAATGACACATAATCTCTGAAGTTCAAAAGCCAACAAACGTTTGCATTCTTGGCTGCTGTCAATAATCTTTGAATACCTCTTAGGAAACAGAGGTTTACTTAATGTACGAGTTCAAAAGGTGATAGTTTTTGATGTGCAATTTTTTTGTGTTTCTGTCTTTCCAGGTTTGTTATTGTAATTGATATGATTGTGGCAGGGAAAAACACAACAATGGCTTTTAAATTTCAGAGTGCACATGTTATTGAAATGGGCAGTCACGAAAAGAAATCCTTCATCTAATTCAGTCAAACTTTTGTTAGCAGCATTATATTGCATTGCATTTGTTTTGTTATTGTAATTATTGTTCTTTATAATTAATGCTGTTCAGACTGTAATTTTGTTTCAAGGTTGTTTATGGTCTTAAAGTCACTGAATGAAAAATCCAAGAATAAATAATTTTATTGTTCCATTATATTTTTTTGACTTTTTTATCATTTTTTCATTTTAGTGGTCGTGGCTTGAGTGAAGATTCCTTCACTTTTGTTACCATACCAGACCTTTTGAAGCAGTACAGGTAATTGCATAATTTAAGTTTGTAATAATGAAGTGCCGATAGCATGATGGGAAATATCTGAAATTTTTTATCTGTTGTAGATCACGGACAGTCACTCCAATGCAGATAGCTGAGAGAGTGATTGAGATTATAGAGGACATGGAGAAACAGTCGCCAAAAATGAGAGCCATTGTCCAGTATAAAAAAGAGGAAATTTTTAAGGTTTGTTTTCTATGTATATATATGATCTACTTGCACATACCTTTTTCAAGTATGCTAACCTCTGTAGATTTGAATTCCGGTGATTTTTTTTGACCTACTGGTTTTGAGGCAGCATTTTTTTCATCAAACCTCTCCCCAGAAAACTTTTCCTCACAAATCATTCCCACTCCCACCCACTAAAATGGACCACCTACTATTGCTTCGAAAAGGATTGGCACTTCTCTTATAGATTCACGCAATTCATAAATTCTTATGTGGCTATAATAGTGAAAGCCCTGTAACAGACAGCAAATCACAGTCAGTTAGAGGAAAAACAGTAGTGGCAGTGCAACCCGAACTCTCTTTGTCTGAGGCATTTTCAATGCTAGTACCAGGAGACTTGGATAAAATGAGCTGGCTAGTGTGCAGCTTTTTTACCATTCAAAAGTAATAGTAGAGTTAGATATTTTAGCAACTGTTAACCAATGCATCGTTATTGCTCTCAGATGGCTGCAGCATCAACTAAGCGATATGCAGAAGACAAACCTTTGTCTGTTATGGATGGAATTCCTGTTGCTGTAAAAGAGGAATACCATGTGGTAAGTCACTAGATTAGGTTACAGCCTTAAGCAGTGCCGTAGCCAGACCAAACGGCCAACCGAGGCAGGCGGGAGTTGCTAGGGGGGTTCGGGGGCATGCCCCCCCCCCCTAGCGATTTCTTTACTGATTTTGAGGAAAAAACCGACTGTTTTGCAGTCTATTGCTGCAAATACACCGATACGTTATTTCCAAATTATGTCCTTTATAACTATTTGGTGACAATGATCATTTACAGAGTTGTTGTTCTTTAAGGTGCCATTTTATAGTCGTTGTGGGACCACATTTATGGGCAGTGAGCCAGCAAAAGAAGATGCTTTTATTGTGAAAAAGCTTAGAGATGGAGGAGCAATTATCATTGGTATAACAAACATGCATGAGCTCGGAATTGGAACCACAGGAAATAATCCAAACAGGTTGGGATATAAGTATTTTCTTTGAAATTAAAAGACCTTATTAAAAGGCGGCCTCGCTCAGTTTATTTCTTGTGAATGCATGGAGGTGTTGTTTTTGACACATCAGACTTTAGCCTGTTCCAGGCCCGGTGAATTGAGAAAGCGCGAAGACGAAAGTAAAACGGGAGGAAACTTTCCTTTTTTCCGCCCCGTCAACTTTTCGCGTGCCTTTTTCTTTCGCGTCTTCCCCACTATCTGAGAGCCTGGAACAGGCTAATCAGACTTCGGATCAGTAGCCTTTCCATCACATTGTGTCCATAACCCTTCAAGTCCCAATATCTACATTCAAATTCTCCAGACTGATCCCATACATTTCCTTAAAGAATCAGTAGAGAGAATTTGATAAAAGATCAAAGCATTTTTCTTTGGTGATCATTTAATTAACTCTCGTAACCTTTTCTCTTGATTGTATATTGATATTATTAGGAGAAAATTGGTGTTGATCACTCTTGGGAAATAGAGGGTTAAACAAGAGACTTTGCTTATTTTGTCTCTCTCTAAGCAAAACTAGAATGATCCTCATACAGTGGAATCCCGCTATAACGAAGTGCCACGGTACCGAGACAAAATGTTGGTTATAGCGGGTCTTCGTTATAGTGAAGACCCTTTATAACGAATTATCTGGTTAACAGCAAAAATATTCGTTATACCTTATTATAGGAAATTAACGCTCCATGAAATTAAGGTATTGGAAATTAACGCGACTTAAATTAACGCGAATTTAATGGAAAACGACTTTGGAATAAAGAAAATTAACGCGAAAGAGGAGGCAGAATTTCATAAAAAGGAAATTAACGCGATTATCTTCGCCGAAATCAAAGGAGAAGATATTGACATCACTTCTGACAGCGATAACGATGAAGATAGACTCGAAGTATTGTAAACCTTCGCCTTGGCTTTTGTGAAAGATGAAAAATACAGGGTAAATGGAAAGAAAGAAAGCTTGTAGTTAATGTTTTTTAGGTGTCAAGAATGTCTGAACAGGTTCCAAAATTGGGTTTAAAATACTGGAAATTAAGAGCGCGGAAATTAACGCTGCACTTAATTAACGTCGCGGAAATTAACGCTCAACAAAATTAACGCGACTTAAATTAACGCGAACTTTAACGATTCGCGTTAATTTCATGGAGCCTTAATTTCCTATAATAAGGTAGCGTGGGAAAATTACTAAATAACAATTACCAAAAATTCAATACTGCCGTAGAACAAGCTGTGATTTCTACTCAAATCTGTCGTTTCTACTGACTGCTGCGAGCGACCGGATAAAATATTCGTTACAGCGGGGTAAGTTGTGCGTTGGGACCATCAAAATCTATTCGTTATAGCGAGGTTCGTTTCCACATGTTTTACTTTAATTCTGCTGGGCTTTTAGGCTTGACTCGGATTCATTGGCGTTCTGACATTGTAAGAACTGGATACTACCTCTCTGTGGTGGTGTTGATGGGGGATAGGGTTAGGTTAGGGTTAGTGGGAGGCAAAACTGTCCCCCCCCCATGTGGGGTTTCTGCTAGCAGAGGCCTCTTCTCCCCGCCCACCGAATACCAGGGTTCATTGGCGTTCATTGATTCATTGGCGTTCTGACATTGTAAGAACTGGATACTACCTCTCTGTGTCAAATCAAGCTAATCAAACCAATTTAGGGGGGCAGGTCAAGACATTGTGGTTTTTAGACGTTTCCGCCTACGTAAATTAAAAAAAAAAAAATTTACTCTCTGGATCACTGCGTGTATTTATTCATAGACTGCATGGAACTCCAAGAAATCCGTACAATGTGAATCATTATACCGGTGGTAGTTCAAGTGGATCAGCTGCAGCTGTAGCTGCAGGTAAGAACGTCCAGTGCGGTCTATAAAAAAGAAATATGTCATCGTAGCAGAGTGCAGCACAATCTAATTATCAGGGTCAGAAATGCTTGTAGTCTACGAGTAGTCCCTCATTTTCGTCAGGGATAGTAGAGCGAGCGACATACGCAACCGAGCGGGAAAATTGGAGGCCCTCGCGAGGGAGGCGATGTTCTCACCCTCCCCCCGTGTCACCTTTTACGCTGCAAGGCAATACTTTCACGATCAAGCGGCCCACGCGAGCGCGCGCGTTTAAGTTAAAAGCACTCGCGAGGAAGGCGATTTAGTCTTTTCCCCCGCGTGTCACCTTCCACTCCGTGTGGCATCTTTTTTCGCGGGCTACCTCTTCTTTCCCTGAGGAACATGAGAGGCCTACTATTCGTAATCCAAAACCTCTTGAGAAAGCGTTAGATCGGGGGTCATAAGCTCAATTCCCATGAGAGAGTCAGAATTTTTTCGGCGTTTCTTTTTTAATATGACTTGCTGAACTTCCCATATTGTGAACAGTCTTATCCACAGGCGGCCCAGACGTACGTAGTGTGTGTCAATAACATGGACAAAATGGGACGAGTCGTCGAATCTCTCATCTGACATTCTTACGTGCCGGTACATTTAAAAACCCCATTATCGAACTAAAGTAGCCCAGAAGTCAAAATGTAACAAATAGTTGGGAGAATTTGTTAAAAGATCAAAGCACTTTCCCTTTGGTGATCATTCAGGAATTCTCATACCCTTTCCTTTTGATTATGCGTTGTTATTGTTAGGAGTAAAATTGATGTCGGTCACTGTTGAGGCTTAAAGGGTTAAGGCTACCGCCCAGAAACCGTAACATTTCAAACTCTCTGTGTTCATTGTGTGTGTGTGTGAGGGTTGGGAGGGGGAAGGGGGTGGGGTGTCTGCTCAATCACAAATGGAAGCAGCCAATGTGAATTTTTGATAATCCTGTTTTTCTCAGGCCTGTGCCCAGTTGCTTTAGGTACAGACGGTGGAGGATCAATACGTATTCCCGCTGCAGTGTGCGGAGTCGTGGGAATTAAAGGTACGTAACAGCACAACCCCTTGGACACCTTATGAAGTTTACACATCGTAGTATTCCTTTTCACTTGGCTTTTCCATGTACTGTAGACATAGAGAGTGAAGGCTACAAGGAATACTATGTTGTGTAAAATTCATAAGGTGTCCAAGGCGTTTCAGACCGACGTGATCAAATGTAGCGTGCGTAGCTGGCGTTTTTTTTTTCAGTGTGATTTTCACCGTCATTTTTATCATGGTTCGTACAATCTTAAAAAGGTCTTGACTTGAAAAGTCCTTGAATTCGGTGAATTGATAGTCCGTAGGCAATTACGTGATCTCAGCAATAAGATTGCCGTCACTTTACAACTACTTTGCAAAGTCTTGTTGCGGAAAGTAGTATAACAATGTGATCAACGATGGCCGAAGAAGTAAAAATCGTAGATGACTCCATGCATGACGTGTTTTACCCAATAGGGTGATCAAAGGCGGTTAAAGAATGTCGGATTTATTCAATAAATCCTAGTTCTTGAAAACTGTAATTTGTCCTTGGAAAATCCTTGAAATTTGCTTGTCTGAAGTTTTACGAAACGTGTTTAAAGAGGTTTGTATAGTGGTGGTGGTGGTGGTGTTGATGGGGGATAGGGTTAGGTTAGGGTTAGTGGGAGGCAAAACTGTCCCCCCTCCCCCCCATGTGGGGTTTCTGCTAGCAGAGGCCTCTTCTCCCCGCCCACCGAATACCAGGGAAAAGAAGCCTCTGGTAGCAGGGAACCCCCCCAGGGGACCCGATTTGTCTCCCACCATGTAAAACGTCTGGAAATTTTCGCAACTTTGCGGAGCTATATCTTCGCTCGTTTAAGACGTATCACCTTCAAACTTGACAAGTTTACGAATTTTAAGGCGCTCTTTTCAGCGGTGTCGACGGATTTTCCGTAACTGATGCCTGTCAAGAGGCATTGCACGATGACGAAAATATATAAATCAGAGAACGACACGTGACTATCAGTCAGTTTATTTTCTTTCTTAATATAAAAGAAAATCTTATGTACATTATCAGAAGACCTTTCAGGCACTTCATTTCATGGAAAACTGTCTTACAATGATCTAAGCCATACGGCCTAAACCTTAAAATTTCTTTCACTCTTTTTTTTCTTACAGATCAGTTTTTACTTCTCAACTTGACAATATCGGCAAGAGAAAAAAATGATTAAAATAAGTAACAATGCATCACAATCTCTTGCATATGAAAGTTCTAGGGTGTTCATTGCAGTACGTAGAAGTGTAATGACCTAATTCTCTCTTTGTGAGTCTTTTTTCTCAAATCTTTCATTATTCCGACTAAGCCAAAACTTTCTCAACTTCTTCACGCGCAGGTTTGATCTTACATCCTTCGGCTGCTCTACACTTTTCTTAAGGTTCTCGAGACCAGTGTAAAGTTGCTGAGAGCCAGATTTCGGTGACTTATCTTTTCCATTTGGGATTTTCATTTGTACTTCAGATTCCTCTTTTCCCGACCTTTTTGCTTTCGTTCCTCCCCGAAGATGTCTCAATCCTTTCTCTATTTTTGATCTAAAACTGTTTGGGTGGTCCAAGTTTTTCTTTAGATTCTGAAATCCAGGATAAAGTCGCTCCACACCTGTTTTCTGGGGTTTCCTCCTGAACGCCATTTCACTAATAGGCCTAACGCGAGGCTGTTCTCCAGAACCAGCAGATGAGTCATGAGTTGTTTCAAGATCTTCTTTCATCATTTGATTTTCCCCTACACCTATTTCCTGTAACCCTTTGTCCATCCTTTCCAGTACTTTCCCCACATTTTGGACAATTCTTGACCTGACGTTGTTTGGTTTCTCTAAGGTTTTCCTTAGATTCTGAAAGCCAGGGTGAAGCCGTTCAATCCCAGGTTTTTCTGCTTTTTTCCCTCTCCTCCACCTTAACGCCGATTTACGCCAACTGTCAGACTTGACATCTAAATGTTTCTTTTTGTCGCTGGAGGAAGACTGTGGCGGCTCGAGACAATCCACACACTGTTTCTTGGTGTTAACTGAATCAGATTCTCTTACACTGGCAGCCACCACTTCCAGGCCTTGAACATTTTCGCAGGAATCGTTCATCTCAGATCCCTTCCTCTCCCGGTGGCGGACGTTTCTCCACTTTTTCAGGAGTTTGGATCTGATGCTGTTTGGCCGGTCCAAACTTTTCTTTAGATTCTGAAATCCGGGATGAAGCTGTTCAATGCCACTGTTTTTCGTCTTCCTTTTTTTCTTCCACCTGAGTGGAAATTTAGACCGACGATCATCCTGAACATTTAAAGCTTCCTCTATAAATTCACGAGACCCAGAACACTCCGGGCCGTGGAGATCTTGAGGGGAACTTTGCTTTGACTCAGTGTCTCCTTGGATGACGCCTTGTTCACAAAGGTCGTCATTGGCAGTACACTTTTCTATACAGTACTCTGTTGTCTTTTCCTTAGATTTTCCAAGTACGTTTTTCCACGACACCTTTGACCATAAACTGAATGGGAATTTGAAATTTTCCTTTGCATCTACAGACCCAGAACTTGGGTTCACATCGCTTTCATTGTCATGCCACGCAGAGGAACCTGGATTTTCGCTCTTATTTTTCTTCCACGCCAGGAAATCTTTCTGTCCGTAACAACCATCATCTGTTGTTTGTTTTGGGGCTCGTATTTTCTCCTTTTCATTCTGACAAAAGGAGCTGTGCTGGTAAAGTTTACCATTGTAATTATCGCGGTAAGAAGATTTTGAGAAATCGCTCTTTAAGTTTGAAGCCTTTGAAGATCGCGAAGTAAACTTTAACGGTGCGTGAGATTTCTTTGCACTTTTGTCATCGCCACATTCTTCCCATGCGACCTTCTCAGCCGGAGAAATCTTATTTTTTCTAAACCGCTTTTTCTTTCTTGGCCTTGACTTTTTCTCGACAGCCAAAGCCTGATTTCTGCCTTTGCTTGAACCGCATTTACGATCAGTCGTTGAGTGTTCGTCGCTCTCCTTGAAGCCGCAAATGTCGAAAAAGGTTTCTTCTTTTGCGACAGAAATTTTTCGTTGAAGCTCATCCTCTTTGTCTTTTTCTCTGTGAAATATCACGCATCTCATAAACTGAAGTATTAACTGTCCAAGCGAGGTCACCCTTCGCAAAAGGGCAGCCATACTTCGGATTTTTATCTCGAATTCTGTGTATGACGTAACAAATGATTTGGATGACGTAAAAGTCACTAATTGTACGCGCGCGACACGCGCGCTAATTCGCCATTTAAAAGCGAGAAGGGACCTGGGACGGTTTAACTTTCGCAAAGATTTCTGGGATTGTAACTGGGGACAGGGAAAAAAAATGGCCTTTATCTGACCGACGGGTAACCCGTAATGGTCTCAGACACAATTGCGGGACGCATTTCGGCTCCATTTCCCTGCTCGATTTTAGAACTAAAGTGGCAAACCACGTAGAAATTGAATTAAATAACTAGGAGCAATGGAAAATTAAAAGAAAGCATCCGACCTGCTTGTGTGTAGGATTATCGGCGTAGAAGTTGGTGTGGATGTACGTGAGTATCCAAATAATTTAAAACGTTTGGCACGCGCGCGAAGATTTGCGATGACGGTTTTCCCGTTCTAATTTGAAATTCGAATGCCGTTTCATTAAAACGCGCGCGCATTGCATGGAAATCGCAATGTTAAGAATAAAAACGGAAATGGAAATTAGATTATGTAGTGCAAACTGAAAAAAACTAAAAAGGGAGAAATTCTTAAAAGAATTAAAGATAAATTGTTGTGTGTTCAGTATGGCTTCCATGACCCTAAACATGATTAATTTCTTAGCTTCCCACGGAAGCCAAAGCGAACTAACAGCCTGATGATCTAAAAGAATTAAGAGCGAGAAGAGGTGTTCCTTTTCAAACTGAAGAAAATATAGCTGTCAATTTATCATTCATACAATCAGTTCCTTCAAGAAATGAACAAATGATGAAAATTAAATTACGTACTTTTGCACGTAAACAAATTCGACTTAAACCTGTAAAGAAACTTGTGAAAAAATGGCTGAAATAGAAATATAGCGTTCACGTGACTAAAGCATAACGTAAAACCACTGGACCTTTATAATGACGTTTTCATTCAGATTTTGTGATATATTTTTTGTTTACAACGTTATTCAAACTAGTTGCTTCTTCTTTCTGAAAAAAAGTAGCCGACCTAAATGAGCAAGGTAGCCGACGCGTTTCGTCGGCCGTCGGTGCTTATTGAAAGCCCTGAGTGATATTTCATATAATGTTTGCATTTAACCAACGTTTTCTCTTTCAGGGTCTTGTGGTCGCATTAGTACAAGCGGAATTGCACCCCTTGCACATACAGTCGGTTGTAGTGGTAAGCATAAGAAAAATTAATCCGTTTATATTATTTTAGAAAAGGAGCCTACAATCAAGGACACTCAACTTGGGTCACACTGCTCTGATACCCGTCTTTTTCTCTTCCATTGTTGTTTTGGAATGATTTTTCGGTGGAAGTGTCCAAGTTCGAGGCCAACATTGAAAGGAACAGGGAAAAGGAGGTTGAGCACAACATGTCAGCGTTATTCCTTCTATTGACCCAAGTTCTGATGTCACGGATTGTAACATCGCTTTAGATCTTGCGAGTCACAGCTGACAGGTGATGTACCAAGCAAAATCCTTTGCTGTGTAGCTTTAGTTTACAATTCATATTTTTTACAGAAAAGCCGTTTTACGAAAATTATTCGACATTAGATTCTCATACAAACACTGTCATTTCTCACGCGGTTGCCTACTCGTCAAGATGGCGTTCAAAACCGTGACCAGGTCTATTAGAGGCTTGTTATCTCTAGCGTAAAACTCTCATAAAAAGCCCATTTTTCAGCTTTTTCACTTCTGAGGTTGATTCTAAATTACCAACTGATTTATTCCCTCTCCAATGTCCCCAGGTCCTCTCTGTGCCACTGTGAGGGATGTCGCTGTAGTATATGGTAAAAACCAGCTTGTTCAGAACATACTTTTTTTCATATGATTCCTCCCGAAAGATGGGTTTTAATAAATGTTTTTTCTTTCCTGGCAGCATATTTAGCCGGCAAAGACAAGGATGATCCGAAAAGTGAGTTTTTGTTAATTTTCTGTTTGTGACTGTTGTAAAATGACTTGATCCAGCGGAAAGTTTTAGACGTTTTTAATCAACGGCGAGTACTATTTTCGTCTGATCTTGAAATTGCTTGCTGAGTATTTATGATTTGTTACATCCATCGAACAGATTTCTCGAATTTCATATTCCTTATATGGAAAGGACGTTCCACTGACCGGTCAGAAATCTAAATAGTGAAAGACGTCACCGAGAAGAGCCACATCACAGGTGGCAGCTAGTTCTCTTTGCTAACCCAATCAGAAGTCCTCGATTCACTTTAAGTCTTCAGTTTTCGTCTTTCTAGCTGAAGTGTTGCCCAGGAGCTAATTGGCTGTATTCACACTAGCCTGTAGTGCAGGCTCCTGTTTGCACTACAATTTGCGTAGGGTGTGGTGCATGAGTGATAAAAACAAGGAAAGGAGATGTAGAATACCCACCCTCCCCACCCTACTGATCGCACTGTTGCTACTACGTAATAGGCCCTTTGCAGCTCGCATGTACGTGACAGGCTCAAAGCAAAATATAGGATACAGCTTAAACAATTTACGTCTTTTATGTTCTCCACAATGCAATTTGTTTTCCCCACAAAACGTTGCGTAAACTTTGTGTTTTGATTTCTCTTCAAACTAGCCTGCGAGCAAGCTCTCCTATTTGGGCGAGTGGAGCGAGTCTCGCGAGAACGTGCGAGCGAGCGGCGAAGCCGCGAGGGGCTAGCTCGCGCGTTCTCGCGAGGCTCACTTCGCTTACCCAAATAGGAGAGCTTGCTCGCAGGCTATCTTAAAACTAACAATCGTCCCTTAAAACTTGTGCAAAATTTTGTGGGGAAAGCAAATTGCATTATGGGAACATAAAAGTCGCAAATACCAGAGATGGAGAGAGCATGAAGAAGTTAGGTCCGTTTCAAACGTCTAACTTCACGTGTGCACGTGCGTCAGCTAGAACACCAATTTTGACGTGGTTGGCACATACGACCCAGGTTTTGTGGGTGTTAAAATCTCTAGGAATCTATAGCGATTATGGGAAAAAGCACTGGACTATCCAGCGATACACGTCGCATTTTCTCCGTTTTTGAAACTCCCATAGAACTGTACTGCGGGTAGTTTAAAACCTAAAAATGGCGACCCATTCTTTTTTTCATGCTCTTTCGATATCTGGTGTCTTTAGAGTTGTATCCCGTAATTTGGGAAAGAGACTGGTCACGTGACTGCTGTTTTTGAGTGACACACGCCAACCAGAAGTGGACATTTTGAATTCTTGGGTACTGATTTCGCCGGGCAAATCGTCTCTTCAAGAGGAAAGACACTTAGCGGTTCAAATTTGGTAGCATATAGACATTTTAAAATGGAATAGGCCTCACTTCTCATTGACGTGCGTCGCTCAAAAAGTCTAACATTGACTGCGCCCACGGGAACTGCTGTTCGCTCGGTTGCCGCAAATATAACGCCTGCGCTAAAGATTAGGTTGCGTTCAAGAGCGCAGGTTCCGACGTGTAATGAAAATCGTTCCTGTGCTTTACTGTAACAGCTCTTTGTCAACCAGACGTGACACTGGAAGGCTTCGAAAATATCGTCACTCTAAAAGGCATCACTCTTGGGATAGACTGGAAATATTTCAAGGTTTGTTGAGTGAAACTGACAAGAAATTGATTTTACTGAGTTGATTAAGGTTCCTTCACCACCTTAAAAAATTTGAAAAACTGACACAGACAGTGAAGGAATGCTAGCGATCGAAACGTCAGCGTTTCAAACATATTTCGGTGGTAAAATGAGTGTAAGTCGGCGTTTTATACATACCAATTACCAACAATTTGTTTTGTAGGACAGTGACCCGGCAGTCTACCAACAATGCGAGAAAGGTAACTAAATAAGTAAACAAATAAATAAATAAAATAACGATTTCGAGGCATATCATCCACTTAGTGATTGTTTGTCTACCCCAGGTCGAATCATCCTCGGAGCTAACCCAGGGGCGGTCAGTCGGGTCGGAATAAACGGCGGCGAAAGTGCCCAATCAGATACAAACATTCGAATGAGTCGTGGAACTGGTTCTTTAACAGTAGCATCCCAGGGTTTCTCTCGGCCGTTCTTGAAAACGCTCACCGCCGTTAATCCCGCCCCTGGGCCTCCGAGGATGAGGTCGAATTGGAATTTGGACATTTTTTAAGCAAAGTCTCTGTGAAGTCCGGCTGTGAGCTAAGTTTAATTTTGCTATTTTATAATAGTTTGAACCATCTTGACAGTATAATAACGACAGAAAGTACTAACCTTTCATTTCATTGTCATACTTAAGGATATCATTCGAAGTCTCGAAAATTAGAGCAACCTTTGACTGTATGGTAGAGAGTACCACGTGAAGATACTGCTCAGCAGTTTTCATTTGAATGGTCACACTGTAAGAGTTCATCCATCAAAAAACAGAGTTAGAATTGTCTTGCTTGTAGAAGTTCTCAGTTGACACACCAACCCCTTATGAGTTTCTGGTCACACTGAATAGCTATTCTTTTAGCTGATTTTGAGCTGCTGTCATGGTTTTGAATCAGCTTTTGTTCGTTTTTAAACAGCTGTAAAGTATTTGGAGGATAAAGGAGCTTCTGTTGTATCAATTCAAATACCGGAGTTGCAGGTATTAGATAAGTTCAGACCATGTTTTTCCGGAAGCTTTTTCAAACTTTTAGAGTTTATATGTTTTGACTATATTCAATGCTGGATTCTCGATTACAAGCTCTTTTCTTAGCGACGACCGGAAATGGTGTACTCAGCTTTGTTCAAAACGCTAGTTAGCTACCAAACTTTTGATAGTGTACTATTAAAAGTTTCTAAGTACTTGAGAACTGAAGCTTCGGTATTATAACGGTATTATTGTATTTTAGCGTAAAAAGAAGCTCAATATTTTGAGAAAAATGAAAAGATGGGAATGAAGCCACGAAAGTGCGCGGAAAGGCCTGAACGCGACTTCTGGTGCCCAGTTTGCCGACGTGCCATCGGTCAAGTCGGTTTTTTTTAGCCTTCACTGTACTCGAGACCTTACGAAACTACAACGGCAACAGGAACGTCTAAAATACAATAGGTTTAGCAACCAAAACAACAATAATCGAGGAAAAGTTTGAAAAGACGCAAAGTCTATTTATAGCAACGTTTTAATAGGCGTCGCCTTTGGCGGATCCTAAGGTCCCTGCTCACGTTGTTTTTGCTAAATTTGCCAAATTGTAAATACAGTTCTACTAAATAAAACGAAAACCGATGCAGACATTTGATGGCCGAGGATCTTACTACGTCACCACGGTGTTTTTCAAAGATGGCGCCCGAGGTTAGAGGTTGAGGAAGAAGTGAGACTGGGAACGAGTTTAGCTGTAAAATGCTTTATTTTTTAATTTCTTACCAGCCCCTCAGGTAGAATTTGCTTCCAAACCGCTGAATATTTTTGTTTCACGATTGTCATTACGTTGTGAGTTTCAAAACCTTTTCTTATCCCTAAACTTTAAACCTGCACTAGTGCAGTTTGGGCTTGCCCCAAATTAGGCCACTTTCGATATATGAAAATTCAGCATGATAGCGAGTCTTAGGCGTAGGCGAAACATCGAACTTTTCACGAGACAAACCAAACTCTAATTTGGGTCGACCTAAATTAAGTTAAGATCGTCTGTTGGGTAAGACGTCGAACTTCGGACGCGTCGAACCAATAAACTAAATCAGCGCAAAAAGCAAATTAGATAAATTTTCGTCCCGAACGAAGCTAAATATACATTCTCATAGAAATTTGAATTGGTTCGTTATAAACCCGTGAGAGGATGATGATGAAATTATGAATATATGAAAATCATATATGTGAACTACGGAGTGAAAACACAAGCAAAGAAAATAAAAACGAAAAAACATATTCATTTTCTTTGTTTATGTCCGCTTAGACTAGCCATCGTGCTGAATACATGTATCAATATATCGAAAGTGGCCTAATCCTATTTAAAAGACCATAATGGCTACCACAGCCCTAAAATCTGTTCCTTGTTTTTCTTCTGTTTTTAGGAGACCATTTTCGCACATGCTATCACCATAACTTCAGAGATGGCGACTGGTATGGAGGAAGAATATCATAAATACCACAGTGAAATGGTAAAAAGCCGGCTTTAATACAGAATAATTTGTAGTTGTTCCACACTGTTTTATGATAGCGAAATAATAAACATCAAATGTAGTAATTCAAAGTCATGGCGAGAATGCTGTATTCACGCCTTGCCTTCATGTCAAACACTGCCAGAATACCTGGTGGCGTCTAGTAAGGTAGTTCTAACTTTTGAGTTTGTGGATGAAATCCTATGGTGTGACCATTCAAATAAACCCTCTTCAGCAGTACTTTCACATGGTACTATTTATTTAGTACGTAGTTCTAACTTTTGAGTCTGTGGATGAAATGCTATCGTGTTACTATTCAAGCTTATTCAAATGAAATCTCTGGAAATGCTTTCACAAGGTAATATTTGCTTTTCGGCATTTTACAAAATAAAATTTGGATATTTTGTTTACTGTTGACTTTGGCCACTTCTTTCATTCTCTACTAGCACTGGACTCTTTTCCGCCGAATACCAGGGAAAATAGACCTCTGCTAGCAGGGAACTTCGGGCAGTGAGAGGGTTAAATTGATGTTAGTACTACCTTGGACCTCGCAGAATACGTGAAACTTGCTCATAATTGTTTTTGAATTCAGAACCCTGAAACAGTTTCTAACGTTAGCATGGGACGAATGTTCAGCGCAAGGGAGTATTTTCAGGTAAAGGCTTATATTCATGTTTGCCTTTCATTCAGTTTGCTTTTCGGACTCAATATTTAGTTATCTTGAATCTTACCGATACCTACCATTTACTACAATGTCGTATTTACTCGATTAAGCGTCCAAGCTCGAATATGTGCTCATCTCGAATATCCGCCCACCCTGTAGTTAGGTCAAGTTAATAAGCGTCCAGCTCGAATAAGCGCCTACCCTCATTCTCCTCCCCTTACGGAGATTAAAAGTGACTACTTTCAATGAACAGTTAAAATTCTGCTTTGGTACATCTTCATATGTTGTTATCATTTATTTTTTTGTTGCAAAATAAACATTACTACTTGCTGAAAATGGAAAACATTTAATAAGCGCCCACTCTCAATGTCCAAAATTTAATAATCGCAGAATGAATACGGTATATTAATATTTATTCTAAGGCTGGCTCCACTGGTGGGCATGCGCAAGATGAAGCGAATCCTACGTTTCGATTGGCTGCCCGAGCTTGCCCACTCGGGATCGCCCGTTTTGTCCCGCGAGAAAAGATTTTGTTTTCGCTGTATAATAAATCCTTATTGACCAAGTTTGCTGAATCAGGATGGCTGAGTATTTGCCCCATACCCAGCCAATATACATTTCTGGGAAACAGCCCACCTACCCCTCCCCTAAGCCAACATTTTGCCCTAAGTGAGAAGTAAGTGTTAATGTTGGCTTGGGGAAGGGGTAGGTGGGCAGTTTCCCAGAAACGTATAATGATCCGCCATCTTGACCTCAGGCTTCCTCAAGAACGCATTCATACATTTTTTTTTTGCAGGCCATGAAGCAACGCACAAGGGCAATGGGTTTTCTAAAAACAATTTTTGAAGATGGCGTAGATTGCATTCTCACCCCAGGTAAGTTGTCCCGATCATACATAATACATTCTGGGAAACTGCCCACCTACCCCTCCCCAACATTAACACTTACTTCTCACTTAGAGCAAAATGTTGGCTTAGGGGAGGGGTAAGTGGGCAGTTTCCCAAAAACGTATGATGAATTGACCATTCCGAGCGTCCCTTTTGGTCTTGTAACAGGGGGCGGATCGGTCGGGACATCTTCTAGCTATATAGATACTATAGATTTTACTGAGAATTCTTTTTAAAAAATAATACAACATTTCACAGACAAAGGTCAAGGGCTGGCCGTGGTCAACTTGGCCGAACATCAAATCCGCCCATGTGTGACTTTCTCTGACACGTTCCCAGTCGTCTTTATGCGGATGCGGGAATCGTAGGCGAGCGAAGTAACGCGAGATATGTGATCAACGCATTTCCTTCATCAATAATAACGGTTCAAACGGCTTACAGTTGAAATGATCATGAATGCTCAGGAAAGAAACTTTCTGGCGTGGGAAATCAATTGGAAATCTGAGATGGGAGGTCACTGATTATTAATGATATGTTGAGCGGAGGCAAGCGATGTTTTAACTGAATTCTATCCTGGCAATTTTAGCCCTCGGACGTAAAGGAGATGTGGGGGTGCTACTGGATGGGAGTGCTTCTGATTTTAAAAAGCATTTTCAGCCAATCAGAAGCACTAGCCAGATGTGGGTAGTCACACGTCATCGGTATGAAATTTCTGGGCTCGCGTTCCTCATACATCATTTCGCGGGAAAACAACGTGAGACCAGTTGTGGTGTTGCGGAATGTCGGCTGTTTTCTCAGCCTTCTATTATGAAGACAAAGTTGAACTTAACTTGCCACCATTTTGGAGTAAGGTGTATCACTGATTTTATTTTTTTAGCACTCGGTATAAAAGTACCGGAGATCCGTGACGACGCTTTGGAGTACGGAGAGTCAAATCTGGCCGTGACGAGTGAGCTAATGAGGTAAAGTGAAAACACTGCGATCAAAATCCAGAACAAACATACAGTCCTTTTATATAGCTGGTGTAACTTTAATTACATTTCGACTTTGCTCGCCACAGAGACTCCAGTAGATCGGTGTTTAAGGCATCCGACCTAGAAGCGGAAGTCGTAACTTCAAATCTCATCTGGGCCTCGGAAATCTTTCTAATCTTTCCGAATGTAGACTTTTTTTCCTCCAAACAACAGACAACTTAATCAAACTTCATTTGGTTTTTTCTTTATCAAATTTGCAGTGAAAAAATTATCTTGTTCGATAGGCTATGTCCTCGCGAGTCCGCTTGAACGAACTTGAATACTTTAAAAGGACTTCAGTCCGTTTTACACGAGAATCGTTAACGGCTATTTTCCTGAACTGTCGTGAACACGAGAATGATCATAAACGGATTTTATGTTAACACGAACGTAAGTTCGTATGTGTTAACAAACTTACATCAAACCGACTTGTGTGATGTAGACGGCACTTACATGAATTTGTGTTCTTTTAAACTTAACCGCGTTTATGTGGTTTCGTCAAATCTAGCTGTTTTTTTGCTGGAGTTGAAGTCTTCAAACTGTATTCAGGTTTGAAAAGAGAAAAGGGAAATTCGTCTTCCTGTATTCGCTTCCTCCATGAATCGCTGTGTGAGGAATCTTCCGAAAATAAGCCCCGGGGCTTTTATTTTTCAAAGGCCCGTTTTGAGGGGCTTATTTTTGGAGGTGCTTATATTCGGAGGGGCTTATCTACGGAGGGAAATTTGCGTTTCAAAATCGACTGGGCTAGCCTTATAGGTGGAGGTAAATTTACCGTTTTTGCTTTGTTTTACTGTGTATTTGAGGGCAATTTTCCAAGTACAAGCCCCTGGAGGCCTTATATTTGGAGGGGCGAATTAACGGAGGTTTTTTGGCGTTACCGAATTGGGGGCTTATATTTGGAGGGGCTTATTTTCAGAATTTTACTGTATTTATCCGGCTTTTTTGTCTTTTCTTTTTTGGCGTTTCATGCAGGTACATGAGCCTGGCGAATTTTACTGGTATCCCTGGTTTAACCTTACCAGTTGGTTATGATGATCACGGACTTCCTATTGCGCTACAAGTCATGAGCTCCTGGTGGAACGAGCATGTGTTGTTACGTGTTTCTCATGCTGCCGAGGGATTTACGCCTAAGACGAAACCTCAAGTTCACTATAACCTGTTAGAATGAACTTTGTAACTCGGTCAAAAACAACAAATTATAATCGTAGGTATAGAGTGTTCACTTCCCCTGTTTATCTGTGTAATTGTCGGATTGTACGTTTCTGGGAAACTGCCCACCCACCCCTCCCCTAAGCCAACGTTTTGCTTTAAGTGAGAGCTAAGTGTTAATGCTGGCTTATGGGAGGGGTAGGTGGGTAGTTTAACGCCGAGTTGATTTAAAGGAGCTATGTCAACCTTTCTTGTATTACAGTGCAGTAAAACCCCCGCGACTAAGAACCTGGATTTTTCCAAGTTAGCCTAAACAGGTTCTTATATAAATGGTAGTTAGCACAAGCTTAGGCTATTTAGGTTCTTATATGGGTTCTTATTTTCCGAAGAAAAAAATGCAATATAGCTAAGAGTACTTAGTGATTCCCCAGTCATATAAAATCTGCATACCAAATTAGAAGTTACGTAAAAATGACCACAAAAAGAAGAACAAAAGCATTGACCTCAAGAATTTTGAAGTCCTACTTGGGAACATAACATATATTTATTGTGATTGTATCAATAATAATTTTATTTGAATTTAGACTTTGGCATTTACACATAGTACTGTCTCCGAAGAGGATTCTGAATGTTGACGTATTTGCTCAAGTGTACAGAATTTTTTCATAGATTTTAGAAAAGAAGAACCTGTTTTAAATTTTAGGCTAAACAGCTGGTTCTTAAATAGAGGGGGCTTAACTGGCAAATTTTAGCATAATAGGTTCTTAGTCGCGGTGTTTTACTGTATTTTAAAACCGTATGAAAACATATTGAAATCATGCAAAGAAAACCTTGACATAATAGTTCTGTTGAATTAAAATTACCCTTCATCTATACCTCCACTAGAAGTGTAAGTCTTAAGCTTTCGATGACCAGGTTGAAAACAGGTTGCAAATTGAAAAAAATGGGCCAACTTTTTCAACTTAAGCTCCTGTGTTCTCGATCATTTGATATCTTTCTTTTAGAATTCCAAGTACGAGAAAAGAGAATACTTTGTTATAATTTCATTAGTCCCTTCAACATGGTGAGCGAAAACTGGGAAGCGTACAAATTGCCTGTTTGCCTGCCAGTCTTTCTCACCTTGCGAAATCAATTTAGTGGCCCCCAGAACTTCAAAATCGCCAGAGAAAATAGGGCACTGTGAACAGTCTATCAGGTGGCAATCTGATTAGAGAATGAAACACTTGTAATCAATTTTCATACGCCTTAGAAATTAAAATAAACACAATTTCGCCGGGCTGCTTTGTTGCTGTTATTTCTTATCGTATAATTCTCTCTCGAGCGGAAGTAGTGTCATAAAACCATAGGGTCGATTACTAAATCCTTTTGATCCCAACAAGTGTAGAGGAACAGCCGGACTGATAAGTCAACACAATAGAGCCTCTTCAAACGGCAATGGACCATTTACACGATGACGTCTTTTTACTACTAAGACCAGAATTCGTTTCGTTTTTCCTTTCATATTTAAATTTGGTAATCCCATTGAGGTTTACATAACAAAAGCCCTAATTAGCACAAGAAAGCAAAACCCTGAAGGATTCTGGTCGTAGTAGTAACATGACGCCATCGTGCAAAGAGCCTCATTTGAGTAGGCAGTACGCTTTTTTCAAGTTCTCGACTACAGGCTAGGCGCGAATTTGTAAAGCACGCCTCGCTCTGACAATATTTTACAAATTGTCCATTTCTGGATGAGCTCGCCGCATATCTCCCTTACAAATAACTTTGTTTACAAGTCGAGCACTTCTGATACTAAATTTCAGTTTCTGAAGTTCGGGCATGGGAAGAACTGAAGTCAAAGTTCGGGGGCTTTCAATAAAGTCACGTGACGCTGGCGCCTCGGCTTTTAGTTTTCGGTTCCTCTTCTTCCCGCTTCTTTAGCTTTCCTTTCCTGCTAGGTGGTCACTTGGCAGTGATAAACGTTTCCGCAAAAATCCCAAGGATGGTGAAATTATTTTGAAGGAATGGGTAGATTTTCAGTGGTCTTAGCTTAAAATCGTGATTTTAAGTCACGAAGCCCCGAGGCGTTCATGTCGCAAGGATTTGCAACTTTTTCTTTCTGAAAGCCAAGTAATAAAGTTCTACATTGAGGAATAAGAGAATACAGGCCACTCCGCCGGGCCCGAGGGGAGTTGTAGGGGGCCTTCATGAAAGCAGCTAGGTCAAGGAATACCGGGTGAGATTCGTCGTCGTAACTGTGCGACCAGCATGCGAACATACAAGCTTTGGGGGACTGGGTTGGGGGGAAAATGCTCCTTTTCTTCCCTCCCTCACCTCAAACCCCAAGATCTTGCCCCAGGGTACTATCACATAGGGAGCTTTAGCAACAACGACGGCGACAGCCACTGCTATAGAGCTTTCTTAAAGCCCGTTACCCGTTACGTCGCCCGCTTGGCGAGGGTCCACTCACGCAGTCGACTTGTGGCAAGTCTACTACGACAGTTTCGAAAACGTTACTTACAAAGTGAAGTCGCAATGCTTGAAACTTTATCGCGCTTATTCCACCTCGTTTAATTCGTCGAATGAGGGTAATTTTTTCTCAAGTTGAATTCTAAAAGGCTGTTCCGACGTTCAGCAAAAGAAAAAGAAGGTCGCCCTGTGTTCACGTCCTCCACAAAACGTGAAATTAGACATTTTCACCTGTTTTCATGTCGTACTCGCACAGTGACGGCAAAGAAATGTACACAAGAAGCATGAGGCACTTGCAAAGTTGTTGTCTTGCCAATCTTAACCTATTGCTTCTTTGCTGTTCTAGTTGACGTCGCACGCACGTAAATTTTAATTAGGCAAATAAAATAGAGGCAAGATAAAACGTGCTGAGCTTAAACGAGAAGTTGAGCGAGGTTCAACTTTTACGCTTACGAGCGACCTTGCATGTATTGCCTCTATTTTAATTGCGAACATAAATTTTACGCACGTACGCACGCAAAAATTACGCGACACTGGATCTCGAACTGGAAATCAACCCCACGCCAACCGGAACCGGAACTTGTTTTGTCCAAAGTTTTGGCCTCACTTCCGGTTGATGGCTTTTGCTTAAGCTCCCTTATAGCACGTATTCCCTCCCCTCCACTGGTGTCGCTGCAAAGACACAAAACATGGTTGAACTTGTACTGATACATTTTTAATATATCGCGTTTCGCACAACGGGTACGCTACAAACAAAACCGACTACTTACACATGTAGCTACGCCCTTTTAAAAAGTATAAATAGATCTCACGTCTTTTCATAAATATTTCCAGTTGTTTTACTTTTGATAAGTTCTTAAAACATTTTGAATCATCAGACGGATTGTGTGTGTTTGCAGTAAAAAACAGCAAAGATATCCCATTTGCTGAAAAATAACGAAAATTCGCTTCGAAAAAGGCATGTCTGATATCTCAGCGTGAAGTTTTCTCATAGTCAATGCCGTGGGACTTAAGCACTGCAGAGACTCTACTCGACTTCAAACAATTTCCCAGTAACATAAACATAGTATAAACACATTACTACTGAATATATGCAGTTCTTAACTCGATATAGGCAGTTAATAATTTCATGAAAAGTGAGAAAATCGTATCAAGGATCTCAAAGTTTGTTTAGATTTCACAGCTGTCATCTGTCACAATTCCCTCGGCTGATCGCAGCGCTGTCTCTTCCTCCATAGATCCGAGCTAAGGCAACTGCTTTTAAGTCTTGCCGCAAAATGCAGTCATTTTGAAGCGTGAGTTCATTGCAGGCTCAAAAGGCTGCCATAGAGTTTACATCCTATTCACAATGTCAGCGCTGAGTCCTAAATCAGGAAGCACATAAAGTTTGTCAAGTTCAAGAGCATAACACAATCTCATAATCATTTCTTCATCCACAGCGTCCATTTCGCGTCGACACGAGTTGGCCAGTCTATCGGCGTGAAATTGCTGCCAACTTGGCTCGAACTGTCTCCTCCCTGCTTGCGGGCGATAGTGCAGAGTAACTTGTTGGCTGGTTGAAGCAAAATTTGGACGGGGCGGTGATGAAGTGTGATGAGATAACGGATGAAGTTGACGACGTGCAGGAGCGAAGACATCACCCATGGCCACTGATGTGTTATTGTGAAAATCCATGCCTTCCTTGTGACTTTACCACCGCGCCGTGAAAGCACCTGTTGAGTTAGTGTTGTTGAATGAATTTTCCACCAGAAAGGCACAGAATGGAAACTGTATCAGCCGTAAGGCGTCAAGGTACGTTATTGTTTGCAAATATAACCCGGTCTAGCAGAGAAAGATAGGAAAATTCACTGAGATACTCGCCAAGTTTCCGCGCGTTTTCTCCAGAGCCACTGAAATTTCTTCCGAAAAGAGAAGCTGAATAGTTTGAAAACTATTCTCGATGTCGAGTACTTTTTGAATTTCGCAATTTAAATTGTAAATTGCTGATAAGTTGTTCACACAATCATTGACAAATGTAGCTGTCGTCAGAAGTGCCTAGAATTTTATATAACCCTCGAGTGTTTCGTAACTCTGTGACGCGCAATCAACCTTCCTGTTTACTTAAAATTGAAAGACCCGCAAGATGTTTTCTTTGTTAAGCCTTGGTCGGTTTATGCAAATCTACCAAGCAGGATTCAGGTGGACTCACAAATGAACAAATACGACAGCGTTAAATATAATAGAACAATAAAAGAAATGTCAAATCACATGTTTCGCGCGTTTTGAAGGACGCAAAACCTAGTGTATGGTAATTCCTTCAGAGAAAGCCATTCTCAAGTCGCGAGCTCTGCTTGCTGAAATGAAAATCTAAGAAATAGCGTTTTCAAACTGCTTATTCACAGAAACAATATGTTCTTTTATAGTTTCTTCTCTCTTCGAATAGTAATAACAATGGTTTAACACCCGAGTATTTCCCACAAAAATGGACTGACACAAAACCCTTTTCAAGGCGGCAAAATCTGGATTTGTTTCGCCAAGGATACGGGAAACTTTCAACTCAGTTTGCTCACAAAGAGGAACCATTTCCACAGCTGTAGGGAAACGTTCTGTCAAATGTAACTAAATGTTGCTAATCAACACGCCAGTATAAAATGAAAAACACTTCGCGCTGCTTGTGAGAGTTACGGAGTTTTGGTTGAAAATGGCCGGTTTCTCGCACGTTGCTTTGACGCAACTCTGGATTGGGATTTTGAAATCAACCAATGATGTTTGCAACCAAATTTTCAGTTTACATTATGGGATAAATGCCATATTGATCAATTGATCACTACTGCTGCCCATATTGATTATTTACGTTCGATTTATCACAAAAGTCGCTATCGAAAATTGTAACGCGTGGTTTTATTTGTCCGCTACAAATCAGAAGAAATTTTAAAACACTTGTTACAATTGTAGACACTTGATCAGTCTAAATGTATGCACTCTAACATATTTCTTCTGAATGAACACCTTACTATCCATAATCAGGATCGCATTTCTTAATTTCGCAAGTTAATTTTCGGAAAAGCAACTTCATGTACAACAATCACCTCAAAAGCAGGCAACGTGCCTTTTTCTAACACCTGCCAGTTTCGCCTACCTCATTAAATAGTAAAATAAGTTCGATCAGTGTATATTTAACTTTTTAAAGTATTAACACGAATTCCCAGTCGAATCTGTTGAGAAGCTAATAATCGATCCATATGGCCGCATCTTACTAAAGCTACGTTTCTGTCGCTAAAAAAATGACCGCGAAGACAAACCTGTCTTTGTTTTGTTTTTGTTTTGACTGAATTATTTGGCCTTAACTCCAGAGTATTCAAACGTACATGGTAAAGTACAGTTGAACCTCCTCTGGAGACAGATTTTCTAATGTTAGCCTTCAGAGCGAGGTTAAAACAAGAGCATGAAAGTATCCGCTAGAGAAGTGGGGGTTAGACTGAAAAAAAAAAGGTTCTGCACCTTCAACGGCTTTCACTCTTAGAACTGGATAAGTCAAACTTAGACAAAAATCCCACATTTCTTTTGCAAAATGCTGAAAAACAAATAGTGTTATGTAAAAGTGCTGCAGGCCAAGGAGGTTTCATTTGAATGGCCACCCCGCAGGATTTTGCATACAGACTTGAAAAAGTTATAAAGCGCACACCTTAGGAGACTCTACTGATCATCATACACTCGGCGGGTGAATTGCCTTGATTTGTCAGACTGACTGCAAAACTGGTCTCACCAGGCATTCACCGGGAATTTGCGAAAGAGATAGGGATTGGGATTTAGGGCAGTCGTTGCTTACTGGTGAATGCATCAGATGTACAAACGAAAGTGGGTGTAGAAAGGAAGCCGTTAGTATAGGATATACTGTAGGCTGCGAACGCTAACACATTTTATCACAACACCGTGATCCCAGGAGTGTTTCTTAATTTGTGTCCACACAAAAACGAGCAGCGAAAACCAGGTGATCACAAACTGTTTCATTTGGCAACCACGCCTGAGACAAACGAGACAAGCGTGTTGAATATGATCAACCGAAAGCTTGTGTTACTTTCATTATTGCTTAGTTTCTTGCTGTGAGTATTTTCCACAAAGAACGATAGAAAACAAAGCAAAACAAAATAAAGAGAAAAATGTCCGTCAGCTGTAATATTGCACATGCAGTTTTTTTGATCTTAAGTGAATCCAACCATCTGGTTTTGGAAATTTGAATTCGTTTAGGTGACATGATTTCGCCAGGAAAACTAGGCACATTTCCGTGGCAAGGTAAGTTTTGAGAGACGCCACATAAAATTCTGCAGTGATAGTTAAACATGAACCGCGACTTGCTGGGAAAAAAAAATGACAGTTTAGATTTAAACAGAAAGAATTGTTTTATCGCTCAGTTTATGTTTTTCATCACTAACAACATTTTCCAAGTTTGCATAAACAAAGAACCTTTAAACAATATAACCTGTATTTAAAAGATAATAGGGTAAAGTAAAAGAAAGAGAAAATCGACAAAAGATTATTTCCTTTGTCACAAAAGTAAATGTTTATCACATGGACAAAACACTTCATGGAGCTAAAAAGTCACTGCCCAGAAAAATAATCACGCGGGAGAGACGGGAGACATGTTGTTCGTAAGAAAAACTTAGCATACTGAGATGAACCTGTGTCGTATGACAATTTTTCCGAACCAAAACAGGTACCTTTAACCTAACCAAATGCGCACAAACAGCACGTTTTTTTTTTTCAATTTAAGTTGCAAGAAGCTATTGTTTAAAACCTGTGAAAATATTTTTTAGTAATGGCAACACCTGTTAGTGGTAGAACACCTCCGCTCGTGTCGCTCGGGACCTCCTCAGCAACACATGGGTAGCACGCTTCGACAGACGATAACGATTGCCCGTTCACAGGGCGAACAATAGATCGCAATAATTCTAAGAACAATTGATCGTGACATGTCGCGCGTGCGACTGGCACGTGCCTTTTTCAAAGCAAACCATTCACCACTAAATAGGTTATTCTTTCATTTTTTATACTCAAAGGTTTTCTACTCTGCGAAATTTTAAGTGACAATATTTGAACAGATGATACTGTAATACACATGACTTTTCAATTGTGATCGAAATAATGAGTTGCTCAACCACAAATTAGCTGCTCGTTTTTTAATCATTTATAGTAAAAAATAGATAAACAAAAACAGTTAATTACGGGCTACTTGAGGTTGAACAGAAAAATAAACCTTTGAACAAACCCGCCTTGAATGGCTGAAAGTGAAGTGAGATTTTTCAGCTGTTCGAAAAGTTCAGCCATTAGTGACTATTGTATAATACAGAATGCGATATACCATCATTTCCGTATCGAGAATTTATAAACTGTGGTGAATAGAAATACAAAATAAATCTCGTGATCTTTGCAGTTATCTAATCACCCTCACATAAGTTAGGCCTTCCTGAATTAGATAGTTTTTAAACATTTATGATATAAACTGTTGGGCCAATGTTTTTCGATCACACACCAGTGTGAATTAGACAATGACATGCATCATCTCCTCAGTGACTACTGACCAATACCGCATTTGACTCTTGTTACCGGGATTTGTAACTCACTTGGTCAACTATGACTGGCTAGCTCTGAAAGAGGCACCTGGAGAAAAGAAAGGCGAATATTTTACTGAATCATAGAAATGGAATTTGCAAAAACACTTGTTGAGTTCAAGTTAAAATGGTGATCACACGTATAATTATAAATAATAACAAATAACAAATAATAGCGAACATTATTGTTGGTGTCATGGTTAATGCCATTTCCTTCCATAAAATAAAAATAATCGCTTCGTTGAGAAAGAGAAAAACAACAATTTATTAATCACCAGTTTCATATAAGTTCATTGTGGTGTCACTCGCTGCTTGGGTACTAAATGCGAAAAATTCAAAAAAGACCCGACTGCTCAACGTCATAGAACAATCTGACCTGGAACAGAGTGGCCATGGACAACACACAAAAGATTGTTTCTTTAATACTGAATAATAAGCTAACCTGGCTTTCTTTCATGGGAATAATCATACTGCAGTTTGACAGAAGTGTAGAAAATCACAGGAAGAAAACAGAAAAACACTGTAAGGGCAACAACAGACACCAAATCTGTGTGTATCTTGACACAGTTGAAGTTTTTGCTCCAGCGCTGCCGCGTATAATTCATCTGAATAACAACAAAACAAAGAGGAGTGGAGAATCTTTTTAAAAGCAAATAGAAGATCACATAATTTGCTGGCCCAAGCAAAAATCTATTACAGATGTTTTTAAAAGTGACGCTCCCTACGCGGTCCAAACTCCTAATTCTAACTTGTAACTGCTTTTGACCACAGACTGTCTCCTCCACAAAAAATTCAATTCTCTTTCTACACTCATGAACTAAATTATATAATTAACGGAAGAGTATGCCCAATTTTCACTTGAGCAACCTCTGAAGGGCATAACTTTTCAAAACTTTGAAAGACCCTTTCTCAAACTTGTAAAATTTCTACCCTTTCGTGTAGTTCTAGACTGAAAAAGGTATGTACTTCACTGAAGCCAAGGATATCCGTATAGTTTAGCATAGGAACTATTCCAACGATTCCATTGAATACTTTAAACCCTTTATCAGAGAAAATCCAGCCAGTGTTAAAAAGTTAAATTGTCAGCTTTTACCTCGCAGTTTCCTTTGTCTTCTGACCCTAATTTGTAATATTCCCAATTATTATTAAATTTTATTAAAAATCTTTGTCCATTTCTGATTGGCTCAAATCCCATGCCTAATTCTTTACAACCAGCTATTGTTGACCAAATCTGTAAGATGTTTGTGATATGTGGAAAATGATGTCAATAGTCAGCATAAATGCCAGAAAAATCGATGGCAACTGAGAAGCCCTGAGAACAAGGTTGCTTTGTTTTAGTAGAGTAGTACAATATGGTGGAACATTTCACAGGTTTCGTGAAGAAGAAATAGCTAAACTACTGCCTTAAAACATGGCAAGAACAGGAAGGACACAACTCAATGGACAACATCTGCTATTTGGAGAATATCTGTTGAAGTAAATATCCCTGTTTTTAAACAGGGATGAGGAGATATTCAAATTGCCGAGAAATAGACAAATAAAGACAGGAACTTAACACTGGACGAGGTAGGCATGCTTTAGCTAGCCTGTGAGCAAGCTCTCCTATTTGGGCAAGCGAAGTGAGCCTCGTGAGACTCGCGTCACTTGCCCAAATAAGAGAGCTTGCTCGCAGGCTATGCTTTAGCTAGTTTTCAAGCACGGAATTATTTCGAATGAATAATAAAACAATCGATGGAACAATTTGACTTTTGTATGATCTGATTGTAGAATTCTGGAGATCATGGTGGGTATTAATGGAGCTCAAGGATAACACCCTCCTTAGCCTCCATAACTCGTCCAATAATTGCTAATTATTCATTACAGCAACTATGAAAAGGGTCAGAAGAGACAACAACATACCATATTTACTTGAGTGAGTGGCGTAGTGCTCATTAAATTTTTCACGCCTCAAGTGGATTTAAATTATTTGAGGGCCACACTGATTTGAAAGCTGGACGTAACAAAGAATAATTTGTATAATAACTGTGTATACGGTATTGTTATTTTCCATATTAAACGACCAAAATTAAAGTCTTCTGATTTTGATTATATATCAGGGCCACAGCACTCATTTGGGGGCAGTGCTTATTAACTTTTTTGTTCCAAATGCGGCTGTTATTCGAGGGTGGGGCTTAATTGGGAGCGGCGCTTATTTGAGTAATTACGGTAATCATTCAAATAATTAGAAAAGAAAATTGAGCATCAAAAATCAGGAAGTAAACACCTTTTTTGGCTTTTGCGTAGGTCGTGTAAAACAAAAGTCTAAAAGGGCATCTGCTCTCACAGGCTATCCTCTTCAGAGCATTAAATGTACTTACCGAAGCAGATACATCTCCACAAACTTTGTAATCTTGAGCATCGGACACTTTTATCTTCTTGTAAGATTTTTCCAGATCATTATAGTATCCTCTGCATTTATCACACAAGCTACTATGTAATGTAGAAGAGTTGGCGCCACTGTGGTTGGATGGTACAGGAATGACGTGAATCTGAAGGTACAAGCAAATGAGAATTGAGTGCCAACAAGAAGAATTAACTCCCTGCTTTACAAGTAACACATCCTAGAGACACACAGGTAATCAAGAGACAACAAAAATATGTGTGAAACCCTGTTACAGAGCGACTACTACAACCGGGGCCACCTAGACAAAGTTGACCAATCAGATTACAGGAAAATAACAATATTTTCCGAGACAGTTAGTTGTCAATAATAAACAGCATTCATCAAAATCAACCAATCACAACCTACAGACATGACCTTTTGACCCTGCTGAAAAAAGCCTGTGTTTCTTGGGAGGTCCATTAGAGCGTGTGACAGAGACAAAAAATGTAAATGTTAGTTGTAATTTTGACTTGAGGTTAATATGTTATTGCAAAGCGGGGCAATGGTAGCAAAGAAATTGGTTGCAGATGACAAAATAACAGCTTGGGTCAAACAAATATGTCTCCTGGGTGTAAAAGTTTTCAATAGAAAAACATTGTTCGGTGAAATATTGTATGTTCTTTGAAAAACGTTTGCTATCAATATTTTAAAATTGTTCTTCCAGTAACTTGTTGTTTTTTAATGTACTGCTGACTGGCCCATAACCAACTTTCTTGGAATGTATTGGTATTATCCTCTAATCCGATTGGTCAACTTTGTCTTAATGGCCCAGGTTACAGTAGTTGCACTGTAATACAGTGTACTACAACTACTCCAATTAGGCCACGGGGAGGTCATACTATTAAACAGATTACATGTAATATCACTGACAGCATTCTGGAAACCCTTCAGCACAAATGTCTTAACCCACTGACGGCTGTGACAGCCAAAACAAGCCGTACAAGATTACACTGCTTTAAAATATTGCAACTTCCTCAATCACTTAAAAATGGCCTGAACTGTCAGTTGTGAGCATTGAGTAGAATGTCCTTCAAATTGGGATATTTATTACATGCAAAAAAGTCAGCGCTTTTTGCAAAATATTTATTTTTGAATTTAAACAAGAACAAAAATTACAATTTTTATCGTCATGGAAAAATGACAAAATCACCTTTTTGCCTTCAGTTTTTGTACAGAAATCATAGTTGCTAAATCAAAAGTCAACATTCACAGATATATCCTCAGTTTTTTATAACATCAACACTCACCAAGCAGCTTTAAAGAAATGCAGGTTTTTGTTGTCTTTTTCAATTTAACAACAACCTCACACTAAACACTCACATTATCATCATCTCACAATACGAAAATGAGGCACTTAGTTCTGGAAGAAAAAAAACAGCTAACAGAACACTCCATAAACTCCATTAGAAAAAAATTCAGACTTAAAACTGAAAACGTTGCCAATTTGGTGAGCTGTGTGGGGCAGTCATATACCAAACTACAGTGTTTTATTACTGTTATTTTATACATTCAACTCACTATCTCTTTTCTGATTGGCCAAAAGCAAACAGCAAATTTTTTAGTCAAGGACACTCATGGTCACAAGTAGTCATGTCATGTATGACCGAGGTGCATGATTTCTAAGGTTAATCATGTCAAGTGCACGCGCTTTGTGCTGCTTGCCGTCAGTGAAGAAGCAAAACATGACTTCCAGGTTTGCTTCGTTGACCAAGCAAGACATCAAAGAAATAGTTGAAGACAAGGACTCACAAAACACAAAGAGGTTGACAAAGGTGGCAAAGAAGCTGTTTGCTGATTACATCAAAGAGAAAAAAGTGAGACAACATGAGGTATTTGCAAACGTTTAGAAATAAATCATCAGTTTCACTTACTGCAATGACCATTTTTTTCTTTGAGTTCTTTGTAACTTGAGTGTGATTATCTAAAATCTCTCACTTTGTCTAAAGTACCTGTTGGTTAACTTGCCTGAGGTTGACCTCTTAAGAAAAATATCCACGTTTAAAAAGAGAACAAGAAATGTCGTTGTACACATAGTTGATAAAACATGAAAAATTTTTAGGTAATTCACTTAGTCTTTCAGTGATGGCAAAGAAATGTACAGAAAAGTGTGCTACATAAGCAAAGTTGTTGTTTTGCTAATCTTAACCTGACCTATTGCTTTTTTGATGCTCTCGATGCTGTTGCAATAGTGACATCTTAAACTCCCTACTCAAACAACTCAACATATTTAGAACGAAAGTGTAGTGGTCCTCTCCCCAATTAATCAATTCTGGCTCTTCAGCCAAGAAATACGTGAGTGCACTGATCAACATGGCTGCCACATTTGTAGGACCATGGTTGTTGAGATCCAAAAACTTTGCTACCATGGCAATGTGATGTAACAACTTTTTCTCTCTATTGCAGAAAATATTATATTGTCAGTCCTCTTTTGGCAACTGAAGTGACTATTTTAGGATAGTTTTAGATTGCCTAAAGGCGACCTTGAAAAAGGTGAACTTGGAGCACCGCAGCATACCCCACTGTTACAGTACCAAAATTTTCTTTGAGATACCAAAATAAAATGCAAAGCATATGGTAAATACCAAAGCTGAAAGAGTATCATACATCAAAATTAAAGAGCCTTCATCTAAACAGTACACACAAAATCTTAGATGACCCTGATCCAGCAAACTCCCAGAGTGCTTATGAGCAAATTAAAGATCACTGTGGTAATGTTTCTTAAGCAGTTGCAGAACAAAAAGGGAAAAAAATATCAGGCTCTAATGATATTTGAACTCATGACCTGTACAAAGCTCTTATACCGCTGGGCTTGATCAAGTCAACTGGGAGCTGGTCACTTTGTAAATACAATAGTAAATAGAAGATGAAATTATAAATTCAAAGTGAACATTAATAAAAATAAAACTGTGAAATTTCTTATATAATGAACTGTAGGAGAAAGCTCTCACACGTGAAAAATCATTGCAGATAGGCACACATACCAATTAATAAATAATTGCTTGTATAACCCAGAAACCAGGATTCAATTTAAGGGACAGGGAGGATGTGTATAATTTCATTTAGTGTGAAAATAAGGCAAGTAGCTTGCACAAAAATGTGGTTAAATTTGTGTTACAGAGAAAGTGGCTGCCATTCTCAATTTTTGTTCCCACAATTCACCTGACATACAGTAGGAAACAAAATAAGATAGCAATTATTTGATGGCAATAAATCACTGATCTCTAGGAAATGTTCGCAATGTGCTAAAATTTCAATATATACCACTTCTATTATTAACCAAGAGTGAGGTCATTACAGGGAAATCTCAGACTAAAGCCCTACCGCTCGGTCAATACATCAGGGCTGAGGTGTAAGATTTCCCCGTAATGACTGAACGGAAGAGGTTAATGTCATTTATCATATGTCCTTTTTAGCTCCATTAATATAAAACACCGGAAGTATTGAGCCTGCGATCAATTAAAACCAATACCTGGTCAGCAGATAACTTTAAAAAAACATGCCGCCTCAATGAGTTGTACACTTGAGCCCGTGATACAGTCATGTGACACTGGTCAGTGGATACCCTTTTTTGAAAGCTGTCAATTGACCATAACATGGATGCCCACTATCAAGTTAAACGCAGATTGTAAATGCCTTGGACACCAAGCTAGAATAATGCCCGTCATCCTCACAAGGAAAACTTACCTGCTCTGCAGTCAATCAGAGCATGCATTCTATTGTAGCTATATAATTATAATAAATAAATATTCTTATAGAGGCAATGATTTCCTTCTTTTACAGGGCATGTCAGCCGAATTGTACACATAGGTATACAGTACCTGAGAATTGTTATAAAAGCAGTGCTCAACTTCATCCAACTTTTTAAAGAACTCCTTGATTTCTGATTTTACTGCAGTTGGTCTCCCTTCTTTGTCACTATTAAAGCAATCTAGAATAGATAAGAGAGATATTTCCAACATCATGTTCAATATCTTCTGAAAAAAAAAATTGCCAAAACCTTATATAAAATACTCAACACAGTGTAGCTTCAAAATATCAAGCAAATCAAATTTTGTCAAAAATACTCCACTACACATCATATTTTCACGCCCTATTTGGGGCTATGCCACTGAACAGGAAATGGTTTTTGACCTGTGTCCTAAACATGGTATATAATTTCATGTGAGTCTGTCCTAGAAAGGCACTTAATTTCGTGCGAGTCTGTCAACAGGGTATTGCCTGCATAGCCTGCGCAGTTGGCAGGATTAGAGGGAGTGCTGCAGTTTTTTGGCAGCGTGGCCACAAGATTGGGAGCTAGTCAAATAAATTGAAATCCTGCCTACCCTAATTCTTGGGTATTTTGAATAATTCGACAACCAGGCATACAGGAGTTTCTGATTGGCTGAGAGGTGATCACACATCAGTCAAATGCTAATGTAAATCTCTAGTCCCTCCCAAGGGAAAGTTAGTGAGTTCAAGTGGAAATGAAAAAGAATTGAGCAAGCTAAAAGGCTCCACTCCACAATAAGATTTATTGTTTAATGAAATCCTCAAAAGACTTTTTTTTGAGGGAAATAGATCTCAAAATTTAAGGCATGTCTTCTGCTATACTTTACTCAGAAAGGGCTCAAACTAATCTTGTTTTATGACAGGAAACTGGCTCTATAACAAAAGCGCATCAGACAACATTGCCTTTTGTCATGCAGTGCAAACTCCCTGATCCATCTGAGCTCAACATAAAAAGAGTGCTTGATCATTTAAAACTGGCACTTTCAAAAAGTGGGTGGAGAATGCTGTGGAGGATTCTTGGTTTTGACTGAGCAAATGTTACCTTTGCTGATTGAGGGGTCATAAGCTGATGTGTTTCCTGTGTATTGATTTCATATGTATTTTGTCTCAGACAGAATTTGACTCTGAAGCAGTTTAGGGAATTTTTTGACCTCTTTAGAAGCATGAAGCTTTTTATTGTGGCTAAATGACCAGGTTTTAGTTTCTCAAGTTTGGAGTAACTGCAGAATACCCTGCCTGGATCCTGAATAACTTGCAACATGTAGTTGTCTTGTCCATGACTTGACTGTTATGCTTGGCCTGCCACATTTGCAGGTCAGTTTTGTATTTCACCACTTTTTCTGATTGAGTAATCAAATGGATCCAATCAAGGTGACAAAAGTGGGCCGCATTGGCAGGGAAGATTTACCTTCGCAGCTTTGCTGCTTGCTTTACGTGGTGACTCCAATGCCAAGAAAGTGCCTCCGGCACAAGAATCCCACCAACTACACAGGCTATTGCCTGCACCATGAATTTGATTTATGTTTGTACTCCAAGTATACTGAAGCAATGACTACAATGTGAATTTGCTCTATGGCAAGTGCTAATAAATGGCTTTAAAACAAGATGATGTGCATTTTAACAGGGTATGTATTTTAGGAATTTTTGTCCTAAACAGGGTCATGGGTTTCAAACCCTCAGTGGCTCACCTATAACCAAATATTGGTCGAGTACTGTCGCCGGAGTTCAAGACCCTCAAAAACCCTACCCTATCTTCTGGCCATACAATCATCGTCAAAAGTGTTGGGAAGGTCGCCTTTTTTACCTCTTCTTTTCCTTCCTCCCCCCGCCCCTGGCCCAATGTTGATCAAAACGTTAATGTAAGAGAAAACTCTCTTTTTTCAGGATTGAAATGGACTACTGTTAAGTTGTACAACCTTCCCAACTACTTTTGTCTGTGATTGTAGTTTGAGTATTCAGAATTTCTTTTTTTTCCTCCAGCCTAAATTGATCATAGGAGACAAATGAAATTATGCTTTAACCTGAGAAGACATTTTATGTACATCATAACTTAGCCTAATCCACACATCGAAGGTTCGATCATCATGTGAACAGATGTAGAATAATATTACCTGGACAATTGGACTTCTTCCAAATATCCACCGTAAAATCATAGGCATATTCTACCAGCTGGTGTTTTTCGGCAAAGATCAACTCTCTGCTGCAGTTTTTGTCTAGTACAATATTGTTGTGCCCGTTTAGAGCTTCAACGTATAAATCCTTGCAGTGACAACAAAAACGAAACGGCCGAGAGTTGCTCACAGCACAGTAAGTGTAGTTCGAAACTGCGTTTGCAAAGATATTGAGCAGCTTGGAACATTTCACTGGATATGACGAAGGTATCCTTGACTGTAAAACGAGGAAGAAGATACACCAATACAATGAACCATGGGCCAACATTTTGTTCGCCAGCTGAGCTCCACAGAAACTTAGCTTAGTAAACTTGTGACTTCCGCGAGATGGTGCGAGGCGGCCATCTTGCCAACCGTAATTCGTCCCAGACTCCTCACAGGTTGCGAGCCTTCTAATAGGGGAAAAATCGAGAGAGGAGACGATTTTTCCTGAGGGAGGGGGGACGTCTGTACACAGGCTAGCGCCTGCCACGCACGGTAAGTATGAGCTTAGCCTGCGTAGCATGCGCTTGGAAGTACGCTTCGCAATTTTTTCACCCTTTCCCTAAATTCTCGGCTTGCACTGTCACGCAATGAAAAATAAAAACGCAAACCATTCAATACAGAAGGACTAGAATCTGGGAAATGAAAAAAGATAAATATACAAAAACCCCTGCCAAGAATCAGGTCTGTGAAATATTTCCAATGCGAGATATTGGGCAGACATAAATTTTTATGGTATGTTGGTGTCCCTTTCAGGAACACCAATATGGCCGCCGGATACCAACAGAAACATCTGTTTTCGAGTTTTCCTACTAATGCGTGAATTCTTCGCTTGAGTAACTCATAAAAATTACAGTAGTATTTATTCTAAGACAAGGAATGTTTAGATTGCAAAATCTCCCAAAATCGGTAATGTTTTTAACCCACATATGAGCTTTCCCGGCCGCCAGCTAAATGCCGCGTCACGCAAAAGCCTGGGAATTCACGCGTCCTCTCTCGCAAAACGAAGAACCCTTTCGAGCCAAAAATTTTTTTATGTAAAGGTGTTTAGGTACTGTAATAGCTGGTGAAAGTAGAAACTCAGAAGAATCGATAGTTTCTTAGTTTGATTTTTGGTGACGTCACGTGCAACCCAAGAATAGAGAGCGTGTTCACAGGCTAATTACTGTGGCACAAGAAAGAACAGACGCGCAATGGAGACACGCTCTTTCTCCCCTCGCGTGTCTGCCTCGCGCGTCCGTTCTTTCCCATTTAATACTTCCAAAAGCCTGCTACGCAGTCAAGTATGAGCTTTGGGCATTACAGAGAAGACGAAGGCTTTCTCTTCTATTCTACTGAAATTCATCAGAAACTAAGTTCCAGAATGCTAACGGGGATCTACCCAATTTAAGCCACATTTTTTGACATTATGAGTATGGTCAAATTTCAACTGCTTTTTTCATTGAATAGAGGTTGTGAATAGGGGGAAAGGAGGAGGAGAAGTGTGGGGAATAGGTCTCTCTCAATCGGGGATTTTAAATATGGGCACTGACATCTTCCTGCCAGGTACCATGTGATGAACATCTCTCTCCAAATTGCTGGTTACCCGTTTTAGTAACTTGTGCCCAACTTGTGGAATTATTTATTTATTTATTTATTTTGAAACCACTTGCTGTTCTAGTCGAGTTTTAAATATTATTTTGACATAATACCGTATTTATTCGAATAATTGTCTAACCTCGAATTACCGCCCATCCTAAAGCCCCCTCCCACTCAAATTCTGTAATTGAATAAGAGACTTCCCCGAAGATGAAGTTTTCTAACATCTTCACGTTTTGTTATTACCATTTATTGTTTTGTAGCCAAATAAACATACTACACTTACTGAAAATGGTGAAAATTTAATAAGCGCCCACTCGCAAGGTCCAAAAATTTACTAAGCACCCAGGACGGTTAATTGAATAAATACGGTATCTACAGTCTGTAAGAGTACAGAACACGGAAAATTGCTGCCCATTTGTTAAAATGGACCACCACAGTCTAGTCACTTCGTGGAGCTCAAAGGTACTTAATTACTTCAAATGGATACACGTGTTTAACAAATATTTTAATGAAGATTAATCAAAGCCACCACTCTGAAAGAACAGTGTAATGTTCATAAATTAATGCTGTGTGCTGTGGGCTATCTGTTCTTTCAGCACCATAATACTCTGTCTTTGATCTTCAGGCAACAATGCAATTTGTTGATCAGTTAGACTCAAAACTTGCATGATAAGAGCAGCCTGTAAAGAATAATAAATGAAACAACTTTATAAAAGTTAAAAAGGGCAGATTTTCTGTAAGTATTTTGAAATGGCCTTCACTAATAAAACAAAAGAGATTTACCAGAAGAATTAACAATCATTTTTTTGTGTGTTTGTGGTTGTGCATAAAAATAGTGTCACGGGAAAGATATATCCTTAGCAATGTTTCTTAACAATAACTACTGTAATCAATTCAATAATTGAAGAATATTGTTTAACTAAGGGAGATTTAGTGAATCTGGGACTCTGAAGAATGGGGATGAATTTATACTTTACTGTCAGCAATTTACTGTTAGCTTGTGTTGAGATGCCTCCCCCCCTCCCTGCTTTCCCATTTTTTTACTGAGGGGAGGAGGAATATGCACACGAACTATTTACTGTTAACAATCTTTTCTTGCTTTGACACTTGGGTCTAAGGAAAAGATTTGCTAATGTCTTCAAGAAGAAAATCAAAATTTAGGAGCCAAAAAATATGGGATGAAAACCTTTTCTCCTGACAGGTAAAACACATTATTCAAACTGGAAAACACCATTAGCTAGCATTTGGAAGAGAAGAAAAATATGTCTTATAAAATTGAGAATTTAAACTGGAGTCTGAATATTAAATTGGCAGGTATTCTGTTTATATTTTTCAGCAAAATTCAGCTCATTTTGATGAACAAAAAAAAACTAGGTAAGTAGCTAAAGAAACAGGGTAATAACCTCAATAAATAAAAGATGTTGCATTTAAAACTAAAAAACTAATTTGATGTTGATGTACCTTTTCTTGATCCTGTGCAGTGACATCCCCACCCTGTCCACCAGGACCCCCTGGGGGAGGATTAAAACCTGAAAAAAAAATTTTTCAGATTGGATTGTCAAGTGATTAAAAGTTTCTTTATGCAAGAAAGTCTTTTTTGCACCTCTCCGGGTTCTCATTAAGTTCTACCAACCAGCTAAAAACACTTTTTCCAAATTTTGAATCGTCTATTTTTCGTAGAAAAGGGGAAGGTGAGAGAATGAAAGCCTGAGATTGCTTTCAGCACTCAAATTATCAAGCCGCCCATTTTAACATCCTAGCTAACTACTTTCAAACTTATTGAGAACCCTGGCTCAGGGATCCATATTCGCAGTTGTCCAGTCATCCCAGACTACTACAATCTCGCACAGAAGATTGAGATAACTTCAAAAGTTGTCCTTTGGATGAGTAAGGTTTTGCCCAACCACAAAATCTTTTCAAAAATTCTTGTAGGGTTTTATCATGTACATTTTGCCTGTATTCTGATTATTTCTTATCCACTGCGAATAACAGAGAATAACACACATCTTTGCTCTGCAATGAAATTGTTAGTTGGCACCATCTTAGATGATCCAGTATTTTCCATGAAATGATCACAAGCTCAATTTTCACATCATTAACCATTGGCATTTTTCACTTTTGAAGAACTGCAAACACGGGCCATTCATAGACTTTCAAAAAGGTTTTTCATCTGACTTAAAACTCGCTCCACTCACTTAGCAATTCATGGGGTCAACTTGTGGCAAGTCTAGAGCCATTTCGTTTGCAGAAAACGTTAGAGCATTCCTCAAGGTGTGGCGTTTTAGAAGGTGTTTCTCCGCCTTCGGCGAAAAAAAGCCACTGCCTTATACAAGAAAAAATGCAAGTGCACCTTCTTGTCTTCAAGGCAAACTAAGAGACTTGTACCCCAGAAAGAATGCATCCCAACCATCCATTGAAGTCACGTAGTCTACTTTTCAGCTTAGTTAAAACCCTTTTCTTAGTAGACGGAAATAAAATGCAAATAAGAAATGACATAAATGAATATGGATCCCTACTGGCTACTTTAAATCAGTACCTAAGGTACAGTATGCAGAGTTTGAGCCAGGCCGCGCCATTGCGCCAATCCCGCACTGCAATTGAAGTTGTCCCTTAAAAAACAGCCAGGGGAATTTGAAAAGAAAATGTAGACTAGATTTATTTAGTACAGAAATAGCTAAAACAGAACATGATGATCGCACGTTTAAAGAAACAACAGCGTCTCATGCTCAACCAAGCGTTTAGTAACATCGAAAACGAACCAGTGATCAAAGCCAGAGTGAAACAAAAGATGATACAGGAGAACAACAGTGTATTAATCAGGAAGAAATGGAAGGGAAAAAAACGAGATCACAGGTGGTTGCGCTATTTAACTTTTCCAAGAAGACAAACCCCTTTGCATCAGCAGAAAAACTAAAAATAAAATTGTTTGTAGCCAAGGGGACAAATCATCATTGAAAACTTGTAAAAGTTGTTATGATAATTTAGTGTGAATTTCACTAAAAATAAATTCTTCAAGGGACCAAACCCAAGATTAAAAGTAAAAAAGAGAAGTTAGAATCCTCAATGAACCATCCTATAATGGACTTTCATGTTATAGTTGTGCATTGATGACAAAGAAATGTGCCAAAAAGTGTGTGACACATGCAGGGTTGTTGTTTTGCTTATTAAACCTATTGCTTTCTTTTTCATGCCCTTGTTGTCGTGGCTGTCATCATTGCCAAAGCTAACATATTGGTAGTCTTTACACTAGAGCCTAAATAAGCTAAGAAATTATTATTTCAAGACAAGTAAATTTTAATCACCTCAAGTAAAATAAAGCTTCACACACAACTGATTCTTTTTTACTTCAGGTTAACTTCAGGCTATTTTCCCATGCAACATAATTACGATTGATTGACGTGTTTCGCCTTTCTCAAACCTCAAGAAACCGCAAGTAACCGCATGTCAGCTAAGTAGGTTTTAAGGATGGTTTTCAAGTCGCTTGAAACTTTCTTGAATCGTTTTAACTTTCTGACTTTAATGAGATGCAAAGTAAAGTTACTTGAGATTTTACTTAGGGCTTCACACACGAATTTTTGGTTAAGTAAGACTTAGCAGCTCTTAAGTCTTACTTAACAGCCTAGTGTAAAGACAGCCATTATTGGCAGTGAAGAAGACTGTGGTGATTACATAACAAGTTATCTAGATGGAACATAAACAACACAGTGGTGGTGACAATAATGATAATGTTAGTGGTGACAAGGTGATAATTATTATTTCTCTTACTTTGAGGAAGTCTTGGAGGTGGTCCTCCCTGGTTAGGTCCCCACTGCTGTTGTGGTGAATGAACTGGTCCTGAGAAGCGCCCATCATTTGGAGGCCCTGATGGGCCACGGTCACCACGTGGATCCCTTGGGCCACCGGGTGGACCAAATCTCTGCTCAGGAGGGGGGCCTCTTGGATCCCTGGGTTGATCTCTGTGATCCATTGGGGGGCCTCGTCTGTCATCTAAAAAAACTCAAAACTGAGTGCTGTGGCTTTAATTTGACATTAGTTAAATCAGTTTCACATGTATTTTCTTTTGTATAACAGTTAAGGATGTAAAACAAAAGAAAACAAACCAATGGTAAAAAATAACTAATTTTAATATTATTTTAGAGGCAACAGCACATGGGATATCTTGAACATGCAGCCATATAACAAAATGAAATTATAACGTACAACAAAAACAAATAAAAGTTATTTTAAATATATGAATGCAAAAAGGTCAACCATGAAAACAGTTTATGAAGGAATTACCTCTTGGTGGTTCCCTGCCTCTCGGATCTCGAGGGTCAAACGGCATGCGGCGATCTCTTGGGTCCCCAAAATGATCTTGCGGAGGGCCTCTAAAGTCTGGTCCTGGTGGGCCTGAGGAGAATCAAAGCCACACAGTAATTACCTTCAAATATTATTGATTACTATTTACTAAAAGATTTAGGGTTCACTCTTCTTAAAAAGAATTACAGGTATTGTTTATTAAATTGAAAGAAACGTGTTCTTTTTTTTGGTCATGGGTGAAAGTTATCATGACTTAGTATACCTCTGCCATCTGGTCCTCTCATATCTGGAGGGCCCCTGAAGTCCCTTTGATCCATAAGGCTCCGTATTTCACCTGGTCCTCTATCAGGGGGTCCTCTCATATCCATAGGGGCCCTGTCTGGTGGACCCCTCATGTCCCCAGGACCTCCTCTCATGTCTCCATGGCCCCTCATGTCTCCAGGACCTCCTCTCATGTCTCCAGGACCTCCTCTCATGTCCCCATGGCCCCTCATATCTCCTGGGCCTCTCATGTGTGCATCACGCATATCAGGACCTCTGTCTGGAGGGCCTCTCATGTCAGGTGGCATTCCTCTCATATCTCGTCCATCTGGGTATTAATAAGAACAACAATGAACAAAATAAATAAAGCTGAAGGTCTCAGTTGGGAGAGGGCTGGTCTGCTGAAAGAGAGATCGCAGATCCAAACCCTAGCCGACCAACACTTGGGGTCTTTAACGAACTGAGGAGAAAGTGCTGCCTTTGCAATGACATCTGCAAATGGTTAGACTTTCTGGTCTTCTCGGATAAGCATGAAAAACCGTAGGTCCCGTGTCACAGCACCTTCACTTATCTGGTTCTTGTGGGAAGTCAAAGAACCCACACCACTGTTCGAAAAGAGTAGGGGAGGTAGACCCAGTGGTGTGGCCAACCTCTGGTCCTGTTCTGTGTTTCACACCATATGGTAAAAGTGATTAAAATAATATATAGTTATAAGGCTACCTTGATAATTATTAAGAACTTGTTTAAAGTGAAATACAGACAGGATTTGGACTTCTGAGAACTTTACCCAGAGCATCAAGTGTCCCCAAGATCTTTGAAAGTGACAATATACTATAGAGCATGGAGTACATGTGTACCATTTCTGAATGCAAATAATGATAAAATAAAGTAGATTATACCTGGCCCCCTCATATCTGGTGGACCTCTCATGTCAGGTTGACCTCTCATGTCTGGTGGGCCCCTCATGTCTGATGGACCTCTCATGTCTGGTGGGCCTCTCATATCTGATGGACCTCTCATGTCCGGTGGCCCTCTCATGTCTGATGGACCTCTCATGTCTGGTGGACCCCTCATGTCTGGTGGACCTCTCATGTCTGATGGACCTCTCATATCAGGTGGCCCTCTCATGTCTGGAGGAGCTCGCATGCCTTGGGGTCCCCTCATATCTGGTGGGCCCCTTCCATCTCCAGGCCCCATCATATCAGGTTCTCTCATCTCATGAGGACCTCTCATGGGTGGTCCAGATCCATGCTGTCCCATGTCGAAGGGTCCAGAAGGGCCCTCATTATTTGGACCTGGTCCTCCACCAAATGGACCTGAGTGCATTAAAGGCTTTGGCTGTTGAACACCTACTGGTTGTATTGGTGCAGCTGGCTCTGTAGGGCGATGCAATATGCCCTGTAATAAAGAAAATATATATCATTCTTAATCAATGTAAACAAGCAGTCTGACCAACATTGTGTTGATGGAAATTCCTGTACATTTGGAGTGGTCTGGTCTTGCTAAAAGATGTCTTAAGCTAAGGAGCAATAAGATGGAAGTACACAAAAATGTGAAAACATCAGACCAAGATTTAGCAGGTAACTAATACTGTGGAGAGAACTGCTGAAAAATTACCCTGGCTTATAGAAAAATCTGAGAGGAATGTTGGAACAAGACAGTGCCATCTATTTTTATTTAAACACTTGTCAAAACCAAAGGATACTTTTCATTAATTGCAAAGAAAAAAGATCCTGGCCAAATCTTATTTTAACTGGTTGCTCTAGCATAGGAAAACTATCCACAAAATAATGTTCTGGCACTTTGATGGACTGTTTATAATCCTGAGGAAGATGGGCCTCAAGTTCTTTGATCTCTTCTGTCATGAAGGAAACAGGTAATAACTTAGGGACCCTGCTTACCATTATTTTGTCAGAACTGGCTGGCCACACCAGTCCAGTCATTCAGAGAATTCCACTACAGTGGAACCTTGATATAACGAAGTGCCAAGGGACTGACAAAATATGTTCGCTATTACAAGGTTTCATTACATTGAGGTTCTTTTCCATATTATTTTAATATTACTGGGGCTAACAATATCGTTCATTATACCACGGGCTTTGTTATGTAGAGGTTCATTAAATTGACGTTTCACTGTATTTTAAAAATAAGAGCTATTCAGCCAAATCAGCATTGGTATTTCATTGGTGTTTATATAACAAATAGAACATTACATGGGTGCTTGGAGATACAAAATTTTCCTTCTTGTGTTGAAAAATATTTCAACACTAGAAGAGAAATTTCGTATCACCGCATTGCCATGTAATATGCTCTATGTATGAAGAATGTACATGCTGATATTACGGTTTGAAGGGTTAAGAAACCAACCTGAGCAATCACAGGATCAACAATTTTCATAACAACTTGAGCCTGTAGTAAGGCATATGCAAGCTGAGGATTCTGAAGTAACATCTGACGGGCTTCTTCAGGATTGTTCTGTATACAGATCTGTAAGAATTTGGTGTTAAAAGAAACAACATTCAACAAACTACTTCATTTTGCACACAATGGAAGGTCGAAGAGTATCTTAATAAAGACAAAAGGTTGGTAAGTATGGTTTTCAGCACAAAATGTGAAAGAAAACCACATGTACAGAGGAGTTCAATTTGTCGTTGGAACATCCAAAACTCGATTTAAATTTTTTGTGTGTATTTTCCTTTTTCCCTTATGAATCTCTTATCTCTCTTATGAATTATATTTTCATACTTTGTACACTTGTCTTTTTTTCTCTTTTATCCTAAATAAAACTGTAATAGCAACTGAAACAACCGAACATTATGGAAATTTTCATTTATTTCATTTTCAATATGACTGAATATGGCCGGTCAACATGACTGGCAAGACAAAAGGTTGACCGGTCAACTCTCCACTCAGTCCGGACATTGTCCGTTGACCGGTCATTATTTTGAGCCCTGCATTTTATTCTTGTAATATTTAAATCTTAAGAACTAGGAGTAATCAATAATATCTTTAAATCTGCAATATAAATTAAAAGGCCTATAATATAAAATAAATGGAGAAATTAAATAAAATAAAAAAATACAAAATTTACAATGGTTATTTTGATCATGCAGTCATTGTGATACATTTCCATTACACAACATTTTGCAGTACGCAAAGGTGAATCATACCATCAGTATCAACTGTAAAATTTAACTGCAGTCAAGGTCACAAATAACTCCTCTGCGTCCTGTGAGAAAAGTCAAGTTTTCAGGCAGGTATGTTTACGGTCTTACATCAAAATTAACGGGTACCTTAAATGCTGAAACATGAGATGCAGTTACACCTCCAAATGTTTTTAGGTTTTGCTGTTAACATCCATTGTGGCATCCAGTAAGCCCTTCCACATGCAAGCTCACCATCAATGAACTCATGCACAGAAAATTCAAATCAACCACATCACAGATGACTGCATTATAAAAATGTTTATCTCATACAAACCAAGTACTTCAAAACAAAGAGTGTGATACCTTCATTTGTTTCATGAGCTCAAACATTTGCTCAGGTGGTAAACTGGCCACTGCTTGTGTAATAGCTTCTGGAGCTTCTTCAGGGGCAACAGAGGGGCCATAGGGGTTCACCTCTGGACGGGAACTTCCCTCCATACCTAGGATACAAGAAGGAACTTGGTTGTAATCTACCACAACACAGAATAGGGGAACATTAGCAAATGAACTCTCCTACACCTCTATGGTCTGAGACATTTTGCAATGCCACCACTGGTTTCGCAGCAAAATGACACCTGACAAATGAGTGCAGAAATTCCAAACTGATGACACCTCACTACCCAGATCTGGGTAGTGCCTCTTTGTGATTGTTTTGTTGCTCATGCCAAGTCAAGTTAAGAATAACAAAAAATAAACTTGTCTGGTAGATTTAGTTCTTAAAGGCTCCATATAATCAATATAAACATTGTCAGTATTTCAGCCTTTCTCCAAGTCAAACATAAGGGGTGAAGGTAATAATTCACTGTAACCGAAGTTTAACCCATTCGCCCCTGAGCTGCCAGTAACCACTCGTGCAAATCCACGTCCTTTCTACCGCTTATGACATCATCAGTTTTAATGGTCAAGGACAACTTTGTCCACAGACTTGTGTAGAGTTAACAGATATTTCAAACTATACCAGAATGAGAACAATTCAGTCAAGCACACCAGAGAAAAAGGCAAAAAAAACATGTAACATTGACCTGAAAATTTCCATGAAAATCTTGTTCCACTAGCCGCCTACATTTCCTTTCATCTAAGCATCTGGATCAGAAAGCCGTGACAGGTACGACCTGTAAATGGCTGTATGGTAAGTTTTAGCTCTTTATAGCAGGGCGGTGACCAGAAAACGGCTCAAGTAGGTTCAAAACGTGTTTTTCGGCAAGATTTCCAGGGGCAAATAGATGAAATCATGACAATAATATTATCAAAATCTGTTTCAGTTAGCACGATCTATACCCTTCTCACCTTTCATTTCTTCCCTGTTCTTTTCCGAGGCAGCGCTATCCACTCGCAAGGCTCTTCCATTCAGTTCATATCCATTCAAATTTCTCATAGCACTCAAGGCTGTCTCCTGGTCTTTGTATTCACAAAAGCCATAACCTTTTGGTTTTCCAGTTTCACGATCAAACACCAGTCTGTAACATGAAAATAACAGTACTTTTTAATGAAATTCACTGTTTTCTACTGGTAAACCTTCACACATCCAATCAATGTTAACTTTTGTGAGGTAAATGAAGTAGTACACTTATATTATTAGACCTTTATTAGCAGTTTCACTAGTTTTACCTTCACTAGTTTCTTTGCAGATATACATGTAATAGAAACGCTGTTAACAAACTGTTTACCTAATTAGCAGTATCAGTATCTGTATCAGTATACTTATCAGTATCATCATCATTACTATTATTTTTTTCACATGTTTTAACTAAGCTAGTTGAGTTCGAGAGGTATTCTTCATCTTCTTCTCATATTCTCAACTTTACTTTTCTTTTTCAGAGTGTAATTACTATTGAGTCATGTCCCACTACAACAAAACCCTTTGCGACAACAATGATTAAAACAATGAAATGTAAATATCACAGATTCTAAAACAACAATGATCAATTTCAGTCAAGTTCTCTTTTATTGGGCTTAACTCCTTTAGGAAAAATAATAATCAGACTGAAGAACACAAAAATATTTTTAAAGATTAACCAGTTGGTGGTAACTCATTTGAACTAACCAGTAAATTTTACACAATTTTTTGACTTTCAGGTATGTCAAGCACATCGTATTGTTTTCATCTGGGCATCCTGAAGACATTCTAGAGCTGTAAAAGCTGAGCCACAAAGTACATCTTTGAGTGTCAAAACTGGTCACATCAAAAGTGGTACAAGGATCATGATTCCTCATTTGTGTAATAATAAGTAAGCTGTACTACACTTACTGACCTAAAGCTGACAACAGGTCCAACTTCAGAGAAGATATCTTTAAGCTGCTCCTCTGATGCTTCATATGGAATATTTCCAACTAAATGCAAGTAAAGAATAGATATAAGACAAGCACTTTTTAAAATCAAATGTTGCTTCTTTTTTTGTATTTCCTCAATTAAGCACCTGCCCTCTGAAAGGCACCCTATAATTCAACCAAATGAGCAATAAGCACCCTGCCCCCTTATTAATTAAATGTTAGGATTTTACGAGAACACCTCTTTCCTCAATGCTATACATGTTGTAGTTTCCATTTTTCCCACAAAGAAAGACTTTTTCCTTATTGTTAAAGTTATTTCTATGTTCTTACTGCAGCAGTATCAACAGCTCCCTTTGTAGCTGGACCTTTCAAATGCCCAAATTTACCAAAGATGCAAAATGAATTTTCTTTCTTCACAAGACAAATGCCTCACCAAGTCATTATTTGGCTGGACAAAACAAAATTAGGTACACGTATGAGCCAATCAAGTATACATTTTGCCTCTAAAATGAAAATTGTGCACGGTAGATACAGAATTTGCAGAAAGGTTGACCACTGTTATATAATCACTGCAGTAATGTTAATTCATTGTTACAGCAATTCACATGTAAGTACTCAAGGTAGATTTTTTTCATCTGCAAAGTGATATTGGTATTTTGTAGGCAACAAGCCAGTTCTAACCACAGTTAAGAATTTGTCAGACGTGGCTCAATTTTATTTGGACATTGTCTGATGACTGGCTGTTATTTGAGGCTGTTATGTTATGGAACATTGAACATTTCAGAGGTGGAAAGGTAAAAAAAGTGGGTCTGCTAATTTGAATAAATATAAAGATACAACAATATTGGTATCATTGGAAAGTCATTGGCCCGTACATCTTGTGGTACAAAGATAATTTTTTTCCAAAAGAAGTCTTTAAATTTCCAGATATTCTAACAGCCCTCTGTAACCATAAAATCTTAGTCTTATATATCAGTCACTTCAAAATAAAAATAAATATTGACTTCCCCACAAAATAGGCCTTTTGCGATAGTTAGTCACCCGATCAACTTTATGTAAACATGAAAAGAGTTTGCTTTTGGAAAATTTTGTTAGCAGGAACTGAAAGAGCATATTGAATTAAGTACCCTGTGAATTTTCAGCTGTATATCTCAAAAGGAGCGATTCCAATGACTGCCGAAAATTAGAAGGATTTGAAAGAGAAAAACAACTCTTGCTACCCAGTCACACTCGAGTGGTTTTCCATACAAATCCTTGTAAATTTCGACATTTTTAAACTGTCATTAAATCTTTGCCTTATGCATTTAAGGACTCAAATTGCCTGTTATGAACAAAAAGGAGATTTGAGCCCCATAACACTTAAGGAAATATTTTACAACAGTTTGAAAATTTCCAAATTTATAAGGGTTTGTATGGCAAACCACTTAAGCGTGACTGGGTGGCAAGAGTTGTTTTTCCCATACAAATCCTAATTTTTGGCAGCCATTGGGATCGATCACTACTTTTGATATATACAGCTGAAAATTTACAGTTACCTAATTTTAATGTGGTCCCCAGAAAAACTTAGATCATAGAAGCACTGAGATGAAATTTCCAGCATTCTGGGCATCAAAAAGAGCACTGTTTATGATAATTTTTAATACTCAAAGAACAGTTTACTATTTTTTTTAACAAACTATTACCCGCAAGTTTTTAGATGTGAAAAGGTATACTTTGAATACCTTTCCTGGATCATAACTATCAATGACAGCTTTTATCCACTGTAGCAGTAATTTCTTTAAAGTTCTATTTAGTTACACTTTCAAAAGATAATAAAATAAAAGATCTTGCTTTCAGGAAAAAGTTGAAATTAAAAACAAAAATCTTTCAACTGAAATTGTTACAAATCCAAACCTTGTTTTAACTTATTTCTCAACTTCTTTCCTGATCGTTTGTGATTGACTTATTCAGTAATAAACAACAAATGAAAAAAAGAGATTAGGTGGATGTTTTAGGTAGCTCAAATAAATAAAACCTTGTCGGATAGCAGTAACAGGCCCTATAAGCAGCAGTAGACTGGCTGTAACTGGCTTTCACTGAAACCCCTGTCTTGTTGAAATTGATAGTGTTCCACTTGACAAAGTGCCCCGCATTGAAAAAGCACCCCTCTATTCCCTTTTGGATGAAGGACTCAGTAGCTATTTACACAGGACTCATACACCAACTTGTATTTGCAACTCATACAGGATTCTTTCCACACAAGTAAATTTGTGGCTGTATTGTATGGGTTGGTTTTGTTCCCTTTTCAGCAGTAATGTATTCTAAGTCTCAGACTAAGTTAAGTCTCTTGAAATTTCTGCTCAACAAATGTTCATGAAAGTGGAAGTCTCTTCAATTTTTAAGGAAAAAAATTAAATTAGCATAAGTGGGATTCAAACCAGAGCATAGGGTTTGCAGTGTACTACCTAAACCACCAGACCACTGAGGATTCACTGCTAATGAAGGGTTTGATTTGAAGCTATATACAGTACAGGCTACAGGAATTGCAGTATTTACATGCGTATAATTATGTGCAATATGGCAGATTTACAGACAAAATACATGCCTGTAAAATTTTACAAGAACAATTCCATGAAGCTTAAATTACACACAAGATGTGTATATTTATTGTAGGAAATTTTCCTCTCTTGTTTTTACGCACAAGCTGCATGTATTTTTTTAACAGCAGTCTACTTCATACACTGTAATCAGCAGTAAGACTGGGTGTTTTCTTTTAGCTTGTCATTGTGTGACCATTTGTTCAGCCAAATCAAACCAAAGGCAAATTTTTATGGGATATTCATTTCAAATCATTTTAGTTTGACCAAATTGTAGATACATGTTTTTAAAGGTTAAGTAATGTTTAAAAATGTCGCTAATTCCTCGGCAGCACGGGCTGAAGTTTAATGTAGTCTACTTTTAAAAATTGTCAAAGATCAGCATAAGCTAATGCGCATAGTTCCAGCTGTTGCAATTTCCTATGTTTATTTATCTAAATTTACTTACAGTCAAGAAAAATGAGTACTTGTTGAATATTAAATTTTGGGGGTCATTTATGTAATGTTTTTATGAAAAGAAACTTGTAAATCAACAGCTTAAGCAAAGAAAAGCGTTGCTCATCAAACAAGCGATTCTCACCACTAAAAAAGGGATCAGATTACATGAGGAGAAAGGAAAGGTTGATTCGGAGAAAAGAGTCGTTTCTGTTGGAAAATCTGATGTAGGGAAAAAACCTAACCAGCAAACGAAAAAATAACAATAAAAGAATCAAGCCTAAAGAGAACACGGAGGTAACGGAAACAACACTACTTTTTTTAATCCTGGCCGAGTTTATAACAAAATGAAAATAAAATGCCAACATGCCATACATTACGTGCCCTTGAAAACATTTGAAACATCAGAAACATTTCAAACACTGCAGCGAATCATTCTAGTTTCAATTGTGTAACAAAGAACCTTGGGGAAACTTTAAGAGGCTTAAAATGATTGAATTGCACAAAGTTAAACCAAATTAGCAGTAATTTTGTAACTGACCTGATGAGAGAAATGATGCTTCTATTTTTCCCCAAAATGACTATTATTCAAAGTACGGTTTGGAGGCAAGAGATCATCGTTCTTCGCTTCACAGATTTCAGCCAAAGATAAAAGTTGTCAAAATGCACGCAGTCTCTGTGTAAAACTTTACACCCAGTTTTTTCTTGTGTAATTTTGCATGTATTTTTTTACACAAGTGTTTTGCGAATGTATTTCTCTTGTAATTTGCATGAAATAATGCCAGATTTACATGCAAGAAACATGTGTGTAATGCTGCAATTCCCGCAGGGATGTCAAAAGTAGCCGGCTGCCAGCAAAAATCACAGCCTACTTGGTTAGTATTGGCCGGCTACTCTGCTTGGCATTTCTTTACCGATGGCATTTTTTAAACAAAATATCCCTGGACTGGCCACTTACTTTGACAACTCAGCCGTCTACTTCAAAACTTTCTAATCCTAATCATCATTCTCAGCACTTAACCCTAATCAGTATGGTCAGTGCTTAACCCTAGTCAGTATTTTCAGAAGAATCCTGCATGAATAGCATGCAAATAAAAGTTGGTGTATGGGTCCCATACTGATAGCCATTTTGTATTTAAAAATGAGCAAAATATAGCTTTTTATCCAAGAAACTGTCTGAACTTACTGTACTTCCAAAAAGCATTAAAGCCATTGCTTTCTAGATAATATATAATGGTTAGATGCATATATAAATAAAATGCATGATCAGTAGATCAGACCAAACCTCTGTGGCTATAGAAGTTCAAATAGCATAGCTTAACGTCGTGTCGTTCAAGAAACCAATCTCACCATAAACCCTTATGCTAAAACGTACCGAAAACTGAGCGTAGAGATCGCTCTGAGGCAACACCACCTTGCTGCTTGCCTTGATTTTGTGCTTGAGGCAAACCCGCTATAGCCGCCGCCATCTTGGTTCTAGAACTACCCACAATTCATCTAGACTTTCCGAGCCCACTCTCCACGCGGCTAGGAAGTTTTGCGAGGGAGGAAGAGGTAATCGAAGGGGAACCGATGACGAAAACTGAAAAATCTATCCATCAGCATTTTGAAAAAAATCATTTAATGTTGTGCAAAAATGCTTTCAGTACGTTGAGGGAGTAAGCTCAAATATCCCAAAATGTCCAGAAAGAATCTGGCAAGAGAATATTGAGTCCTAAAAAGGCCCAAAGGCAAAATCTCTGAGCTCCTTCTCCTTTGGAGGAGACAAGATTTCGTGAGTTCCGTTCGCTGTTGTGAGTTTTTGTCACGTCCAAGTCGAGGATATCGTTTGAACGGATGTCGACGAACGTCATGAGATTGCAACAGAATATTGAATATCGAAATCGAAGGGGAACCGACTATGTAATAATCAATCGTTTCGATACCCCCAAACGAAACTGAAAAATCCATCCATCAGTATTTTGAAAAAAAATCATTTAATGTTGTGCAGAAATGCTTTCAGTACGTTGAGGGAGTAAGTTCAAAATATCGTTGTTATGAGTTTTTGTCACGTCCAAGTCGAGGATATCGCTTGAACGGATGTCGACGAACGTAATGAGATTGCAACAGAATATTGACTCTCATGACAGCTTGGCAAATTTTTTTTTCCGCGGGTAGTCTGCTGAATCACGCAGAAATTTCGCGAACATGAGACTAAAGTTGCTGACTAAAAATAGAACATCATGTATTGCTCCTTAAATTCGTAACTGTACAACAAAAGACTGTTTTTCAGCGATAGCGAAATATTGAAGTAAAGGTTTCCGATCAACAAAACGAAAGGATTTTTAATATCGATGTCTAATTTGTCATATTACGGGGTAAAACGTTTGAAATCGTCATTGATTAATTTTTATCTTCTCATTTACTTTGTCATTATGACATCACAGTTATTATCACGTGGCTTGTGAGCAAGCATATTTTTAGCCAATCAGAACACAGTATGCAGAAATAAAGAAAGCGCCCTATTCCTTCGACGCCATTGCGTTTTTTTACTTTGAAGAGGAGTGATTTGTGCCGCTTATTTTCTTAAAAAAAGGCAAATTTCGAAGCTAAATTCATCATGCAAATCTTCGTGAAGACCCTAACTGGAAAGACCATCACTCTTGAGGTTGAACCAAGCGACAGTATTGAAAAAGTGAAGAGGAAGATTCAAGACAAAGAAGGCATCCCGCCCGATCAACAGCGACTCATCTTCGCCGGGAAACAACTTTGAGCAACTACAACATCCAAAAAGAGTCAACACTTCACCTTGTTCTTCGTCTGAGAGGTGGAATGCAGATTTTTGTCAAAACCCTGACGGGAAAGACCATCACTCTCGAGGTCGAACCAAGCGACTCCATTGAAAATGTGAAGACAAAGATCCAAGACAAAGAAGGCATCCCTCCTGACCAACAGCGTCTTATCTTCGCCGGAAAGCAGTTGGAAGATGGTCGTACCCTGAGCGACTACAACATCCAAAAAGAGTCGACTCTTCATCTTGTGTTGCGTTTGAGAGGTGGAATGCAGATTTTCGTCAAAACACTAACCGGAAAGACCATCACACTTGAGGTAGAGCCGAGCGACTCCATTGAAAATGTCAAGACAAAGATCCAAGATAAAGAAGGCATTCCCCCCGATCAGCAGCGTCTTATTTTCGCCGGCAAACAGCTTGAAGACGGCCGTACCCTCAGCGACTACAATATCCAAAAAGAATCCACCCTTCATTTGGTGTTGCGTTTGCGTGGCGGAATGCAGATCTTCGTCAAGACTCTGACAGGAAAAACCATCACCTTGGAGGTTGAACCGAGCGACTCCATCGAGAATGTAAAGACCAAGATCCAAGATAAGGAAGGAATCCCTCCCGATCAGCAGAGATTGATCTTTGCAGGCAAGCAGCTGGAAGATGGCCGAACCTTGAGCGACTACAACATCCAGAAAGAGTCCACACTTCACTTAGTGTTGCGACTCAGAGGAGGTATGCAGATTTTTGTAAAGACCCTGACAGGCAAGACCATCACCCTTGAAGTTGAACCCAGTGATTCCATCGAGAACGTCAAGACCAAGATCCAAGACAAGGAAGGCATCCCTCCTGACCAACAGAGGTTGATCTTCGCAGGCAAGCAGCTGGAAGATGGCCGTACCCTCAGTGATTATAATATCCAGAAAGAGTCAACCCTTCATCTGGTGTTGCGTTTGCGTGGTGGTATGCAGATCTTTGTGAAGACCCTAACTGGCAAGACCATTACCCTTGAAGTCGAACCCAGTGACTCCATTGAGAATGTAAAAACCAAGATCCAAGACAAGGAAGGCATCCCTCCTGACCAACAGAGATTGATCTTCGCTGGAAAGCAACTTGAAGATGGTCGCACACTGAGTGACTATAACATCCAGAAAGAGTCCACCCTTCATCTTGTTCTACGTCTCCGTGGTGGTATGCAGATTTTTGTCAAGACCCTGACTGGAAAGACCATCACCCTCGAGGTAGAGCCCAGCGACTCTATTGAAAACGTCAAGACCAAAATCCAGGATAAGGAGGGAATCCCACCTGATCAGCAGCGTCTTATCTTTGCTGGCAAGCAGCTGGAAGATGGCCGTACCCTGAGCGACTACAACATCCAGAAAGAGTCCACTCTTCACCTGGTGCTGCGTCTGCGAGGTGGACAGTAAACTTAAGGTTCATGAACTTTGCTTAATGCAACATAGACTAAGCAGGAACTAAAAAGTTTAAGTTAAAAGTTTCACAGTTGTTTTCAAGGATATTTCTATTTCGTGTTTTTCTTTTCTTGAAGCCTCAGAAGCAGAAATGTAAAGAGATTTACAAAGTAGTGTCATTAAAGTTTCACTGGAAGAAGTATCTCATGTTGTTGATGTATGTTGTATTATTTGGGGGTTCAGTTGTTTGTTTTTCGGCCATTGTTTTAGAACAGCTAAAACTTGAGTTAGGCAATTGAATTGTTTTCCTGTGGATGATTACAGAAAATGGTTTTGGAATTATGGGTTTTTTTCTCAAAGGGGTGTTGGGTGATAAGAAGTTACTGTTTTGTAATATGGAAAATATTATTGACACAACTAATAGAAAAGAAAACCTTTTTAACCCAATAGAAAAAGCAATGAAGTCAAAAGTGCCCTTGTTTAAAAAAAGAAAAACCTTTGAAGTCTGTCTAGTGGTTGGTAATGGACCAATATTTCAATTTACATGTATTAAAACAATACATAATTGGTGATGTGGCCCAGGAAATGATCATGTTTGAACCTCGGTTCTTGTGTATATTTGCAAAGTCTTAGATTCAAAGTGTGAAAATTATTAGTTAAAAATTGGGCTATAAAAATTTTTTAGAAAAGGCTTTCTCCTCGGTCTTGTCTGGGTAAATATCACTACCTGATCCAACATTAAAAGAAAATGGTTGCAAAATAATGCAAAGTGTCTTTTAGTCAAATGCTTTTTGCACTAATTTTGTTGAAGAAAAATGTATGAGCACCGTATTGATTCTTGGTTATGTAACATTTTTTACGAGTGAAAAACAAAACAATCTATGACGTTAGGATGTTAGGTATGATGATATGTTGGGTATGCTGATGAAAAGACATCGAAAGGTTTCGAAACCTGCCATCAGCATACTGTGAGGATTGTTTCAATTCTAGGTGCTGCCAAATTTCTGTTCACCTTTGTTGTTTTGAACCGAGTATAAAACTCGAAGAAGTTTTGTCCTTACAAGCCAAATATAAAGCAACTTTGGTATTAAACTGGACATCTCACTTCTTTCTTTCTTTCATAATAGAGGTTAATTTACAGAGTGTTTTCAGTCACGTGGCCAGCATCTATGCAACTTTATTGGAACAAAAGAAAGCGTTTGCTTAAGAAAAGAGTTCAACTCCCACAGGATTGGTTTGGGACACCAACATGGCCGCAGTTTCATTTTTTTGGGACACCGCCGTGACGTCATGTGAAGATATTGGTAACATATAAAAAATGTGCATTAAGGTTTAATTTTCATGTGGAATCAAAGGTCAGCTTATCAAGACCGGGGTCCATGGGGTTACTTGGGGTAATTTTTGCTGGGTTTGTGCCTGTGGCCTCTGAAAACACCTACCCCAACTTGGTCACTCTAGGCTAATGTAATTCACTTAGCCACTTCAGCTTTGTACATCCGGCTTATAAAGCCTTTTAACTACCAGTAGGTCAGTTATACTAAAATGAATTCCCACAATTTTTTTTTTAAATTCTTAGATACAAAAACTTTCTTAACCCTAGAATTCCGAACAAGCCCATTCTAGTAAACTCTTTGAAAATAAAATCCCATTACACTCAATCCAGTCGTAAAAATGTCATCCCATTCAGCGGCACATCCCCATTAACCTTTTAATAGGAAGTACCCTCCCTGGGCTCTATGGATGGTAAGCCGTAGTTTCATTGTTCAATTGATTAGCCATCCCCTGAGTATGCAAGCTTCAGCACAGCTTCAATTGTATCAGTACTCCAGTACCCCACTCAATCTAGTTGACCCTGTTGATGGGCTTTCAGGTTATTATACACTTGTATACAAGAAGAGTTTACTTTCTGGAGCAATTGGACACCATTTTTGTACCCTGGGAAAGGGAGGACTGGCTTAGGAAAGTGTGTGACTAAATCGCTGACAAGGTCTTAGTAAGGTTAAATCTTTTATTTATTTTAACAACGAACTGAACACATAAATACGAACAACAATTTTATTCATACTTGATTGTGTAAAAAAAACTTACAGAGTCATAGTAGTGCTAGTGAAATCTAGGAATAAAAAACGGTATATAGCTATTGGAAAAAATTGGATTCTGACTTTGGTCTTTGCCTGTGGGCAACTCCAGACAAGAGAGCTCATTCCTGGTCTTCACTTGTCAGGATTTGCATGAGTGTGTGGTGAATTGCTACCCATCAGTAAGTGGGAACACTGGTTTAATAGACTAAAATAATGTAGACTACAAAATTGTACTGATAACAAAAGCGCATTAAAATGCTGTGGCCTTAAATCAGTTATTGTATTCTCTTGTTAAAACATTTGACTGTAAAGAAAAACTCGAGCTTAAATTTATTAAATAACCTTTTACTATTGGCCCTTGCCATTAAAATAAAATTTAACAAATAGCATGACTATAATATTTCTTGATGTCTGTGACATCATTATCTTTTAAATTGTTATAATTAAATCTAACTGTATAAGCGATACTACAATACAAGTTGCTTCTTGCAGCCACTGATTTTGATTCCCTAGAGAGGATTAGTAGTTTTGATTAAGGTTCCACCTAAGATTGTATGTCAAGAAGAAAAAGGGATACCTAAGGCTCTAGGGAAATGTATTTGGTGTAAACTGGGGATTACAGGGTGCCCCAAAAAAAAAAAAAAAAAACCTGTCCCTAATTACCCACTGCAGTAGGCAGCAAATAGCTAGAAAGAAACTCAGGACTGCAGCTAGCAAGAGGCAAGACAAGGCACTTGTCAAAAAACAAAACACACACCAAACTGTTTAATTGGAAAATAACACTGCACGATTTGATTTTTCTGCAGAGATACCACATGAAAATAACACAGCAATGCTGAAAAATTATAGCATTACAAAGTTTCTAGACTTCAAATTTTCTGGGAGATGCACCCAGGACTGTACTAGTGGCTTGTGTTTAGCAATCACAGATCTTGCCTAATCTGTGCCAAAAGTCTGGCTACAGTCCATAAGTAATCTGTTTACCATGTTGGCAACTGTCCCAAGCACTCTTCCAAGTAATGGAGAGAGGAATCATTGGCAAATGACAATAACAGTTATTATTATTATTATTATTATTATTATTATTATTATTATTGTTATTATTATTCATTCATTCAAAATATTTCACCATTTCTGTTTATTCAGAGGCTATTAACTACCCCGGCCTTCGACATTCGGCAGTGACATATTGAAAATGAATATGACCACCAACATGCAGATGTCAAGATATTTTCCTGAAAGATAGTCTTCTCAATGATTCTACTTCATTTTCATTCCCAAAAAGTAGTTGCATTTATAAAAATTTTTCACTATCATTTTCCAGTATTTTTAATTAAAAGTAAAAAATATTGTAAAATTAAGAACTGTTAACTATAGTACTGGGATAACTAAACTAAGAAAATTGTGGCATGAAAAAACAAGATCAGCAAAAATACAAGATTTCAATAATTATTCTTCCACCTGGGATCTTACTGACAGAAAAAAACTGATTAAGTCTAGCTTATACCTGCATGCACTGTTACCAGAAAATATTTGTTACATTTTATGAACAATTTTTAAATAAATAAAAAAATAAACAAGAAAAAAATAAAAATTAGGTGACTGTTGGAAATATCATTTTTTTTAATCAAAATAGTAAAACAAAACTAAAAAAAATGTCACCATTCCTGAAGAACACAGGGTAAAAAAATTCTGACTAATACAAAATATAAAACTTCCTAGTCCTGAGGCAGCTCTCTTAACTTAATACAGCTGCATCTAATTCAACTTACATAATTTTCAACCAAGCCTTTTTTAATTTGGAAGTTTCCAGGGTTGTTGATGCTGTGTTATTCTAAAAACTAATCCATACCCTTGCCCCTCTCCTCTCCCCGAAGTTAAGTTTTCAGCTTTGTTTGACTCCTGACCCTAATTTTCCAAAGACTTTGCACAAGAGATTTGGGGGGGTATGGACAATTTCTGAGACAAAGCACCCTACAAGTTTTCCTTGTTGTAACAGAACTTGACTCCAGTGTACTTGTCGCTGTACTGGTCTGACATATTATGTTGGACGTGTGATAAAACACTAGGACCACAGAAGAAGACTCCAATTTCTTGCCTGGAAATTTAAGGAAAAAGAAAGTGATAAGAAAAATTGATAAAAATTTCATTGGAGCAGATCGAAACAGATCACTACCACGCAATTCATAACCATTTTAAAGTTCCCCAATCACAAGTAGAGGAGAATTTTATTCTTGGACTTTAAATAAATGTGGCTTCTTTTTAATTATTTAAGAAAACTTCAGAACATATCACCAAGTCAAGGAGAATAAAGAGGGCTAAAGTAACCCTGAGAACACTAGAGACCAAACTTTTACATGAGACATAGCTGGAACTTGATCTTGCCAGTAGGGATCTCATGCAGCAGAGGCAAATTCTAAATGAGGTCTGATGGGTGTTACATACTAGGCAGAACGCTTATGTTCGTATAGTTTGTAGATGTTCAGAAACTGGCACTGAATAATATAAGTTGATCAGTCAGTTAATAATAGAACAAGATGTTAAGTTGTAATCAGATTGAACAAGTTGAGCTCAGATCTCAGTAATACTGGCAAAAGTGAGCAATGAGATTTTGAGACTGTCCAGTAGGATATTGCGACACTGAGTCTTGGCATAGACTGTTAAATTACTATCCCACAAGCAGGGATCAGGATGAAAAGTACACAAATGCAACGTTATATCCAAGACAGGAGGGGTAACTTTTCTTTGTGAGCCTATGAGGTAAGTCAGTCGTTTTGATACAACCTTGTTTCAATATGTACTTAAGCAGTGAAACTGCACAACAGTTTCAAACACAAACACATAAAGTACAGTTAGCACGTGAACAAGAAAAACAAATGGTGTGAATATATATCATTCCATGAGCCAACTAAGCGAAACTATTTGTACCTCGACTGACTTGACTTGTATCGAAAGGACTTTGTACCGGAACGACTTGTATCGAAACAACTTTGTATTAAAACGACCCTTACTAAGCCCTGTAAGAAGCAGTGTTGCAATCATCAAAGCAGAGGGCGATTTTGGTTTCTGTATATAGCTAAGGAATTAGTCTTATTAGGGTGGAAACTGCATCAGGTTAAGAAGAAACCTACAAGTGTATTGAAAGTAAAGGTTGATTGATTTAATAGCTGGTAGATTACAGACACATAGTCAATTTATTTGGATTGTAAGCCAGGAACCGCACAAAAACCAGTAGATGCGATACTAATTAACGATAATGTACAAGATATTGTCTTGAATGGAACGCAAGGCAGTACTAACAAACGGCAAACTACACAAAACATCTCAAAAAGGAATGAAAAAGGTTCAACCATGCTGGCCTAAATCTATTAAGTGTAAGTTGAATGAAAACAGCTTGCCTTATCAAAGTGAAAAAAATGCTGATAAAAGTAAAAAGCTGGGTTTTTTTCCATGATGCACTGCACCACATATTGAAAAAATGTAAAGTTTTTCCATTGTCGGTTTTCTGTTTAGCTGCATGTGTCATGCAGTCACTTACCAGAGGTTGAAAAAATAGAAAATTCTAAACCTGTCAGCCGGAAAAGTGGTTGTGGTTGCTCACAGGAGGTGGTCGTTTACAAGAGGTTCCAGTATAAGACTTTTTCTGAGAACATTCTTGGTGTTTTGGGAAGGACTGGAAGAACATGGAAGTTTGACTGTATTATATGGAGCCTGGAGAAAGAATGTCTTCTCTTTACAAGAGGATGTATTTAACAGGTGGATTCCTTAGCCTAAGAACTGTTAGCCCTTTTGGGCCTTTTCACAGACCCAAATGACAGATGTCCCTACATTTTTATATACTTCAACTAGTGAAATTCCTACCCTTGGATTGCATCAGGAAAAAAAGTCCTCTAAGAGGACACATGCTTTTTATATAACTGGCAGCGAATAGATGTGCTTGAACCATACAAAAAAAGAAAAAGAGGGATATTGTATATTCAATACATCAAAAAAAATATGGGGGATGCTGGATATCAAACCAGGGAGTGCTGCTGCCATGAATGCTAACAAGGACATTTACTTTGCGAAGGGAAAATTGAAATTATTTCATAGTTCGAACTGACGATGATAATTGCTGTTTTTTTTTTTATTGTCACTTCTTTCCTGAAGTCATCACTTAAGTACCTTAATTTACCCCAACACTTTATATTAATTATGCTCCAGTAGAGTTATACATATGCATTATCGACCAAGCTTAGCATCACATCAATATGGCTGACTGTTGGCCAAGTTCCCTTTTGTGTTTTTATTGACCAAGACGAACATAGCTGAGGTCAATAAAAATGCAGAAAAGAACGAGGCTGAACATTAGCCAATAAAGGATTTATAATAATGCCAAAAAGAGAACGTTTTTGCACAGGACCTATGCCAATCCTGAGATATCAAGCAGCCCAGGGAGAAAATCAGAAACAAAAAATTAACTTCACCTTGCCCACTCACAGATTCAGCCATTAGCACTAACACTAACCATGATAAGTATTTTGGTGATTTTTTCAGGCACAGCATAAAAACTTATAGTTTCAATAGATGTATATAAAAATTATAATACTTGCTCTCCATAGCAAAAGACGACAGGAAACAGTTTCAGTGCCTGAAATATGGTCTTAAACAACAAAACTGGCCCAAATTAGTTCTAAAATCTAATTGATGCCAAGACACACATAACCAGCTACAGTGAAACCTCGATTTAACAAAGTGCCAAGGAACTGGGGAAATTTTGTTCGTTATATCAAGGGTTTGTCAGGGCTGTCATTAAGTTTGAAGCAGCCGTTGCAAAAGAAGATTCATCCGTAACATCTCACAAATATTTATAGTGCTACCTTTTGCTTTCCACTTTGATCACCTGTAACATCAGGTGAGTTCAGCCATAACAGGTGTTACGGGTTACGGCCCTCAATGACAGCTCTGGTTCGTTATATTTAACACTTCTATTTAACCAATTTTCAGGAAAACTACCACGATGTTCGTTATATCAAGGCATAGTTAATAATTGATTTAAAAAACCCAGCATTTCCGGATCTGACGAAAAATTACAGCACTTATAGAAACTCAAGAACGGGCAAACAAAACTGCTTAAAACTACTGTACACATAAATGTTATCCTTGTTGGTCTGTTTGGTATTCATGTTTTATCACATGCTGACATTTATTCGTTATATTGAGGTATATTTTAGATTTGTGCTTGTGGATTGTGTTCGTTACAACAAGGATTTCATTAAATCTAGGTTCTGTTCCATACATGTTATTGTAATTTTGGCCAGACTGAAGAAAATCTTTCTTTATACCAAGGACTTTGTTATATAGAGGTTCATTAAATTGAGGTTCAACTGTATTCAGAACCTTGTCCCCCATGACACATCACTGATCATGTAGTCACACACTGTCAGTGTATACAACTTATTCCAAAATGGCAACGACTTTATTACTTTTTTATGTTTATGTTTATTTGCCCTCGATTCATCAACTACAGCTAAAAATTCTTTTGAATTCTGAAGATGCAATTGAGGCATCAAGGGCCAATTAAAATAGGGTGTGTTTTTGGGGAAAATCCAAATCCGGATTTCCGAATCCAAAAACGGATCATGAATCCATAAAATCCACACTCAGGGTGGATTCTTCGGATCAGATCCAAATCCGGATCTTTGAGATTCACAAACTGAGCGTTTTATTGGGAAAGGATTTGAAAAAAGTATTTTTGAGAAGTGATTTTTCGAAAAAAGAAATGGTACGCAACAGACGCCATACGTGTACGACATTCTAACTGAACCTATGTTGGTGCCACCTTATTAATTTTGAGCCATTAGTTACATATCATTCCATGTTTGTCATCTTGTATACTGTTTTGAAACCCATACTTGTCATGTTTTTTGTACGTATGAAGTGTCTGCTTACACCGCTTTATTTTCCAAGTAAAAAAACAATTCATCAGCTTCAGTTTAAATAATTCTTATAATTTCACTATCCTGAGGAGTGTATTCTATTCGAGAAACGTTCGTATTTCAAACCGAAATATATACATTTCGTATATTCATACAAATCTCATGTTGCTTTTTCTTCTTGTCTTCGCCGTGAGGAGCAGTTTGTTGTTGTTGTTTTTTTTTGTTTTTTTGTTTTTTTGTTTTTTTCCACAAGGAGCAGGAGGACGTGCCGTTGTCGTGGTAAATTATCTTTTATCGGATCTTCCGTTTTTTTCGTAGTGAAGAATCCATATGATCTGAGATCACAAATCCGTTTTTGGATTCTCCCGAAAAAACAAACCCATAATTGTCAGAAAATAATGATATGTCGCCATTTTGGAATATGGTGTACGAGATATTGTTGTGGTGGTTGAATCTCGAGGTCCTCGCTCTAAGTTTGTCAGTTGTGACAAATAGTTAAAATTGGAAAGGGTCCATTAGCAGAGCTGAGCGAAGAGTAATCTATGCGGTTTTCACTCTCAAAGATCTTAAAGAAGTACAAGAATCCTCCATACTGACCTTTTCAGTTCATGGAAACAGTGGAAACCACTGATCTTTTTCCCATCTGAGATCTGAGTCTACGGTCCTCGAGTCCAAAATGTGGTAAGCTTACTTTCATATCTTTCAATGTGCATAATTTCTTGCTCTTTACGAATTGAATCCTTTGCGGTTTTTTCTTTCAAAAACAACCATCCAAATTCACCGAAAATTAATTCCAGTAAAACACTCGCCAAACGAGAGCCGTTTTTCTTCACTACATCGTGTTTCTGCTTACATCAATTTGACCGCCATTTTAGCAATCCCCAGGCTCTTTTCAGCCTCACTCAAGAGCCTTGGAAGACTGATCGGGAAAACTGGGAACATGTAGCAATAGCGTGTGTGTGTTTTTAATACTGTGTCTTAGAGCCGCTTGAAACAGCTTTACAAAGCCGGTCAATGTCAAAATTGACACCGGGTGACCAGAATAGCGTCTAGAGAATTTTAAAAGCGGATTTTTCAGAGAAAATATCAGAAATCGATCCATCAGAGATAAATGAGAAAGCGTATAAGACCTTTCGAATAATTTCAGCAGACCCTTAAAAGAACGGCAAAGGAATTATACTAACTTGATAAACTAAATGAATCAAAAGGAAATCTTGCACACATGGAAACTTCTGAATGAAATTATTAAAAAAAAAACTAAATTGACTTTTAGGTTAGTGGGTACCTTTGTCAAGGACGGAAAAATGACTTATGACCCAAACGAAATAGCAGAACACTTAAATGAATACTTTATCAACCTAGGGCCAAACGCAGCTGATAAAATCCCAACTAGTTTAAGAAACTTTGATTCATACTTGGGTGAAAGTAATCTAAATTCTATATTCCTCAATGTCCTTAATGCAGTAACGATAAACGAAATAGCAAGAGAAATAGATAATTTAGGCGCTAACAAATCGCCTGGTTATGACGAGTATCTCCAAAAGTTGTAAAAGCAATTTCCAAACACATAGTCGAACCTTAAACACATATATATAACCACACATTTGACACGGGCATTATCCCTAGTGAACTTAAAGTTGCAGTTGTCACATTAATTTCTAAATCAAATGACAAGAAATCGTACTCAAACCACCGACCTATATCATTTCTCCCTTTTTTTAAAAAAAAATTTTAGAGAAATTAATGTACAAGAGCAGGAGCCTATCAAATGGAGCCTCCATCTCCCATACAAGCCCTTGGAGTCAACCCTTTCCCGAGTAGATTTATAATTAGACCGGTTCCCAGGGGAGACTTCGCGCGCCGACGGTGGGAAGAGCCAATCACAACGACTAAATGACACTGCTATTGTACTTCATGAAACAGCAGGAAATCCCGTGCTGACAGGCCAAACAAAATCATAAGCTAGTGAAACGTGACTTTAGCGTTTTCATCCCTCAGAGATTTTCTTTCTTTTCTTTCTAGCGGGTAGATTATACTGTGGAGAGTTTTAAAGTCTGACTATGTTAATCTTAATTTTGGTTGCTTGTCTCACATTAAGCTGGTCTGTTACATGCGTAAGGATTAACTACTACCTGCAGTATGTAGTTCTGACAGGATTCGTTTTCTTTAGCCAATTTTTTGAGCGTTAAGGTTCTTATTTCGGCTAAATGACTCAATATTAATCAAATTTCTAGTTTTTCAAGTTTTTACCCGAAATGCGTTTGTCTGAATGAATACTGTAGTTGTTATGTCCGTCAGTTAGTGTGATGATTCCCTGCTATGTTTTGTAACGCCGAGCCCAGCCATTGTTTTCTCGCAAAAAAGTGATCTACAGATGCGAATTCGAAGGAAAGGATTAGCCTAAACTTCTACATTAATTGCTGAGAATTCTCCCGTTGGTCAGTCATAATTCTTTGGGCGCAGATACAATCCATTTTGTTTTTCTTGAGATAAGAGGGTCTTTGGACTGGAGCGCGATGTCACAAATTCCACCGTTAGCAAATTACTTTTGAGTTAGCTTCACGGTCGAGCAACTGTTGTCTTCTGTTCAACTTTTCAAGTGCCAGTTTTATCAGGCAACTCTCATGGTGATACAAGTCAGTTGTAAAGGAAGACTGCAATTTTTCTAAAGCATTCCTCCTTAGTTGCTACTTAGGTCATCGCTTTTGCACGCGGTGCTTAACTGGCGAAATCCACTCAACGGCGATGACAAAAATAAATGATCCTGGCACTTTTTCGGCGCTGATCATCGAAAAGTTTCAAATCGTCCACAGAACGCTTAATCGTCGACTCTTTTCAAGGTGCATGCTTAAATGTGGGATGTATGACGGCAAAAAAAAACAAAACAAAAACAAACACTCGCAAAGAACCTTTCCGTGATCCTCAGTTCGCTTCCTTTGTCCCATCGCTTCATGCTCAGTCTCGGTCGGGTAATTCATTAACTTTTATTTCATCCCAGATCCCAGCGGCTGTAAAACTGTAAAAATGGACGTATAGTAAAAAAGGAAAACGGTCGAAGGACGGGCTTCTGAGTTCGACTTCATCCAACTTCATTTTTTTCACGGTGACATACGAGACTCACGGAAATATGACACTTTTCGCGGGAAACACGCCGTTCTATTTATAAATCTACTCGGGAAAGGGTTGACTCAAGAAATTAATGGAGATGGAGGCTCCATTTGATGGGCTCCTGACAAGAGAGTTATTAAATTTTTGGACAAGCATAACATCGGCTCCTGATTTTAAGTGAAAGGCAATACGGTTTTCGGAAAAAAGCTTTCTACAAATTTAGCTATAATGGAACTTGTAGAAAGGATATCGAAAGGAATTGACCATAAGGCTGATACACTATATGGGTGTGTTTTTAGATTCTAGTCTTAAAACCATTTGACACAGTGAGTCCTAGTATCCTCTTACACAAACTTGAACACATTGGTATAAGGGACGGACCATTAGAAAACTTATGGGGGGGGCGAAGTACAAAAAAATATTCGCGCAAGGGAAAATTAAATGAAAAAAATTCATGCACGCCAATTAATCATAAAAAATATTCATGCGATGGCCTAAAAAAATTCATACAAGGAATTTGATAACGAAAAATAATTCCTGCGGCTCGAAAATCCCCCTCCCCCATAAGTTTTCTAATGGTCCGTCCCTAAGAGGAGTTGTAGTAGGCTGGTTTAATAACTATTTATCAAATCGCAACCAAGTTGTAAAATATAAGACGTCCATTTCAAACAAAATGACTGTAAAATGTGGAGTACCACAAGACTCTATCTTAGGACCTCTTGTATTTGTAATCGATGTAAATAATATCAAAAATTCCTCTCAGATACTGTCCTTTATGTTTTTGTTGATGATACTAATCTATTCTTGAGTAATAAAAACATAGGTAATCTTTATAAAACTATGAACCAAGAACTTAAACAAGTCAATTTATGGTTAACTGCAAATAAGGTATCCCTTGAATTTAATAAGACACACTTCATGATCTTTAAATCTAAAAAAAAAAAAACGAAATTGGCTCATGGTGAAAAACTGAGTATAAATCATCATCCAGTTAATTAAAGAAGTGAACTAGACAAAATTTTTAGGATTATACATCGACGAAAACTTCTCTTGGAAATATCATATTAGCCATGTCACAATGAAAATGTCAAAAATGACAGACATTTGGGCCAACGCTAGACATTATTAACCTCTCAAAACCCTTTAAATGTTATACATGACGATGATCTACCCATTCATATTTAACGTACTGTAACATCACTTGGGCAAGTACTTATCCTACTAGATTAAATCCAATTCTCAAGACACAGAAAAAACTTATCAGAATTATGACTTTTTCAAGATACACAGGAAAATCAGGACCACTGTTCAAGTCCCTGAAAATACTAAACATCTTCGAGTTAAATGCATATCTAACAGCCGTTTTTTGATGTACTCACATCATCACGAGAAGCTACCAGCATTCTTAGATAACCTTTTCAAAACTAATAAAAGTGTACATTCTTGCAATACGCGATCAGCATCGAACATACATAAGAAAAACAAATTATGGCAAATATTCCGGCTATACGTTTTAAGGAAGCAATTATATGGAACGACCTTCCCTCAAACATAAGTTCGTATAATATGTTAGAGAAAAAAGTCAAAGAGTACGTGATTAAGAAATAATTGTAATAGTTTTAGTTCATATCAGTTTGTAAAACAGGAAGTCTGCCGTCTTTATTCTTTACATCTGCTTAGAATAACGCGGAGAGCGTCTAAAAGCTCTACAGAGCTTGCTTGATCTCCTGCCTTGTAGTAATGTCATAGATTATTTGTGTAAAAATCAATGTATGGTAACTAAAGGCACTTCTTCTCTCTTATTTCGAAAATTTGGGCAGGCAAATGTTCTGGTCAGTGACACTCTTGCGTGGCATCCTTTAAGGTGATGTTACACGATACAATTCGCAACGACGATTTTTAGCGCCACACAGTGTTGCAATGTTGGAACAATATTGTAACCATTCAAAACAATACCGCAACAATGTTGCAACGCTGTGTCGTGCTAAAAATGGTCGTTGCGAGTCGTCTCGTATAAATCACCTTTAAAGAAAGAGAAAGAGGCCAGCCAATTACCGAGTGGAATATGATGACGTACGTCAAATTCCACTCCGCCCATAGTGGTTTCAAATAAATGGCCACGTTTAAGCTTAAAAATAAAACAACAAATAGTGTACATGACAAGCCGTTTTCAAGTTATTGCATTTTGACTTAGCTTCCTACTGAAGTAAATTAGCAACTCACAACTTCAGAATTCCTTTGTGGGTTCAGCCATGGGTTATTCAACTGACTCAAGTGTTCCTTGAATCAATTCCAGAATGGCTTTATGTTAGATTTGTAAAGTTGACACAGTGTCCACATGTGAACCATTTATCATGATATTTCTCGGGTACCAAGCCAGCCCGTCCTCTCACATGAACACATCCTGAAAAATTTTATCACGGATTAAGAGGTAAGGCGAGGCCAACCCGGTCAACCGGGCTCACAAAGGCTCTTAGTTCGTCTGTTTGTTCTTTGGTAAATGACAACCACCGGAGCAGGATTTTGTTTAGGAAGTTTTCAAGGACGACGTTCTTGTGAAGTCTGATGTCTCTGCCGCTAGGTGAAACATTTTCTGGTTTTAAGATACAGAGACCAGTCCAATGGGTCTAATGGGTCCTTTTCCCGCCACACCCATTTTTTTAAGGGAAAAGCCCTGGGGACGAGGTTGCTCCGGACCCAAAACTCTCTTCTTTTCAAACACAAGGCAATGAGATACCTAAAATCTGTGCCCCCTAGGCTTGCTATAGCCTGAGAAAACAGCCGACATTTCGCGACGCCACCACTCTGACCACTGGTTTCCCCGCGAAATGACATTCATGTGTGTTGATCAGTTGCTACTCGTGGACGTGTTTCCTCAACTGTACTATCTAACTTGTGCCAAAAAACAACATTGGCGGACTTCCGTTATAAATCGTTAAATCATGAAAAATCGATAATATCGATTTGACACAGCAATTCAGTTTATCGATTTTCACCAATTTCCGTTATCAATCGATAAAAATCACTTGATTGCTACCGATTTTTATCGATTGACTACTCCGGGACGACGTTTAACAATGCTGTGTTTAAGTGGTTTTGAACTATATTCTTGTTGGGTGCCCCTGATTAATTGAAATGAACATGGCTTGAAAATTGAAAGCTTTAAAGCTCAGTATTTTATTACGGACAACATCACGACTCGACTGACAGTTATATGTACATGGCTCGGATCGGTGCTGGGATGTCTGTCGAGTTTGCCCGTCACAAGTTGATCAATATGGCTTTAGATCTAACAAGACCACAGTTGATTAGCCTGTGAACAGCTCACTGACAGCTGCCCCCTCCCTTCAAACAAAATTGTGTTTGAGAGGAGGGGGTGGCTGTTCACAGGCTAGCTAGGTTCAAAGGAAAGTAATTCTTCTATTATTCCGCGGCAAACTTATATATTTTGTTACCTGTAATAAAGTGGCTAAAGCCGTTAAACAGTGCTCAATACACTTTTTAAGTGTAGAGCTTTGAATAAGAAGATATAACGAAGAGACAAAATTCTCTGTTACTCCGAGTTTCGTGCTCACGCACTCATCAGACAGTATTTAATGGAGAATAAACCTATCAAGTTATATATATACACGCGTCTATTGATTACAAAAAGCAGGGCAGTGCGGTTCTAATTACAATTAGGTGTGAGGAAAAACTAATAGAGTGTTGTTTTTGAGTCAATTGTTCCTAAGGTAAAACTTGTTTTCGTGGCGGCACTTGGAAATTAGTTCTGATCTTTTATTTTGTTATTTCTTATATTTTGTTACCATCAGGGATGTACTACTTTCCAGATATACAAATTATTAGAAATCAATACTGAGGAGAGATTAAAATCGCAACAATATTTCAAAATAATTTCCCCTTTCCTTTCACAGGGGAACACAGTAGCGTTATATATACATCAGCCTATCAAGCATCCGTTTCTTCCAGGAAAAGCGGATGTTGCCCAACGGGAATATGTCAAAAACACACTAGTAATTGGCTCGGCTCATTTTAGGCTTTAGCCCCGCCTGACAGCCATCACATGACATCGAGGATGATAATACAAACTGTGGAATTCGTAGGGGATTCGTAAGTTTCGCTTTCGATAGCTAGACTCGGTCGATTTAATCGAATGGGTTTTGCGGCATTCATAGTGAGGATTCAGTTGGTTTGAAAATGACCGAAAACAACCATGATAGAGTGGTTGCTCTTAATCTGGCGATAGGAGGAGGCTTCTTTGGAGGCATTATCGTAACCTCACCAAATAAGGACGAATTCATAAGCAGCCCAGTTCCAAGCGATTCGGGATCTCAACATTGTCCATCGTTCTCTGTTGAGACAATTCACATCTCCTGCCAGTCAGATGCGTATCAAGGAACTGATTATTGTTACGCTGGTGTCATCATTTACTCCTGCGATGGCAAATCAGAGTGGAAAACCGCCAATGGCACCCGCTGTAAGAGTGGATATCTTGTGATTATGGATACCGGGACTGAGAAAGTGAAGAAATATCAAGGAGAAAGCCCAGGGCTTGTACATGGTGCTGTTTACAGGAGCGCTTTTGGAGAAGAATGTTCCACAAGGAAGGTAAACGCTGAAGGATTCTCGATTATTAAAGGAGAGTTCAAGATAAATTCTGACGTTTTCAATCCAGCAAAAGATGGTTACCACGATGACAAACGATTCATGCATCCAGTTTCGGCTGGTTGTATTGAGAAAGTAATTGAATTTTGGAAGAATGCAGGAAACGACTACCACAGTTGTAGGAATTTTGCAGTCAAGGATTTGCTCAGTGATTTGCCTAGTTCTTAAATTTGCTCACCATTCACTGACAGCTCACTGACAGCACTCTACAGAGGGCCTAAATAGGCTTTGCTGCATGGCATTCAGGAATTCAAATCTAGCTACCACTTCAGCACCGAAAGAAATAAGCGCTGCATTACTCACTTCATTATGTGTATGATACCCTTTGCCAAACTTGAGATCAAGTAGAGTAGAGTATACATCACTTACATACATCACCTTTATATACCCTTAGATTAACAGTGTATGTAGCTCTTAAAGCTTATATCTCCGAGATAGAAGAAAATAAATAATTTTAAATTACTTTTATCTCCCTATAAGTAATTTCGTAGACTTCAGGCCCTCAGGGAGTCTATTCCACAGTGTTGTAGATTCGTACCTAAACATAAAATGTAAACCGTGAGTTGTAGTCTTACCGTAGGGAACAGTAAGTTTGTTTGTTCCCCTCATATGACTTAACGCAAATTAGCGGTTAAAACTAGAATTGTAACTGAAACGCTAGCTGCGAGTATGATGTAATTGGCAGTACTACATCATAGCGTTTATAATTTCGCGAATTTCGAGCCGATACAAAAAAAATCTCGAAATTAAAGTGACGCGAACGGTGAGTTTCGCAAACATAACATGACTCAAAAATTAAGTGACTCACATTATGCCCATAATCAAGAAAGAACGACTTTATTACCACTGAAACGTTTACAAATCACAGTTTTTACTTTTCGGATGAATTGTCGGTGTAAACGGATGCTGTGGTCAATTGATTCAGAACAATAATTCATGTACAAGCATGAACTGCTTGTACATGTGAGAACTGCTTGGTTTTTCTTAATTTTGACGTTATCTCACGGTCCCTTTGATAAAGTCGTTTTATTTAATTCAAAGACATGTTAAATAATAATGCCCATGAAATATAAATTGTTGTACTCAAAAAAGCGAATTTAAAGTGATTCAAAATGTAAGATTTTCGCAAAATCGCGAAATTTATTAGTGTCGCCAAATATGTGCACATCAAAATCGCGAAATAAACATGTCGCGAAAATTTCATGTAAAAGGTATTATAAATTTGTATGGCCCGGTTCAGACACCGAACTTTTCATGAGCCGAACCTTATTCGAATTAAGGCCGACCAAAATTATTTAGTCCAGTCTGAATTGATTCAGACGCCGATCATAATTGCAGCTCAACTAAGTTCAAACTGAGGCAAAAAATGGTCTTTTCGGTCAAACTGCTTGCAAAATACGGTATAACAATTTATGCGTTAGCTTCGGTACATGAAAAGTTCGGCGTCTGAATCAAAGCCGTTCCAAAGTCGCTCTAAAGGCTAAATTCCCGGCCGGGCTAGGCGAAAAGAACCGGTTAAGCCGTTCCAAATTGAAACACGCGTTCGTAATTGATTCACACGCCGAACTTTTCATGTACTTAATTCTCAATCAATGGTTAGGTTCGGCTCATGAAAAGTGCGGCGTCTAATGCATCAGTCAATTCCACCTGCGCCCAGGCCCCCCCCCCCCCCGGGCTGACCCCCGGGAATTAGCATTTTTTTTGCCTTGGATGGCAAATTCCGGGGGTGCCGTGGGGACTCTTGTGCTGGCAAATCCCCCGGGGTGGGGACGAAAAAAGAGGGCAAATGCCCCGTCCTCCATCAACAGTGCAACATTTTTTATTGATCACACAGTCCAATAGTGCCATTTTAATGTGCGATTTTTTGTTTTAATTAACGTCTTCCTTTGTAATAGCGCTGGGATTATATTCTAATTAAGACTTCACGCCGCCACGACATTCACCAGTTTATGGTTTTAGTATTGATGTAAAAGTATTGACATTAAAATTAGCAAAGCGCTGTAAAGTTATATGTTATGAATAGTTTTATAAATATGAAAGGGTGTTCTTCAAATAATATCAACAGAAAGTTGATTCAATAACCAAAAAACGTTGATTCACATCGATAGCTCCAATTTCGCTATGTAATTCTGGCTTGATAAGCAATGAAGAAATGCATACATACATGTAAAATCGTGAACTGGCCTTTACAACCCTCTTCAATTTATTCCTGTCCTTGACAGATGAGCCAATCTGCTTTTTTTTTCCAGTAAAACCTTCTGTGTAGTTATATTCTGATAGGAAACCGCGTGCGTGTCAAAAGCTCGGGAATGGCCCGGGGGTTGGCCAATGCCCGGCCCTGGGCAGTGCAAAATTTGCAAATGCCCCACCCCCGGGACTGACAAGGCGGGTAAACGCCCCGCAGTAGCCCGGGGGGGGCTGGGCGCAGTTGGAATTGACTGATGCATAATTTCAAACAGAAAATCTTATGAGTTTGCACCTCAAGACAATAAACCACAACTGTGTTTCTTCAAACAAATTAAATTTCTGGAATGAAAGCCACAGCACCTCTATTGATTTCAGACTTCCGTGATGCAAATCACTTTAAAGGTTATTCGCGATTGCACCTCAAGAACCATTTATTTGTTCCTTAATAAGGATACACTCTCTTTTAATAAGAATATATTTTATAACCGACCTAACCAGTCATAGATTTGAAATAAATCAGGTAATTCTCAGCAATCTCTAAAAAGGCATATGTGGAGAATCTTTAAAAGCCGTTCTATCCCACCTCTCTGCGTACGGTCCCTGTCGTGTGACTTTGAAGAAATTAGCAGCTGTCGGGGCCTGGTTAAACTGGTTAAACTTCTTTATTCTGACTTCGGAATCGGTGACGGGTCTCGAACCCAGCAGAGTTTGAGAAACAAACAAAATAGTGATGGCACCAGGCAGTAGCAAGATGGACTGAAGAGAAAAAAATCCAATATACGTAGGTATTTTTTCGTAGAGCAAACAGTACCTTTGCGTGCTGCTTGTGCTGGGTCTGTATTGCTCACCAGCATTCGATCACAGTTTTCTGGTATTAAAAGGCAGCTTGTAAAAGCTTTAGAGCCTATCCTTTTATTACGGACAACATCACAGCTCGACCGACGGTTGTAGGTACATGGCTCGGTGCTGGGACGTATGTCGAGTTTGCCTGTTACAGGGTGGAAATAAAGTTCCTCCTCCATTTTTCAAACTCCTTAGTTTCTTGCCTGCGTGCAGACGTCTCCTATTTCCTTTGTTGCACGCGGGAAAAGTCCCAAGGAAATAGGAGATGTCTGCACAACTTACTTTCCAGATGGGGGATTGTAATGATTAGAAAGAGAAATGAAAAACAACCACTCTTCCCCCGTCACAGAATACCTAACAAATCACTTTGTTAAGCATCCGTACCGTCACTTCCAAGAAAAGCGGAATGTGACAAATGAGAAAATGTCAATTGAGCTTTCGCCCCACCTGACAGCCATCAAATGACATCACGCATGTTAATACAAAGTACATTTCAAGGGAATTTTATAAGTTTCGCTTTCGATAGTCTGAATTCCATCGAACGGGTCTTCCGGAATTCAGAATAAAGATGAAAAACATCCAAATGCTCTTTCTCCTAAACCGTGTAATGTGAATCAGTCTGTAAAGCATTCGTTTTTATATGAGTTGACAAACGTGAACCTGAAGATATCAAAACTATGACTCAGGAGTCAGATAAGTAATTCGTTTAATCAATTTGGACTTTTATCCCACCTGACAACCGCCAAATAACATCCGGGATGTTAATACAAACTGCACTTCAAGGAAATTCGTAAGTTTCGCTTTCATTCTGTTATTCACAGTAAGAAGTTTGTTTGTTCAAAAATGGCTGAAAACCAAAGAACGAGCAACCATGAAGACAGAGCAGTATTTGTTGACATGTGGAAAGCAGGAAGTGGAGGCTTCTTTGGAGGCATTATTGAAACCCTGCCAAATAATCGCGAATTCACAAGCAGCCCAGTTCCAAGCGAGTCGGGATCTCAACATCGTCCTTCGTTCTCTGTTGAAACAATTCACATCTCCTCAAAGTCAGATGCGTATCAAGGAACTGATTATGGCTACGCTGGTGCGATCATTTACTCGTGTGACGGAAAATCAGAGTGGCAAACCGCTAATGGCACTCGCTGTAAGAGCGGATACGTTGTAATTATGGATACTGGGACTGAGAAAGTGAAGAAATATCAAGAAAAGAGCCCAGGGCTTGTACATGGTGCTGTTTACCGAAGTGCCTTTGGAGAAGAGTGTACCGCAAGGCATGTCAACGCGGAAGGATTCTCGGTTTTGAAAGGAGAGTTCAAGATCAATTCTAGCGTGTTCAATCCAGCAAAAGATGGTTACCATGATGACAAACGATGCATGCACCCAGTTTCAGCTCGTTGTATTAGGAAGGTAATTGAATTTTGGAAGAATGCAGGAAAGGACTACCACAGTTCTAGGAATTTTGCAGTCAAGGATTTGCTCAGGGATAATCGGCAAGACAGGCCACCCTTTATAAACAGCACATTCTGCTACTCCGCGCCACCTCAATTTCAGATTTTTGTCGAAACTCTAACGGGAAAGACCATCACACTTGAGGTAGACCCGAGCGACTCCATTAAAAAGGTCAAGACAAGGATCCAAGACAAACAAGGCATTCCCCCCGATCAGCAGCGTCTTATTTTCGCCAGCAAACATCTTGAAGATGGCCTTAACGTGAGCGACTATAACATCCAGAAAGGATCCACCCTTTATTTGGTGATGCGTTTGCTTGGCGGTTTTCAGTCGTAGTTACTGTAATACGAGGAACCAGCTAAACGACAATAAAAACACAGTGTCACTCCAAGACCGGCCACACTGGCCACGTAACGAGTAGCTGCTACTTAATTCTCTTCGTCCGTGCCTTGATTCATTGAGGAGGATAGAGAACATGTACAGACTACCATTCAATGGCCAACTCCTTTAATCATCATCAGTTCACTAACAAACAATCTACAACCTCGCTATCACAAATGTTTGACAGGCACGATCAAGGCGATTTTGATAGAAGATTGCTTGACTTTGTCAAAGCTCCAGTAGACGACGCTATACTATATAGCATCCCTCGTATGACTACCCGACAAATCAAGGAAAATATTATTAAAACGCTTACCGTCCAACTAAAAAAGCCACTGGTTTAGACGGGATCGGAATTAAAATTTTAAAACTGGCATTACCAGGGATTATTCAAAGCTTGACTCACATCTATAGCACCATTATTATGATCCATGCCACCTTTCTTGATGCAGCAAAAACCTGTGTGTAAGAACCTAGTGGTTTAAGGACCTTCTGAAAGAACTTTGCCTCTTTAATACCCAACCAAGTTCTTGTATTTTGGTTACAGCTGAATAAGGGTCTGAATGGGGGGTCCACTTGTCGGTTGTCGGTCAAAATTCAGTTCCTTTGCCGGCAGTCGATTGAAATTTTCGATCTTTGTCGGTTGAAGGTAAATCTCAGTTAATAAGTAAAAATACATGTTACTGTAGTTGTATGTATTTTACTCAGTTTCAAGACTATTATCCCTATAAAACGTTAAAAACTGATGCATCATTTGATTGATCGTTTATTTCACCTTTGTTTTCCAATATAGTACAGATAGTATCATGAAATCGTTTATCGCAAATGTGAACTTGGTTTCCCTGTTGACTACAGGACACTATAAAAAGAAAGGAAGGGAGGTTAATTGGACACGGAGGGAGACGCCCACTCTAACTTTTTGGATACTTAAATTACTGTACCAAACCGTAATTACACCAAAACAGGTTTAAATGAAGTACAAATTACTATTGTCCTCATGGACCTTGCGGGAAGAAGTTTTACAATGCATGGTTGTGAATAAATACTGTTTATTTAAAAGAGGACCAAAGTCAAGTTTCTTTATTTTTCTGGCGGTGAAAAACTATATCTGCTTTATAGAAATATAATAACGTAATTGCCAGACTTCAAAACATTAAGGTTTTTACGCGTGGATTTTCACAGTAGCCGCAAAAGAGCAAGATTGACCCCTATCCACAAAAAAGAAAAAAGATTCGCTTCATGATAAAAATAACTATAGACCAAGTCCTGCCGGTCGTTATTAAACCTCTTGAAAGACATGTTGCATCACTGACTTATCTTAAATACCTATGTCCTCATGGTCTGCTATAAAGAAAACAAACTGCTTATCGACCTCGCTATTTCTGAGAGACAGTCCTGCTTCGAAAGCTTTACTAACAACAGGCTTAAAGCTACGGATGATAGTAAGCTTATTGGAACCGTATTTTTAGACCTCGGCAAAGTTTTTGAAATTCTGCATTAAAAATATCCAGATACCATGCTAGTAAGTCGGCTTAAACTAGTTTAAGTCCTACTTATGTGACTGAAACTAACGATGCACTATTTCCGTATCATAGAGTACCGAAGTGATGACGTCATAAAAATGAAATTTGTGAAATTATGGGATTTGTTAAGATATTCTGAAAGAACAACGTCCAAGACGCCTACTCGCCAAAAATTAGCAATTCGGGGCAAATTGTCTCTGAGATATTAGCCCAGATATGCTCCGATGACTCCATACAAATCCTTCTAAATCTTACCTGGTTCCTAATCTTATGAACCAAGCCAAATTTAGAAGGATTTGTATGGAATCGTCACAGCATAACTGGGCTAATATCTCAGAGACAATTTGGCCCGAATTGCTAATTTTTGGCGAGTAGGCGTCTTGGACGTTGTTCTTTCAGAATAGCTTAACAAATCCCATAATTTCACAAATTTCATTTTCTATGACGTCACACTTCGGTACTCTATTCATCTGAACCCGTAACGTTGTTAAAAGGTGTTCTACAACGATCTATCCTGTAACCTGTACTATTTTCTGTTTATATCAATGATTTACCCCTTTTTCTACCAACCGCTAATGTTGACATTTACGCCGATGATAGGATTGTAAGGAATGTTGATCGCAACGCCGTTGCTAGTTGGTTTGTAAGGTTTGTGTTAAATCAGTGGGCTCCCAATGTAAAGAAGACTAAGCACCTGCTTATTGCCACTCGAGTAGACTCGACAGAAATTGCATGCAATTCCCTGAAAATTCTGCTCAAGATCTGTATCTTAATGATGAGAAGAAAAAAGAGGACAAAGAAGAAATTAGCTTTTAGGACTTGTAATTGAAAACCACCTCAGTTAGAATAACCACATTGATTACTTAATTCGGAGGCTGAACTCCAGAGTACTCCCCCTGAAAAGAACAAAGAGCTACCTAACTTTTCACTCCAGGAGATTGCTCTTTAGCGCATTGATCAAGCCTTTCTTTGAATATTGCTGTTCTTTCTGTGGCAACACCAACCGTCACTCAACTTACAAGAATACTTAGGGTACAGAAACTCCGCGGTACATTAATCAGTGGTTAATTTTAGATGTAGCTAGATCTAGACAGATCTGTTCTAGACAGATCTGTTGAAATATTTGAAAGATTACAATAGCTGCCGATTAACGCTCTTATACATCTGCGGAAGCTATGCACGTATGTTTTTCAAAATTATGAACGTAAACAGCGTATGTCCAGAAGTTTTTAAGGTTATCTAAACTATGTCCAAAACAGTCATAACTATAATACACTATCCTCGGTTAAGAATGAATTGGAAGTACCCAAATAACGCTCAAATAGAGGAAATGGTCTTCAAACGTTTCGTCTAAACGAAACTCAACTTTGGAACAGTTTATGTGACAAAGTTATGAGTATTTCAAATGAGGAAAAGTTTAGAAATATCTTAACGAACACCATGTTAGACAATATGAAAAAACTATATCATTTTAAAATAGCTGCACCTAACATTTTCACAATTTTATAAAATATATGTATATAATTCCTTTTACTTTACTTTCTGCATTTAATTATTTCTTTTTATACATCTTAGTCTACTCTAATTGACACAATCTTATTTTTTAAGTATTCCAGCGTTTTTTCGGTTTTCTTTTTTTTGTAGTTCTTTTTTCAATAATTTCACTTTTATTATACAGGGGGTTCGATCAGAGACCAGACCGGAAGATTCTAGAGGGGTACATGCCCCGGAAAATTTTGGAATTAACGGTCCTCGGAGGTGTGTTTTCCACCATCCTGTGGCGCAAATTAAAGAATTCAAAATAAGTGACATTGATGCGAATTTTTTCGCCGAAATCTGAAAAGGTGTGACAAAAGGCAGTCAATCGAGGCACATTTGAGACATCATCAAAACTCTGTTTGTAGGAGTTGAGCTGATCGTATTGAAATACTTTCCTTTCCTTTGCAAAGTTATGCCAGTTTATCAGACAGGATCCATGAGGAGCATTCTATCCTAGAACTGTTCCTCAAAATGCTGTAACACAACATTATAATCAACAGGATTGTTATAATGAATGTTCATATAGGGCTAGACAGATTTTTGGTCGTCAACGTCATCCGTAGATAGCCGCCTTTGACAAGCTTTAAAGTGCTAAATTGATGACATCCTGATTTTAAGTTTACATTTTGGTGAGAACCCTGCCTTGTCAAAACATTTCTTTTGGGGGGCGAAGGCAAAGAAAAAAAAACGTGCCAGTCTTGATAGCCTTCCAAGCTCCCTTAGGCCAAGGTTAAAGCACCGGGTTATGCGAGCAACTACTCTTGCGACGGGTCCGAGGCTTTCCCATGGGGACTCCTCCCGGAAGGGGCGAACTGTAGTGAGCCTCGCCTACTACAGCCTAAGTTCGCTTGAGGGACCGACTCACCCGCGCTATCAGGTTCGGGCAGATGGGGCTCTTCATCCTTGGGCGGAATCCCATCTAGAAGAAGGAAAACTCCGAACCTAAACCAGGCCTGAGGATGGACGGGCTCCGCCAGGCTTTTGAATTGTCCATGACACGGCATTTGAAATGACAGCTATTTTTGAGCCCATAACGGCTCGATCGTCACCCGGGTTTACGAGGACCGCGCCTTCGGCTGCACACAAGGGTGGAGGTGGGAAATATGCAAACGGTGTAACAACTAGCAAGATACTTGCGACAAATAACATCTTTATCGGGATCTGGGAACTTAACGTTGTGAATGGCAGGCCAAATGGAAAAATTGATGCGAGGTATATGATGGAAAACTTCAGCGAAACATCGGTTCCACTCAGGATAGTCAATAATTATACTTAAGTGACAAGAAGGACAAAAAACAAGGGGTTGGATTTCTTGTTCTCATGGATACTGTCCAGTCTCAAGCACACTTATCACCATACACCCGAGGGCAACCCCACTTAACATAGCTCCCCTACATCAGACTATGATATGATGCCATTGAGGACCCCTACGACTATTTGCAGGAAATCTTGGACCAGTCCCCCAAAAAGTGCTTCCTCGCCTGTTGTTTTAGGCGACTGGAATTACAAAGTAGGGAGAATGATTTCAAGAACTAGAAAGGCAAATGTGGGCGACACTGCAACACAGATAAAAACGAGAGAGGTCTAAGGCTTCTGGAATTTGGTTACGATAATGATCTCATGCTGGTGGATCGATTGGCAAACACAAAACTTCAAGAAGATGGACATGGCACAGCCCAAATGGAGGATACCATAACCAGATTGATTACATCATGCTTAAGAAGTGCTTCTGGACCAGTGTGAACACTGCTAAGTGAAGAAGCTTCTCATGGGCTGACATCGGAAGCGACCATGATTTAGTGATGATGAACTTCCGGCTCCGTGCAGCACCCCACAAGAATTAAGTTCGATCTCCAACCCCTAGAATATCGCACTGGAAGATCACAGAACAGT